GATGCAGGTCTGCTAACGGTTACGAAGCATCCCAGGCGTTCCCAGCTGGTACCAAAAAGAATCCCGTCTTCTGGATTTTAGACCTTGATTTCTCACCCCTGCCCTCTGGCTGGCTGCTGAAGAGCAGGTTGTGGAGAACTTGACATTGGGTGACGGAGTTCCTTCCAGGATAAAAGAACTTTTTTCTTTCTTTTTCTTTTTTTAAGTACTGCTCCAGGGGAAAAGACCCTCTTAAAGAGTTTGACCTCTTGGGAGGAAGTGTCCGGCGGAGGAGCAGCGTGCCCGGGGAATGGCCAGACCTGGCCTTGCCTTTGATACTTGGTCCACGTGTTCTTGGAGGAAAACCAAGAAGTGGTTCCTTCAAAGCGGGACCTTGAGGTGTCCCAGTGACAGACCAAAGCAAGACCCCCCAAGACGGCGAGAGCCCGCTGCTGCCCCCAGATTCATACTTGCTATGAATTACGTTGCTGACTTCAAACCCAGAGAAGCATCTTTCTTCTTCTAGGTGGGAATATATATTTATTTTTTTGTAAGTTATACCATTCTTTCACGTTAGAGAATCCAAGTGAAGACCTTTTTGGGAGACCTTTTTGTAATGACTCAACACTGGAAACATGGACATTTGCAAATGATTTGCAGTAAAAAAAAAAATACTTTATTTCTTTCTAAACAAGCTGTTCTGTTTTCTTTGGGGGCATTGGCAAAGGTCACACCTCTGACGGAGTTGGGATGTGGCAGGTGCATTCTTGCTAGAATGAGCTGTCATCAGAACCCGGAGCTGGGTGGGATTAGCAGGTGCACAAAGCCTGGGCTTTGGGGCCAGACAGGCCGAATCAGAGTCCTTCCCTGGTCACCTGTTGTGGGGAGGTCACTTTGCCCCGTTGCCTGGTCTGTAAAGAGGGGCTGGTCAGAATGACCTCGTGGTGTGTTGGGAACCCGTGGCCCAGCTCAATCCCATGTGGCCAACGCTACCCTTGATCCTGGCTTTGTACTGGGATGGACCAGGCTGGGCTGCAGGAACAAGTCATAAAATCCTGGACAGTGACCCCAAGGGTTTATGCCACGCTCTTCCAATTCTTGAGGGACAGGAGCCTCCACGCTAGCTCCTGTGGACACCACTCAAGGGCTGGCTTCCGGGTCCCCAGAGCCGAGGAGGGGGAAATGGATGAGTCCCTGCCACTCTTCAGAGTCGCAGACCCGCAGCTGTCCCGCCCACAGCCCCTCAGCCAGAATCGGTCACGCGTGTTTCACTCCAGCCAGACACAGGGGACGCTGGGAAATGCGGGCGTGGACTTGGTGTGGGGTGGTGAGACGGGGGTGTGTCTGAGTTCATACTGGGCGAGTCTGGGTCACGACGGAGCCCTGGGAGCGCGACCTTCAGTCTACACCAAGACCATGCGCCAAGGGCGTGTGCGGATGGAACGTTCTAACACTTCCACTGTGCCCCAAGCACTGCAGTCCCCTGACTGACACTGTCAGCTTGCCCCAAAGACTGCGGATCGGGAAGGCAGCCCCTGAGCCGGAGCTGGGGAGGCCGTGACCATTCCCACTAGTGGCCATTCACTGTCAGTGAGGAGGCGGCCGCGCTTGGGGCAGGCGGCGGGTTTCTGTCCTGGAGCCTGGCCCTGGGCCTCGAAGTCTCGGGTCAGATCCTAAACGGTCTCTGAGGGTTGGCCCTGGACGGGTTGGGGTTCAGGTGGTGGTGGGGTCATTAGGACTGGACGCGGGGTGCTCAGGAGGAACCCAGGGCTGGGTGTCAGTTTAGTCTGGTGAAGAGTCCACGGAGTGAGGCCCTCCCCCTCCCAGGTAAGTGCTTCTGTGTCTTGAAGGCAGGGGTGGGGGGGCTGAGCTTTCTTGTGCACCTACTGCGTGCCCAGCTCTGGGCTCTGTGTCTGCAAAGCTCCCACTAAGGGGGGTCCTGGCCACTTTCTCCACCCTAGCCCTCTTTCCGATCTGATGGCTAATTCGGTACTTTCTCCAAAATATGCAGGATCTAACCACCTTTTGGGGGGGGGGCAGGTACCAGGGGAGGAACCAGGGTGCTTAACCACTGAGACACGTCCTCAGCCTTTTTTACATTTTTATATTTCAAGACAGGGCCTCCCTAAGTCGCCTAGGGCCTCACTAAGTTGCTGAGGCTGGCTCTGAATTCGAGATCCTCCTGCCTCAGCCTCCTCCGGAGCCGCTGGGATGACAGGCGTGGGCCACCCGCCCGGCCCAGCCACTTCTTTCTCCCTCTGCTGCCACCCTGTCCCAGCTGCCTCCCTCTTGCTCTTGTGTCCCCACTGGGGCTTCCTCGGTGACCTCCTGGCTTCTGTCCCTAGCTGCCACCCTGCTGCCTGTTCTCCCAGCGCCATGGTGACCCACGACACCAGGAGCTGATGTGGGCTCCTGCCCGGCCTCACCCCAGGGTCGTCCCGGCTGTGTGGGGACAGAACAGAAGAGGTAAAACCCCTGACCACGCCCCGCTCTGAGGACACACGTGGACCCTGTGGGATCTGTCACCACACACAGGGGGCCCTAGTGCCACGTGGGTGCAAGGTGCGGGAAACACGGCGAACGGCACGACCCAAACCCCCAGATCCCGGGGGAGAGGAGCACTCTGCTGCCGTCCCCGGGGGATTCTAGGGCGGAAGTGGCCCTGGCTGAGCGCAGATGCCAGGGAGCCCAAGAGGAGGCAGGGCCACCTGAGGGTCAGGGGGCCAGGGAGACCCTGCTCATTGATTCTGGGTCCCAGTCTTCTCATGTGACAGGGTCTCATGGCCTCACCGGAGCACATCCGTGAAGAGCCTGTAAAGGCCGCTCCGTGGCTCACACCTGGAACCCGAGGAACTCGAGAGGCTGAGGAAGGAGGATCGTAAGTTCGAGGCCAGCCTCAGCAACTTAGACCCTGTCTCAAAAAGTTAAAAGGGCTGGGGATGTGGCTCAGGGTTAAGCACACCGGGGCTCAGTCCCCACTACCAGAAAACAAGAAAGAGCTGTAGGAGTAGTACTGCCCCAGGTCCTAGAACGTCTCATCAGGGGCAAGCCACAGTGCCCAGCTCCTTTGGCTGAGCTCGCCGTGTGGCAGCACTTGAAGCCGTGTCAGGCACAGGTATGTGCTTGAGGGGGGAAGGGACCCTGTGGCGCTGAGAAGCCTGCAGGGACAGGCACTGGCCAGGGGCGTCTGACTGTGTCCTTGCTGACCTAACCCTGCCCCCTCCTCCAGCCAGGCCCCACCGGAGGAGCCTCTGGCAGGGCTGCTATGGCCTGGGGGGCCTCCTCACTGCCTCACGGCGGGAGCCAACAGCAGCCTGGTCAGTGGCTCCAGGGCTTCCACGTGCCGGCCACTGTGTCCCCCACGTGGCTCTCTGGTCCATGACGGAGACTCTGGTGGCCCAGGAGCCACCCCAGCTGAGTTTGCCAAGCCCACAGCAGCCTCTGCCTGTGACCACACACCTGTCTGTGTGACCTTGGCCAGCAGAGAAGAGCAAAATGCCCCCGCAGGCCGCCCCTTCTCTAAAGCAGACAGGCCGAGGGCTGGTGTGAGCGCGGGTGATGGAGGGGCCCGGGACAAATCCCACTCTGCCCCTTACCAGCCAGACACCCTGGCGACCCCGTCCCCTCTCCCACGTCAGGCTCCCTGTCTGCAAAGGGGGGCTGGGAACGGGTCCACAGAACCAGCCGGTGAGTGGACGGGGGGCGGGGAGGGCATCAGAGGGACCCGGCCCGCATCTTGGCAAAGGGGGACTGAAGCTGTCACTGAGACTTAGAGTACGTGTCCTGAAGGGCAGGGCACAGACGTTTCATCAGGACCAGGCCCTGTGGCCTGCATTGGGGGGACCAGGCAGCGATTCCCGGAGACAAGGCCTTGGGCATGTCCCTGCCTGGTACTAGCACAGTCATGTGCATGCCCCGGGGTGACTAATGGCAGCAGGACAGGATAGGTGACCTGACACCCCCCCCCCCCCAGGGGACAGATGGCAGTGTATGGAATTTTGTTACCATCATGGAGGGACATGCTGTTGGCATCTGGCAGGTGGAGCCCAAGGAAGCTGTTACACATACTGTGCCGTTCGGGACGCCCCACGACAGGGGTCCAGCTGCACAGGTCACTCTCGATCCGGCTGGAGGGCCTGGAGACACCCGCTCCGCCTCCCCTGCACATCGCGTCCCATCGGCCCTTGTTATCCTGGTGTAGGAAACATGCCCCAGGCTCGCACCATGAGGGTCAGGGAGCGATTCCTGTGCGACCTTCACACCTGTCTGTGTGACCTTGGACTCGGCTGTCGGAGACTCTTTGGTCCTCTTTCCCGGTGCCCAGAGCTAATCCTACGTGTCCGGGCGTGAGCAGTACAGGGAGCTGTGCGCGGGTCACCTCTGGTTAAAGCAAGTGCTTGGCTTTCAGTACCGTCTGCAGTACGAGAGTGACCAGAATCACTCGGGGCGTTCTGATGGCCTCTGGGGCTGCCCTGGAACGGAGCTGGACTTTGGTCTTTGCAGCCATGTGCGTGAAATGTGCAGAGTCCTGGGTGGGTTCTCCCACTGGGGCCACGAGTCCTGGCACCTCTGTTCTGGGAACTGAGTGTGTGTGCCGTGCTTGCTTGTGCCTGGAGGGGGCCCGTCTCTGTGAGGGGGACCTGGCTGTGTGTCCAGGTGGGACAAGACACTCCTTGGAGCTTCTCTACAGGGAGGCATGGGACGGCCCTCCTCACTCCTGGCTGATGCTTCGATCATGGCTTTAACAGTTTATCTATCAAAATGGAAAACAGATCAGCAGGTGTGGGGGGCCATGGGGGTAGGGGGGCTGCAGAACGGCCGCAGGAGGGGTCCTGGGTGTGGGACGAGTGCATTTCCCCACCAGGGAGGTGCGCGTGGGAACCCATGCACCCGCGAGCAAAACTGAGGTGTGAACCACAGGGGCGTCGGATCAGTGTCAAGTCCTGCTTGTGATCTTGCACTAGAGCTTGGCAAGATGTCACCCCCCCCCGCCCCCGGGAGAAACAGGGCAGGAGGCACGGTGATCTCTCCATATTCCTTCTTAAAGTGGCCGGTTAGATTAGAATCATCTCAAAATACAGTTCATTTGGGAAAAGTTGCACGCACCCCCAGCCCCAGCCCCAGGGAGTCTGGCTTAATCCATGTGGGTTGGGCCTGAGCGCGGGGCTGTCCGTGAGCTCCCAGTGAGTCTGGCGGCCAGCCAGGGCTGAGGGGCACTGCCGTCTGACCCCAGGGTGGGCCAGGCGGAGTGGACCTTGCCTGGGCTGCCCTGGAGCTTGGGGGGTCCACGTGGGTCCCATAGTCCGTGACAATTGGCACCTTCTCTGCCATTTTCCCTCTGTAGCAGTCTAGACTTGCCACCATGGGGAGCCACTGACGATGGCCAGGGGACAGTTGAGGGGTCTGGCTCAGACCAGGCCGGACTCCTGGGCGAGCCTGTAGAATAGGCCCTTGTGGGCCAGCAGCTGGGCTGGGCTGCCGCTCTCTGCCACCTGGCCCTTGTCCATGACCAGCACCCTGCAGGAGAGAAGACAGGGTAGCCCCTGGTGCCCCGCCCAGGCAGCTCTGCAAGCCCCACCCTGCTCCAAGGCTTGCCCCCCCAGAACTCCGACCTCCCGAGCCCCTTCCTGGCCGGTGCGACCACATTGGAAGCCAGTGTCCGGGGCTCTTCCCTTCCCCTCTGGGCATCAGTGCTGCCCGCTGCCTGCCGGGCCCTTCCCAGTGCACCCCAGAGCCCTTCCAGCTCCACACCCGACCCCACCCCCCCTTCGTCCCCTGTGGTGGTCCCCGAGGGCCCCCCAGAGGGCACCCTACCTGGCACAGTCCATCACGGAGCGCAGGCGGTGGGCGATGAGCAGGACGGTGCATCGGGCAAACCAGCCCCCGAGGGCCGCCTGCATCTGCAGCTCCGTCCCCGGGTCCACCGCGGCCGTGGCCTCATCCAGGATGAGGATCTGGGTTTTCCGGAGAAGGGCACGTGCCAGGCACAGGAGCTGCTTCTGGCCCACGCTGCAGTCAGGGGACAGTCAGCTGGAAGTGTTTGCCGCAGGTCACAGTTTACAGAGCCTGCCCACAAACGGGTCCCCGGGCGGCTGCAGGAGTAGGCCTACGGGGCCTGTCCCCAGGGTGAGCCTGGCGTCCCCTTCCTTCTGTCTTTGAGCAGGCTGACCGTAGGCAGGTCATTCAAATCCAGAGCCTCGGTCCCCCACCGGCGACAGGGCTACCCTCCCTCTCTGTTCGTGGCTATTTCTGCTCCCTGGTTTTCATCATGCAGGAGACCCCTCTGGGTGTCACGCAGACATTGACCACATCAGTGGGTCCTGGTCTCTGCTTCTGGCAGAGGAGGGCACAGGCCCAGGGAGGTCACAGTGCTGGCTGCTGGCGGAGCCAGACTCTGACCCAGGACCTCTGAATCACGGATCCTCCCTCCCCGAGTCAATCATACAAAAGTGGGTGCTTGTCAGAGAGAACCTCAGCGTGCAGCTGCTGTTTGATTGTAGATAGGGAAGTACAAGCTCAAGGTCACACAGCTGGTGAGGCCCTGGACCCAGGAAGGAACTGGCCTCTGGGGATTCGGCCTGGCTGGGTTTTTCCTGCCTCAGTGAACCAGTTCATCCACATAACAGGGCCTCATTATCATTATTATTATTATTATTATTATCATTATTATTATTATTATTATCATTATTATTATCATTTTGGGTGCCAGGGATTGAAGCCGGGGGTGCTCTATCGCTGAGCTACACCCCCAGCCCTTTTTATTTCAGACAGGCTGACCTTGAACTTGCAATCCTCCTGCCTCAGCTGGTGGAGTCACTGGGATGGCAGGCATGTGCCACTGGGCCCGGCTCAGCAGGGCCTCTTCAGAGAGTCAGATCCTACTATGGCCATGTGAGCACCCGGTGCCTGGGCCTTCCCCAGCCTCACCACTTACGAGCTGGGTGGCCCTGGGCAAGCCTCAGGCCTCGGCTTGCCACTCTGTGAGAGGGGATTAGTGAGAATGTGTCTGAGGATTCAGAAGATGACTCTCGTTTCCTGCAGACCACGAAGTTTCACCCACTTGCTTCGTCCCCCCCCTGGGTTGGTACCGTTAGACACGTTTTACCGATGAGCAGACTGATACCCAGGTCATTAGATAATTTGCCCGTAGTCCTACATCTAGAAGTGGGGGAGCCTGGATTTGAGCCCAGGCGTCTGACCCACCAAGATAACGCTGCCTGAAGCCACCGCACCCACAGACCTTTCCCGACACCCTCGGGGTAGGGGGTTTAAATGCAGAACATCTTGGTTTGCAAACCTCTCTCCACCTGTGTTCATAGCATAGTTTTTCCCAGTAGCCAAAAGGTGGTGACCACCCACACATCCACACCTGGGGACAGGTAAGTGGATCAACTGGGGTCTTTTCACACAATGAAATATTACCCAGTCTTAAAAAGGAAGGAGGTTCTGGGGCTGGGGCTGGGGCTTGCCTCACACATGTGAGGCACTGGGTTCAAAACTCAGCACCACATTAAAAAAATAAATAAATAAAATAAAATTATGGTGTTCATCTTCAATAAATAAAAATAAAAAAGGAGAGAGACTCTGACCCCAGTTACAGAGGAACATCAAGGCCACTGTGCTAGTGAAATAATCCAGGCCAGAAAAGCCCTTCCTCTGAGTCCACTCATCTGAAGACCGGGCTGTCAAACCTACAGACAGGGGGCAGAGTGGCGCTGGCTGGGAGAGGGGAGAGGACAGTTGGGGGAGGGGAGATGGACAGTTAGTGCTTACGGAACAGAGTTTCCGTTTTGCAAGAGGAGTTCTGAGACCTGTCGTGTGAGTGGCTCTTCATGCATGGCGTAATGACGGGGCTCTGTCCTGAGAAATGCACACCCGTACCTACAGACGCCAGGGTGGCCTTGCCCGAGCTAAGACCCTGTGACGTCACCAGGTGACGCCCCGGGACCTCCGTGGACTGGGGCTGGCCGACCGGCAGCTGTGCTCCGCACCGCAGAACTGTGCATTTTTAAAGGTTGAGATGGAACAGTTTTGTTATGTGTTTTGCTCACACTTAAATTTTTTTTAAAGAAAAGGCCGACACCTGACATCACTGAGCCCCGGGGGCCGTGAGGTCAGCGCCAACATCAAGGACATCTTGGCGGCCAGATAAATACCGAGTGGGGTAAAGACTTTGCAGACGCTGATTGAGCAAGAAGGAACTTGACCCTGCGATCGGTGCCGAGGGTTCGGATCCCGGGTGGTGCGTGGGTTAACGGGGTGACGGTCCCTCGGGGGCAGGGCTGGCCGTACCTCAGGTTGTCTCCTTGGTGGGCACATTGGTACTGCAGCTGGCCGGGCAGGCTGGCCACGAAGGCCCTGAGCTGCACCGTCTCCAAGGCCGCCCAGATGGCTTCGTCCGTGTGCTCCTGCCGCAGGTCCAGGTTCATCCGCAGGGAGCCGGGGAACAGGACGGGGTCCTGGCCGAGGGCGGGGCGGCGGTCAGCGCGGGCCCGGCCACGCCCACCCGCCTGGGCCCGCCCCCTGCCCCCCCAGCGCCGCACCTCGGGGATGATGGTGATCCTGGACCGCAGCGCGTGCAGCCCCACGTGGGCGATGGGGACCCCGTCGATCCAGACCCCGCCCTCAGCGGCCTCCTGGAGCCGCAGCAGGCCCCCCGCCAGCGAGGACTTCCCGGCGCCGGTCCTGCCCACGATGCCCACCTGCCAGGGAACGGGAGGACGGGGCCTGCTCGGACCAGGCCTGGCCAGAGGAAGGCCAGGTCGCGGGCACCTCTTTGGAAGGGACCGCCCCCGCGCTGAAGATCTGACCGTCCAGTGCCATCCCTCGGGCACCTGCGTGTCCACTGCTCCGTGTGCCCATCCGTCCAGCCCCGCCTCACCCCGAGGTCCCCCCCCCCACCTACCTCCAGCCTTTCCTCCCTCCCTCCAGCCAGGCCCTCCCTCCCGTCCACCCTCCTGCCCCGTCCACCCGCACCCTTCCCTCTGACCATCAGTCCATCTGTCCCCGCCCTTTCTCTCGTTTTACTCTCTTGCTACTACTCAGTGCCTGACTACGGTGGGGGGTCAGTGCTGTTTAGAAAATGATATTGGTGGGTCCTCCCCCCATATGCCACGCACACTTTAAAGCACGAGGAATTCAGGAATCTAAAAGTCCTTGCTCCTCACTGGTCACTGTCCCTTCTTGGAAACAGTGGGGTGAGCTGACTCAGGGGCACAGCAGCTGAGGGGAGGCAGAGGGCGCCCTTCATGCTGCCCTGTGGGCTTGGTGGGGCTCAGGGGAGGCTTGGGAAGGAGGGCATGCTTGGGTGGGGCCTTGAAGGGTGAGTAGGAGTTCGGGGACGGGGAGGACCCCAGGTAAAGCAGGCTGATTTCACAGCACCCTGGGCCCGGCTGGCCCAGAAGCAGCTGCCCCACCCAAGGTGGCTCAGCCCTGGCGTACGGAGGGCAGCAGCTGGGGAGTATGGACCAGGGGAAGGACATTCTCAAAGGCAGACCCCGGAGACCAGGTTGGAGGAGGTGAGAAGGGAGGCTGGGGGCTCCGCAGGGAGGCCGAGCAGAGTGGCCGGGAGGGAGGAGAATCGGCGGAGGGTCCCCGCTAAAGTAGGACCCTCGCGCCCCTTTGTTGGGCTGTGAACACGCCACTGGTTCAGTCACCCAGCGTCACGTGTCCATGGCACTCGCTGTGTCCTTTCTCTGGGCTATGTCAACTGTCACAGTAACTCAGAGGTCAGCAGTGGTATTCCCGTCCTGTAGACGTGACACGACTGGCCCCGGCTCAGGCCTGGCCAAGCGGCAGCCATCCCGAGCAAACAGAACGGTGTGAACGGAAGGTTGGGCTCTGCCCAGCACGTAGTAGGTGTTCAGTTAAGGTCAGCAGGAGAAGGACGAGAGAGGCCTCCTCTGGGACACCAAGGTGGCCTGGGGAAGTCCCCTCCAGAGCAGATTTGGGGAGATTGAGTCCAGTGGGGAGGTGGAGGGTGTAGAAACAAGAGCCAGTGGGGACATGTAGGCTGAAGCCGGCCTCCTCGAGGGTGCCAAGGGTGCAGGGACAGGCGCTCACCTTCTCTCCCGCGTGGATCTTGAAGGACATGCCCTGCACAGCCAGCGGGAGCTCGGGTCGGTGTCTCAGACCAAAGTTCCGGAACTCGATCTGTCCCCCGCGAGGCCAGGGAGGCCGGCCTGCGCAGGAGGGCAGCCTCCAGGGAGCCTGCCGAGGAGGGACACGGGGTCAGAGAGGCTCCCTGCAAGGTTTCCCATGGCGGCCGCCTCCCTGCGCCTGCTTCCCCCTCCGCAAGGTGGCCACGTGTACTGCTGTTCTCAGAGTCGTCGAAATCAAAGGGAGACAGCAGGGCCGATGGCAGATTACATCTGGCATCCCCAAAGTGGCCCCCTTTTATCTCTTGCTATTGTTTGTCACTGTTGATGCTGAAAAAAAATATCCAGGGGCAGGAGGGGGCGCTCCCCTTTGTGTCTTTGAAGGATCAAGACAGCGCCGTGGGGGGATTGGCCCTGCCTGTGCTGTTCCTGGGACCTCAACAGATCCTTGTTGGCCTCAACAGAGCCTTGGCTTCATCTGTGAAATGGGGACAGACACTAAGAGCAGAGAACCCGTCCCGAGTGTCCACAGTGGGTGGAACCCAGGCTGACTCTTCCGGGCAGGCTCTGATTGGCTCTCCTGGGACAGGGGACACTGTGGGACATTACGTTTCTGTTCTGGGTTCTGAAGTTGCTAGAACGTTGCCATCGTGTTTCTCCAACGTCACTGTCTTGGCGCCGTGTTGCTAGGTAACTGTTGCTAGGTAACTGTTAACTATGATGGAGTGACGTTGCTGGAGTGTGCCCGGAACATCGCTGTTCCTGTGCCCTGGTCCCCTGTCACTTGCTGAAGGTAGGAAGCAGGACTTGATGATCTTAACTACTGCTCTTGCTCTGTCCCGCGCTCCAACCTAGGGTTGCGGGGCTAGTGACACAGAAAAGGGTGCAGGCTCCAAAGCCCACTGCAGACCTGGTCCTGGGCCCTGCCCGGTGCGTCCAGCTGTCCCCCTCACCTCCTTGGCTGTGCGGGCATAGTCCCGCACGCGCTCCACGGACACGATGCTGTTCTCCAGGTCTGTCCAGTTGCGAACCACCCACTGCAGAGTCTGGGTCACCTGGTGCAAGAGGACACCTCAGCCAGGGGTACCCTGGGGGCTCATACCAGCCCTCCTCCCTCCCCACACTGCCCCCAAGGCCGGGGCTGGGAGGCTGGATTCAAGGAATAAAGGGATGGGATTTGGCCTCCACCCAAACAAGTCCCCCCTGCCTTCAGTGGAATCATACAGAGCAGAAAGAAACCCTCAGACCAGAGAGGGTGCACGGCTCTCTCAAGGACACACAGCATGAGTCAGGTCCAGATTCCATCCCAACAGCTTCCCCAGCGGGCGCCCGGTGATTCCCAGTCATACCCAGAGCCACTCCAAGCTCCTCAACGAGGGCCCATGGTCAATTCCACGCTCACCCCACACTTGCCACCTCACCCTCTCCAGCCACACCTGGCTTATTGCTGAGCCTCTAACACATCAGGGATGCCCCTTGGGGCCTTTCCCCGGGACCCCTTCTGCACTGCCCCGACGCTCTCCAGCTTCCTGTCCCCCACAGAGGGTCCTCAGAGCGTCCCTCCCAGCCTGTGGAAGTGGACACACTCCTCATCCTCCCGCCCCCGGCCGGCTTTCCCCTGTGCCTCCTGGATGGGGGCCTGGGCAGGATTAAGTGAGTGACTATTTACCAGGCTCTTAGGACAGCACCTTGCTCATAACAAACCCCACTGAGGTCATGACCTGACATTCCTTATTCAGAGTTCAAATGTCAGTGCTCTGGAAGGGCACTCAGTCTCTGTCCCAGCTGCCCCGGCAACGTGGGGCGTGGCGGGAGTGCTGATTGGGTCTCAGGTGACTCCCGCGGGAAGGCCCTGCCTGAGGTCTGGAGAGGTACCGGATTTCCCTAACCGCCTGGCTGTAGGGGCTGGGGTGCTAGATGGCCCTACTGGCAGGAGTCTGTCCCCAATCTGCCCTGGCCGGAAGCTGTCAGGGTGGAATCTGGACCTGAGTCATGCTGTGTATCCTTGAGAGAGCTATGCACCCTCTCTGGTCCAGTAGTACCTGGAGGGCAGCTGAGACAGAGAAGCCCACAATGCCGGCGCTGAGGTGGGCCTTGCTCAGCGCCGCGCACATGGCGGCCACCAACACCAGCCCGTTGCCCAGGAGCTCCATGTTGGCCGCCAGCCACCTGCAGAGGGAACAGGTGACAGCAGGGTCAGCCGGTGCTCTCATCCCCGGGACCTGCTTCTGTGGGCACAAGGACTTGTTATCGTGGGTAGGTTCCTGACCTTCCAGTTCACCACCGTCATCTATAACACCTGCTTTGTGGGACGATGGGCTCAAGTGAATACAGGTGGCTCAGAACAGCACCAGGCACTTCGTGAGCCGGTTACAAATGTCACCGCTGAGTGCTTATTTAATCCTGTCACTGCCCCGAGGTGGCTCCGGGTTGGTACATGAAGCTCAGAGAGACTGCGTAACTTGTCCAGGAACATCCAGCTAGTAAGTGGCAGAGCCGGGATTTGAACCCGAGACTGTGCTCAAAGCTTGGAGACCAGGGATGCTGAGTAGCTCCTTTGTTGCCAAGGCAACAGAGACTGGAACAGTTGCCTGGCAACCGAGCTCCTTCCTCTGTGCCCTGTTCCCTGGCTGTGGGGGACCACTCGGGCCAGGCTCTGTAGGCTCACGGTGTGAGCCCAGAGACCGTCCAGGGCGTCCAGCCTTGGCCTCAGAGAGCCCTGGCCGCTCTAGTCACACGGCATGACCTCAGGTCTCCCCCTCTGCAGACACTGATGCTTACAGGGTCTTCTCTGCCCCCAGGGTCTTCCTACCTGTCGACCACCAGTCGCGGGAAACTGACCCTCTGGTTTTCGTCCATGAGAGCGTCACTCTGAGCCACAAAGAGGCCCTGGGCGCGGAAGGCCCTCACCACGGCGCTGCCCTGGAACGTCTCGGCCACGTGGGAGCACACAGAGGAGTAGCTGGCTGAATCGAGTCGTCTCAGCTGGCATGAGGTGGCCACATACAGGCTCTGAGGCAGGATGGGGAGGGTCGGGGAAAGGAGAAGCCAGAGACACACAGAGATGGCTTCCAGAGGCCCAGGGAGCCCCAGGCGCACGACCTAGACCCATCTCTGTTACCAGCTTCCTGTGTGACCTGGGGCCAGTGTCTTGCCCTCTCTGGGCTCCCTTCTCCTTGCAGAATCAGAGTTCCAAGATCCTTTTGAAAATCATCAGGGGAGGTCTGAAAACCTCCAGGCCCCAGAATGACTCAATCAGGATCCCTACGTGACATCCCTTTAGCTCGTTATCTTTTAAAAGCCGAGGTTCAGACACCACCAACCTCGTTTAAGAGGCTCACTACCCAACACTGAGGTCAGCTTTCCTTTAGGGAAGGTCCTCGTGGGAGCAAAGCAGTTGGTCAATCCGATGCGCCTGGTGATCCCAGGAGTCACACCCTGGGTAACACGCGACGCGTGGCATGTGGTTGCGGGGACAGGCTCTGGGAATCTGCTGAACACCAAGCCTACAGCCTCGCGTCCCTCCCAGCTCCTGGCCGATCTGGATGCTGCTCCTGGGGCTGCGCTTTGAGACCCCAGAGCACAGGTGTCTGGGGGTGGCTGGGGCACACCAGGGGGCAAGCCACTGCCACTCCTGTCTGGTCTTTTGTTTAGGCCAAGTCAAGGGGTGTCCGGTCCCGGCAATGGAAAGAGTCTAGCCTAATCCAGTCGGCGCGGAGGCCCTGGGGACCCTGCCTGCCTCCCAACGGGTGGAGAGGAAGCCGCGGCAGCGCATCCCCACAGCAGGACACGGTCAGACACGAGGTGGTTGGGGAGCTAAAGAGCCTCAGCTGTTAGACATTAGACGGTGGGGACCGCGCCCTGGGGTTCATCCAGGGCCAGCCCAGGGGCCCCGCTGGACGGACCCCCTCACACTGAGTCCTGCCCAGAGACGGGGCTGGCAGAGGTGGCCTCGGCTGTCCCGGGAGCCTCCCTACCTGGAGCCCCGCGTACAGGACCAGCAGCGGCAGGATGGCCACCAGGGCCAGGGGCGTGGCCGTGGACACCGCCAGGCCCGCCTCCAGGAGTCCGAAGGCAGAGATCAGCAGGGACCGGGCCTTGTCGGGGATGTCCACGTCCACGGTGTCCGTCTCCTTGGAGAAGCGGTTCAGCAGGTTCCCGACGGGCGTCCGCTCAAAGAAGCCGATGGGTGACCGGGCCACGTCCCACAGGAGCCCCCGGAAGAGCAGGCGGGACGCCCGGACGCCGCCCAGGACCACGGCGGCCGTGGAGGCCAACAGCCCGATGGCTGGAGGGAGAGAAGGCAGCGCGAGGCCTTGTGACCCGGCCTTGATGAACCCCCCTTCCAGGGGGTCGAATAGCGTCCCCCGAGATTCCCGCCGACCCAGAACTTCGGAGAGAGCCTGATTCGGAAAGAGGGCCTTGGCACATGTGATTAAAGACCATCCTGGACTTGGGACGGGGCCCACGGAATGTCTGGTGTCCTTAAAAGGGGACAGTGGACACGGGCAAGAAGATGATGTGAAGACAGAGGTGGACACGGGAGGGACACGTCCACCAGGCGGGGACGTGGCAGCCACCGGAGGCCAGGTCAGGGGCTTTGGTGGGCTGGGTCCTCCCTCAGAGGCTCCCAAGGTGCCAAGCCCGCTGACACCCGTCCCTGCTGTCCCGAGGGCACCGAGTTCCCGCCCTGGTACCAACGGGTTTCCCAGCAGCCCTCGGGAGATAACTGACAGGGGCCACGTAGGGAGAGCTCAGCCGGGGGACGGCACCTGGGACAGGGTGCCCACGGGGCTGGGAGGCTCCTGTCACCTCCTGATCAAACAACGGGCGGATGTAAGAGATTTTCAGAGGGGAACGTGTCCCCCGAGTGGGGCTTTGCATCAGTCCCAGGGCGCGGCTGACGACTCCCTCTCTGGTCCCTCGGGGCTGACATTTGCCTTGAGCAGTGCACGCCACACCCAGCTCCGGTGAGCAGGCAGGTCCCTGAGTTCTTGACGCTTTCAGATCTGACGTCCATTTGATGGCGGGGGTGGGGGTGCGAATAAGGGCCACCCAGGGGACCCGGGGGCTGTGGTTAGGGTTGGTCCTGCCCTTGAGTGTGGCGGTGGCTACACCAATGATAAAATCGTGTACAGGTGAGCCTGGGCACCTCTGAATACGGTCAGTGCACTGCCCAGGCCAACTTCCCTGCTGGGACAAGCTGTCATTCCGCAACACGTCACCACAGGATAAGTCAGGCAGAGGGTGCGAGGGTCTGTCCCCGTTATTTCTTACAACTGCGTGTGAACCTGCAGTCGTCGGAGTAGATACTTCATTTTAACTAATTGATTTTGGGGACAGGGATTGAGCCCAGGGGTGCTTAGCCACTGAGCCACACCCCCGACTCATTTTAGTTTTTATCTTGAGACAGGGTCTCGCTAAGTTGATTAGGGCCTCGCTAAGTTGCTGAGGCTGGCCTCAAACTTGCAGTCCTCCTGCCTCAGCCTCCCGAGTGGCTGGGATTACAGGTGTGCACCTGCACCTGGCAGGATTTCAATATTTGAAGAAAGGGGAAGATGGGAGGTGACAGTGGCCCTGGCGTGTCTGTTAGGAGGGGTCTGGCTTGGGAGGGGACAGAGCTGCCCTCTGCATGTGAGGAGCGGCTGGGAGAAAGTCTGAGGACTCCAGAGAAGGTTGGCTGTGTCCTGCCAACCGCCCCCAGGACTCCAGCCCCGTCTTAGGGACACAGGTCTTTCTTGGTCCTGGGACATGCTACACGGGGGGGACAGGGAGCCCCACGTCGCAGAGCAGGAGGGGGAGGAATGGGGGACGCGGGCGAGGGGTACCTTGGAGGCAGCCGAGAAGCGCGAAGACCCCGCCCCGCAGGGCCGTGTGCTCCTGCCGCCCGGCCTTGATGGGGTCGTCCGCCCACAGGCTCAGCCAGTAGCCCTGGCAGAAGGAGGCCGTCTGCTGGCACAGGAAGAGGAAGAGCGCGTAGGCGCAGAGCGGGGTGCCCACGGCCCGCAGGTAGGTCAGGTACATGGCGGCCTTCACCTGCAGCACACGAGGCCGAGGGGGGTCAGGCAGGCGGAGGACGGCAGACCTCAGTGCTCCCCAGGAGGCCGCCCTCCTGCAGGCCTGGGGACCCCCTTCTGCTGTGGACCCCAGGGGCCCTCGGGAAGCTCAGAGGTGACTGGCTGGGTGACTTCTGGTTGGGAGGATTTCCTTGAACACCTCCTTGGGGACAGGCACGTCTCTCTGCTCACTCCAGATGAGGACACTGAGGACAGAGCGTGTCCCTCCTCCATGGCAGAGACCCTGCCCCGGGTGGATAAGCAAATGGACGAAGAAGGAGTGAATGGGCGGGTGGGCAGATGGATGGATGGAGGGACAGGTGGACAGACAGACGTATGGCTGGGTGTTCAGAGGGCAGGATGGGGTGACAGAGGGTGGGGGACGAATGGAGTGGGCACAGGGTGCATGTGGGTAGATGATGAGGTGGACAGGCAGAGAGGCCCGGAAGGGAGGAACAGCCAGAGCTTTGGATCTGGGCTGCCCTAGATTTCAGTCCCGGCGTGGCCAGATGGACAAGCCCTTCACTCTCTCAGACCTCAGTTTCTCCGTCTCTGAAGTGGACCTGTCACTTCTCAGGGCGCCTGAGAGGACGGAGAGTCACGAGGGTCTGGAATCTCACTTGGACTTAGCAGGTGCTCGATAAAGGTCAGTGTCCTCCCCGCCCCCCATCCCCCGCCCTGTGCTCATCTGCGGGGACCCCGGCCTGGGAGAGGCAGCCACTGGTGGTTACCCGGCCATGCGGCATGCTGTCCTCAGCTGCCGGCCACCCTGCCCTCTCCGGGTCGTCTCGGAGAACTGCCATCTGGCCTTCGGAAGTGGTGGCGTCCCCTCCAGGGGTCGACCTGACGGACCTGTCATTTAGCAGGAAGGAGGACGTGTCAGCCACTGTCCCGTGGTGGGGCTGCCCAGCCCAGCACGTGGGTCGCCACCGAGCCCTGGGGCTGGCTCCCAGCTGCCCCCTTCACCCACTGTGGGCCATGCTAAATGCCATCTAGGTCCCCAAGTCACCAAGCCCACCCTCCAGAGTGGACCTTGTTTTCATTTTTGCCTACGATTTGCTGCAATTGTTTTGCTTCTTCTGTTTACTCTAAGACTTGTCGGTCCAGCCTGGCAGAAGGCCGCACTGCACAATTCAGATGATAGAGAATTTTTTTCTTTTATTTTCTCTCTCTTTCCTTCTTTGTCTCTTTCTTTCTTTCTTGATAGGACCCAGGGATGCTCAACCACTGAGCTGCACCCTCAGCCCCTTTTATTTTGGGACAGTCTCACTAAGTAGCTGAGGCTGGCCTCAAACTTGCCATCCTCCTGCCTCAGCCTCCCAATAGCAGGGATCACAGGTGTGTGCCTCTGTGCCCAGCTAAGCCTTCTTGAATGTTCATGTGAGGACAAGGGGCTGACTTAGCCACTCTGTGCCTCGGTTTCCCCAGCTACACAACGGAGATAACGTCTGTCATGTCTCATCCATGTACCCACCTGTTACCATCCATTTTGGGGAGTCATCCATTGATCCATCCATCCATCCACCATGTCTCCCCACCCACCCACCTACCTACCCACCTACCTACGGGATCTTGCTGAGGACTCTTGGGCGGGATTGCTTGTTATCTCACTCAGGGGACCTCCCAGGGTGGCTCGGTGGGTGGAGAGGGGGGCCTGTGCCCAGTCTCCTACCCCCAAGGACCAAAAACCCTCAAGGCCCCCTGCATGTCCCCCCAACAACTGACACTGAAGTCCAGGTGCCTGGCGCCCAGCGTCTTGTGCTCTGTTTGGCAAGACCACCCTCCTAAGAAGGGCACCATCAGGTCCTCTGCTCACGGCCCCGGGGTGAGTGCCACTGGGCCCTGGCTGGAGGGGCTGGGAGCAGAGCCTCCTCCTGGTGAATTCTCCTGTCTCGTCACCAGCCAGCGCCCAGCGACGCCTCCTGGCTGGCCTGAGCCTTTGCCTGTCTGTGCGACGGCTGGGGCCGGCCAGGCCGCGCGGGCCTCTGTCTTGGAAGGCGGGCTGCCCGCTCTGGCCGGCAGACTGCTCCAACGAAACCCCTGGCCCACTTTACGGTCTCATCACGTCAGCGGGCAGATTGTCCACCCTGTGAACTGGCCTTCTGGGGACTTCATCATTTTGGCCAGTGGACTGACGGAGTTCTGGGTGCATCGTCCTCCCGAGCAGCTGGGGGCTCTGTGGGCACTCCCGCCCGAGACGCTGTGGTCACCAGTGGTCCCTGCTTCACGCTCAGCCTGGTCCTCCCGGACCCAGCACCACAGTGGACTCACCCCTCTGGTCCGTGCTCAGGTCTCCTGCCTCCAGGGGAGCCACCAGGGTCACCAGCACTGGCCACAGGTTCCGTTCCTACAAGTTCAAGGGAGTTCTGTCACACAGTGGGGTCCCCCACAGGGTCCTTATGCCAGCTTTGACACTCGGTGCAATGTGACCTTGACCTCTGAGCACCTGTCCCCCTGATCTGGCTCCTGCTGCCGTGGGGGCGTGCTCTCTCTGCACCCCTCCGGGTTCACCCAGGACCCTTTCATTCCTCAATGTTCCCTGAGCACCTGCCGAGCCCTGGGGTTGGAGGAACAGCACTGAGCAGGTCAAGTGGCCTCCGGTTTCCCCAGTGCCTTTGCTCAAGCAGTTCCTTGTACCTGGAATGTCCTTTTCTGAACAACTTGAGTCCAACCTCAGGTGCCACCTCCCCGGGAAGGACCTCTCCCCCGCTCTCCAGGAGGGGCCAGTAACCAAAACAGGCTGCTGGGATTTGGGGCCTGTTTGTCACACAGCACTGACCCGGCAGAAATGGACTGATACAAATGGGCAGATTCTATCTTGAAGCTCCTGGGCGGTGACACTGTGTACCAACAGGGTTCTGAGGAGGGCGGGCCTGTGCTGAGCAGCTGTCACCAGACAGGTGCCCAGGGAGGGCACGTAGCGCTTTGTGGTTAAAAGCTTATTCCTCGGAGTCCCGTCACCTGGGCTCACGTCCCAGCCCTGCCACGGATAAGCCGTGGGAGTCACATTGGACCAGGTCCTCAACTCCTGGACTCAGCGTCCTCCTCTGAGAAACGGAGGCTTCGCCAGCTTCAGAGGGCTGACTTCAGCGAGCTGTCACCAGCTGCTGCTTGGCACTCGGGGGTGGCCTGGCAGGGCTGGCTTTGCCTGGGGACCTCACTGCTGGCCAGCGGGCTCGGGGTTCTCTGGTGGGTCCGGAGCCCAGGCACCTCAGACCTCGCTCGGCCCGTGAGGCAGCTCTGAGCATGGACCCTCGGGTCTGAACACGCCCCAGTTCTCCTCTGTGGCCTTGAGCGAATGGCATAAAGCTCTCTGCCTCCGTGTCCTCCTCTGTGAGATGGCAGCGGGGACCGCACGTGCCTGGCGGGGCCGTTGTGAGAAAGGGGTGAGGTGGCCCATGATGACGGAGGTGCCAGGTGCAGCCTCGGGCTCTGCCTGGGGCAGAGGTGACCCCCTGCAGAGCCATCTGCTTCCAGGCCTGGGCCCACACCTACCGTGCGCCAGTGGGACCCTCGGAGCCCTCCCTGGGGTGGCAGGAACCGCGACAGAGTCCCCAAAGCCCAGCTCTACCTCCTTGGGCTCCGCCTGCTCGCGGTCTGGCTGCCTCCAGGAGGGCCACCAGGGCCCCCTTCCTCCGCAGAAGCTCCTGGTAGGTGCCCATCTCCGCAATGGCCCCCTCGGCCAGCACCACGATGCAGTCGGCCTGGGGCAGCACGTGGTGCGTGTGGGTCACGAGGATCCGCGTCTGGGCAGGGAAGGGGGGGGTCACACTCCTGGGCTCGGCCAGTCTTTGGAAGTCCAAGCGGGAGGGGGGGCACCCCCAGGCTCACAGCGGGGCGCACGCCCTTCTCCTGTCCTGCCCTCTTTCTGGGAGACATCCAAGGAGAGACGCGGAGGGGCTTCCCGCCATCTGGGGACACTGGGCTCACTGGAAACTGGCCCAGGACCGGGCACAGTGGGGAGGTGCTCAGCTTACCATGGGGAGTTGCCATAGCAACCAGGTGGGGATCCCCAGGAGACCATCATGTGCTGAGAATACCCTAAGTGACGTTGCTCAGCAGGGAGGTCCACGGTGGAGCCTTGGCTTCCCCAAGGCTGATGGCTGGCTGGCCAGGAGCGGTGACGGCCCACCGCTGCCCAGTGTCACCAGAAAGGGCTGGATCACACATCACAAGCCAGGCAGCAGTGCCCCGACCAGAATTCAAAGTGCGGCTCTCTACGGGATGCCTGTCACTTCTGCGCCATCGCGACGCCGCGAGATCTCGAGTAGTTTAACCAGAGATGCCCACACTGAGGGCCGCTGGGCTCAGCAGCTCACAGATCCTTCTCCAAACCGAGCGTGTCTCAAGCCCCAAAGCAAGTCCCAACGACACCCCCAACTTTAAATACGCTCAGGTATCTGATCAGTTCGTCACGGAAGGGAACCGCGAGTCAACTGCAAAAGATTGAACAACGACGCACTTTTGAAGGACCAGTGGGCCATGGGCGAAATCAGAGGGGAGTTAAAAAATTCCTAGGATCAAACGGAAACGCGACATCTCAGAACCTGAGGGACACAGAGAGGGCAGGTGTCAGGGGAAGGTCACACTTCTGAGCGCCTGCTCTAAAAAATCAGAGACCTCCAATAAACAACCCAGTGGCGGGGTTCAAGGTCTTCGAAAACCAAGAACAGACCCAGCGTAAAACCAGTAAAAATGACAAGGGTCAGAGCCGGAACTGACCACACAGAGGCTTAAAAGTGCAATACAGGGGCGGGGGCTGGGCTCAGGGGCAGCGCGCTTGCTTCGAAGGAGGGAGGCACTGGGCTCGATGCTCAGCACCACGGAAAAATGAATAAAGAAAATAAAGATATTGTGTCCAGGTATAACTAAAAAAAATATATTTGAAAAAGAGAGCAATACAAATGATCAACGGAACAATGACTTGGTTCTTTGAAGAGATAAGGAAGGTTGATAAACCCTTAACCAAACTGACAGAGAGAGAATCAGAGATGTCAAGGGAGTATCACAAGATATCACCAAACCCAAAGGATCACCAGGTTGTAGTTTGAGAACTTACATTTCCGATAGATTGGGAAATCTGCACAAAAACTTGATGAATTTCTAGACACACAACCTACTAAGACTGAATCAAGAGAATATTTTAAAAACCCTAAAGAGATCAATAACAATAAGATTAAAGTCTCCAACAAGGAAAAGCCCAGCCACAGACGGACTCACTGTTGAGTTTTACTAGATCTTTAAAGAATTGACAGCTAAGCTCCTCAAACTATTCCATGAAATAGGAAAGGAGGAGGGCACTTCCAAACACTAGATAAGGACACAGCAAAAAAAGAAAATCCTAGACCATCATCCTTGATGAACCTAGATGCAAAATTCTTAAATAAAAACCTGTAACCAAATCCAACAGCACATTGGAAAGATCAGATGCCATGATCAAATTTGGTTCCATCCCAGGAATTCAAGGATGGCCCAACCTCTGGAATCAATAAGCATGATAGAGTACTTTTAAAAAAAGCATACGATGATCTCAATAGGTGCAGGAAAAGGCCCTAAACAAAATTCAACATCCCTTTATGAATAAAAGCCCTGAAAATCCAGGTGCAGTGGTGCACCCCGTGATCTCAGTGACTCCGGAGGCAGGAGGTTCACAAGTTGGAGGCCAGCCTTGGCAAGTTAGGAAAGCCACTATGGAGACAGTATGGACATTCCTCCAAAGCACTAAAACTAGAACTACCATGTGATTCAGCTTTATTTCCTCAGCACAGACCCAAAGGAATTAAAGTCAGCAGAATAAAGTGAGACACAGTAGCCAAGTGATGAAATAGCCTAGGGGCCCATCAACAGATGAACGGATAAAGAAAATGTGGTTTGTACACACAGTGGAGTGATATTCAAGTCATAAAGAAGAATGAAATCCTGTCATTTGCAGGAAAATGAATGGAACTAGAGATCGCCGTGTTCAGTGAAAAATAAGCCAGACAGGAAGACAAGTATTAAGTGGATTCTGGGGGTGTGGGAGAGATGAAAGTAGGAAGGAGACCATCAGAGGAGAAGAAGGGGACCAGGAGGAGGAGGAGGAGGGATGGTAATGGGGGATGGATATGTTTAAAGTATGCTGTTTGCACCTACAAATATCTTGCAATGAAGCCCGTTATTCTGTATAATTAAAATGCACTAATAAAAGAGTGCTGTCATAAACCACTGAGATTGGGGGGGGGATTCTTTGTTACGTAGCACTGTCACAACAAAAGCTGACCAATACGAAGAGGAAAATTAGACCCAAGGAGCGGGTGGTAGACAGATCTGGGTTAGGACTGAATTCTAAGGGCTTCTGCTCTTGCCCTGTTGATTCTGACATGTGTTCCCAAACTCACTGTCCCCTGGAGAAGCCCGCCAGGCCCGATGACCTGGGTGAAGACGTGCTGGCCGACATGGGCATCCAGGGCTGCCAGGGGGTCGTCCAGCAGGTACACGGCAGCCTTTCTGTACACGGCCCGGGCCAGGCTCAGCCGCTGCTTCTGGCCCCCGGAGACATTCATGCCCTGTGGCCAGAGAGGAACAGGGACCCAAGTCTGCACCTGCTGGGCAGTGCTGGGACGCGTGGACGGTGCGGGTTGGCCAGGGTAGGGCGCAACCCCCGGGTCCTCAGGGTGGCCTTCCCCAGCCTACTGCTGGATCCGTCTACACTCGATGCTTGTCTCTGCCTGGCTCCCGGCTCCACTCAGCCGGCTTCCTCCACGACACCACCTTTGTGGTCCCTCCCCTGATGTCCCTGATGCTCCATCCAGCAACGGCTTCCGGTTCTTATTTCTTTCCATTCAGCCAACATCTACCACGCGGCTGCTCTATGGCCAGCTATGGTCTAGGGCCTGAGGACTCAGCCAGGGACAAGGCCCTGCTCTCCTGCCTTTCATTGTAACAAGGGTGGGGTGAGGGACAGAGAGAATCCAAAGCCCAGACAAGGGACCTGCATGGCGTGTGGGGAGCGTGGAATGAGAGCTGGGACGCGCACACCACTGTTCAGCAGAGGGGTGAGCCCCCCGTGGCCCCAGGGGAAGAGCTTCCCCGCAAAGGGAGGCAGGTGCAAAGGCCCTGAGGTGGGAGCGTGCCTTGGGTGTTCAGGAAACATCGCAGAGACCCCGCGACTGGACAGAAGCAGGAAAGGGGGTGGGTATGAGGGGAGATGGGCAGAGAGACAGGTGGGGACAGATGGCAAGAGGCCTTGTCAGGGACGGTTGGGACTTGGGCTTTGCCTTAAGGGAAACGGGGGGCCAGGTGGGTTCTGTGCGGAGCCAGGAGTGGTCTAGCTGCTGTGGCGGGCCTGGTCAAAGGGGCCATCGGGGGGCTCCTGCAGCAACGCAGGGAAGGGCTGGTGGTGGACGGAGCCACAGCGCATGGGTCTGGGTGCGGGGTACAGGAGGAGGAGGCTCTAGGCCACCAGACATTCGGCCCAGGGTGTGACACAGCTGGACAGACGTGCCCCCTCCTGTTTGAAGCACTTCCGGGTCTCCCTTCCAGGGGCCTCCCTCTGGCCACTCTCGGGCCTGGCCCTCCTCTCCTTGGCCTCCCTGGGCAGCTCCCCTCCGCCCCTGGACTTGGAGTGTCCCGTATTGTTTTGGAGCACTCTGGTCGTACATGACGGGGATCCGCCGTCCACAGTCCCCCGCTCGCCCTGGCCCTGGAATTTGACTTCCGAGGGGTCCCTGACCCGGTGTCTGATCTAGTTGTCCAAAAGCCCCGGCCACTAACCCACTGACCCCCGCCATGGCCTCGGCCTCTCCCTGGCCTGTTTCCAGTCACGGATTCGTTAATGACCGCGAGCACCCACTGCACCCTTGACCGCCCGCTTCCTGTGCCCTCTGCCCCTCAGCACTTTGCCCACAGGCCAGGGCGGCCGAGGTCCCTCCCCCGATGTCCCTGTGCCAAGAAGGCGGGCCCCACCTGCTCTCCGATGCGGGTGTGGACGCCCGCCGGGAAGCTGTCCACGTCCGGCCGCAGGGCGCAGGCCTCCAGCACCGTGTCCAGCCAGGGCAGGTCCAGCGGCTGCCTGAAGCACACGTTCTCCACCACGGAGCTGTTCTGGACCCAGGCCTCCTGGGGCACGTACGCCACAGGGCCCTGCGACACAGCCAGTTTGGGTGACCGAGGTGGGAGCCCTTCCGGGAGGGGGGGGAGCCGGCCCTGAGGGGGAGGGGGGACGCAGAGCCGATGCCAATCAGCTCGGCTGGGAGCGGGGGCGCGGGAGGACGTGGGCACGGGGGGGGGGGGGGGCTCAGGATGGGCGTCTTAGCAGCCGGGGCGGCCTCACCTTGATGCTCACGGACCCCTCCACCGTTGACAGCTCCCCGAGGAGGGCGGACAGCAGGGAGGACTTCCCTGACCCCACGGGACCCACGACAGCCAGGAGACACCCCTGGGGCACGGTGAGGCTGATCCTGGCCACGAGGAGGGACAGCATGCAGTTCTCCGGGTCTGTGCAGGATGAGTGGCCCCCGACACCGCGCCTCTCCCGCCAGCCCGCCCGCCCGCCACTCCCTGCGGCGCCCTCCGGCCCCAGGCTGGACGCCACACGCCTCCCAGGCAGGACTCACAGCTGCCCCTGCACCCTCTCCCCCTAAGTGTGAAGGCTCCCCCCGGGCGGGGCCATCCGTACCTGTGCAGACAGGGAGGCCCTTCCCGGGACCAGGCGAAGGTGCCGTTGTGGATGGCCACGCAGTCCTTCCCGGCAGCTGCAGGGCACAAAGCCAGTTATTGCAGAGTCACTCTGCCCCGAGGCCACCAGCCATTGCCCAGGAGACAGCAGGAAACCCCCAGAGAGCCAGCCCCTGCCACTCACCAGCTTACGGTGACCCCACAGGAAGCCACCCGGCCTGCCCTCTATTTGTATGAGTGGAGAGTTACTGAAACGCGCCACGCCCACTCCTTCCTGCTAAGGTGGCAGTGACCACGTGGCCCAGGAGCCCGAATTAGGTACAATCAAGTCCTTTGCAGAAAAAGAAGAGTTTTACATGATTCATCACCTGACCCCAGGGCTGTGGCACGGGAGGGAGGCAGTGTCGATTTTACGACTGGAGCCCTGGGGACCTGAGTTCTTCAGTCCCTTAGAGACTCATGGGCACCCGTAAACTTGACCGTCTCCAGGGAGGATGCCCGATCCAACGGAGAACCCCCACTTAAATGTGAACTCCCAATAGTGTTTTTTTTTTTCCCTTAGCATACATATGCCCCAAATATTGCATGGGACATGATCATAATGAAAGGTTTATTAGAGAATAAATTGCAGATTCAGAGTGAACTGGGCATCCCGGGTGTGGGCCTGGGAGTCTGGGATCCCGCTCGTCATCTGAGGGGTGGGGCTTCCCTCCTCCTTCCCCTTCCGTAAGACTTGGCGAGGGTCATCCGGAGGCTCAGGGGAGCTCGGGTCTACACCGGGCACTTTGAATGGTGCTTGCACACGGAAGTGCCCGTCCAGTCTAGCTGTGGGTGTTTGTATTCGTCTCACTCTGGCATAGCTTTGAGAGAGGGCGGCTCTGGCCCCAAGCAGGTGACCAGCTGGGTCAAACTCATGACTAGAGTAACACCCAGGGGTCTGTGGTTGGTGGCCCTTCAGTGGGGGTGACATCACAGTCATGAGAGACCCCAGCCTTTCGACGGAGCAGTCCTAATGCCCAGGGGCTGCCATCTCCTGCAGCCCCCGGGACGATGTGGGCAGAGGGCATCCGAGTCCAGGAGGGGAGGAGGTGCTGCCCAGGGTCACACAGCTGGGGCGGACAGCCCAGGACTTGAACCCAGGACTTGGGTCTGAACTGCTGAGTCACACCCACAGGGTCGAGCAAAGCTGTGTGCAGCCCAAGGTGTGTCAGGGCCCTGGGTGTTGCTGTTTCTGGGTTTTTTTGCAACAATCACTAATGACTAAGTGCTCTGGGCTCAGGCTGGGTGCCAGGCCCTGGGCTATGGGCCGAACCTGAGCCCGTGGACCCTCACCCCGACCCCAGGGAGCAGGTTCCTGCAGATGGGGGCACCGAGGCCCCAAGAGGTTGACAGCTAGTCAGGGCCACCTGGCTGGTCAGTGCTGCAGCCAGGATTTGGACCTGGCCGTCCACTGCCATGGGCTTAGCATCCAAATGAGCAGGTTGACCAGATGCCCGAGCCACAACATAACCTGGTGACAGGTCCCACCTCACCCCAGCAGGAGTTGACGTCACTATGACCTACAAGAGGTGGTGAGAATGCCCAGGGCAGAACAGAGAAGCTAACTAGTAATAGTAACTAGGTAACTAGTGCTTGGTGAGTCTCATACTATGATGGTGCCTGTAACTCATTTTCTAGCTGGGCAAACATGTCACTGTGTCACAGGGTGCCGTGGCACATGCTGGTAGTCCCAGCCGCTCGGGAGGCTGAGGCAGGAGGATCTCAGGTTCAAAGCCAGCCTCAGCAAAAGTGAGGCCCTAAGCAACTCAGTGAGACCCTGTCTCTAAATAAAACACAAAACAGGGCTGGGGAGGTGGCTCAGTGGTCGAGTGCCCCTGAGTTCAATCCCTGGTACCCCCGCCCCCCAACAAATGTCGCTGTTTCTCTTCCTGGACTGTGAATGAGGACAAGGACCTGGGCCCAGTGTTCAGTGCTGTGCACCTGGAACAGCACCCCACGGGGGCTCCAGCAGGACAGTCCCCCGTGATGCCTGATTTCCACATGTGAGAGGTCTGTCCCTGCCACCCCCTGCCGCAGCCCGGCCATCTCCCCAGGTGGGGGCGCTCTTCCTGTCCATGTCCCCCCATCCCCCCGCGCCCTCCTGCTGAGCTTGGCCCTCACCCAGGCTGGCGGCCTTCACGTCCTCCGCACTGGGGTCAACTTCCTCCAAGCTCAGGAAGGCAGCCAGACGGTTGAAGGACACCCAGGCCTGTGGAAACCAGGGCCCCGGGTCACCCAGCCAGAAGAGCAGGAGCCCAGCTTCTGGGGCAGGTGCCCAGGACGGTGTCCTGTCTACCGAGCCCCGCGGGTTTGCAAGGCGTTAGAACGAAGCCTCTGCGCACATGTGGAGGTGGGGACCGTGATGGCAGTGGGGACCTCTCCCACCTCCTGGCTCCTAAGTAGCAAAACTGCAACAATCAAGCGCTGGAACAGGTGGTGGCTTTTCCCACAGCCTCAAGGCAAGATGAAAGATCATGTCGGACTCTGTCCACCGGGGGGTACCCTCTCAGCTCCCAACCACAAACCCACCTCTGGGGACCGGGAGGCAGCCCTGGAAATGCAGCAGCTCTGACGGGCAAGTGCCCAGGGATGCTCAGGACAGAGCGGGCAGCGAGTAAAGCTCTGGATGAAAGGGGACCGGGCAGGGACTCCTGCACCAGGGCTTGCTGCGCCCTGGGAGGACCTGTGCTGCGGTCCCCGTCACCCTCTGGACGCTTTCCGATGGCTCCCTGCTACCCTCTGCTCCATGTCACGCCTCCTCTCCCTCCCTCTCCTCCTCTGCCTGCAGGGGTGGCTGGCACGGGGCCCTCCCCGCTGGCCCCACCTGGACAAGTAAATGGACGGAGAAGGGCAGGAAGGCCTGGGCTTTGTTGAGGATGCCCAGTACGGTCAGGGTCACGAAGGCCTTCTCCGCGTCCATGGCGTTCTCCTCGGCCACCAGAGTGTGCACCGCAAACACCACCAGGGCAACCTGGAGGGGCACCCGGCGCTGACCGTGAGACGACGGCCGAGCGTGGCCGGGAAGATGCCCCGCTGCGCGGCCTCCAGGGTCAGCGTGGGGTCCCCACCCGGGCACGCCCTCCCCCAGCCCAGGCTCTGCAGGGGAACCGGCGGCGTCACCAGAAACGTGGACACTTGGAAGGACACCAGGGACACGGAGAAGAGAAGGGTGGACGTCCTCAGGGCGCCCAGCTCCTGGCCCCGGATGCGCAGGATCCTCTCCAGGAAGGCCTCCTCCCAGCCGTGGGCCTTGATGGTCCCCATGGTCCTGAGGACGGAGCTGGTGAGCCGCGCCCGGGAGTCCTTCTGGCGCATCTGCTCCTCCTGTGACCCGCGGGAAGCAGAGAAGGGCGAGAAGATCAGTGGCCACCTTAGAAGGCAGAATCCCAGGGGACAGCAAAGGTCAGAGGGCGAGGGACTCAGCAAGGGACCGGGTGGCTGCCACTGTCCAGGTCGGAGACTGGGGGCTGGAGAGCCCACCGTGGAAGGGGTCATGCTCTGGATGGGTGCCCAGGTCCGAGTCGGGGCACAGTCGTGCCAGGGCAAGGGCAAGCCAGGCCTGCAGGACCCCCCCCCCAGTCTCTGGTGCCAGCGGGGGCCCAGGACCCGTGAGCACCCCCCACTTCCTGATTGGCACGTCCCTGCTCCCAGAGCCAAACCTGGTAGTGGCCCTTCTTCTTAGTGATGAAGAAATTCAGAGGGAGGAGGCCCAGGAAGACAGCGATGGCCGTGAGGGCTGAGGGTCCTACAAGCTGGGGACAGAGCAGGTGGGGGGCACGAGACCCCCGGGGATGTGGTCAGACGTGGGTCCTCACACAGGCAGATGTCAGGGTGGGGGGCTCACGGGGATCCACGGAGGAGATGCCTGAGGAACATGGGGTCCTTCTGCCAGGGTGGGAGCTGTCCACTTGGGGTGGGCAGGGTTAGATTCCAGGTGAGTCACCCATGTCACCGGGGGGCGGGCACTGGGCACTGGGTGGACAGTTCCCTTCATTTATAAGGCATTGGCGCCACCCAGTGGCTCAGTGGAGAAGTGTCTAGAAGGCACACGCCCGCACCCAGCTGGAAAGACCCTAAGGAAACAACTGGTATCACCTAACTGTGGCACCCCGAGCCCAGCCCTCCTTAACCTGCACCGCGTGGTGACCCTCTGATGATTGGGACGGTCTTCTAAGGGCTGGGTGATGCACTCCTCAGGGAGGGCACCTGCAGGGCTCTCAGTCCCTGGTTTTTATCACGGTCACCGTCTCCTTGTTCGACCTCCTTGAATTTCTCCACATTTCCTCCCTCCCTCCCTCCCCCTCTTTATTCTGAATAGAAACATCCAGTGTTTCTATCCTGCACGTCAGGTACTGCCTGAAAGCCTCTGTGTCCTTGCTGAGCACCTGCTGTATGCAAGGCCTTGAAATACAGAGAAAGGTCCTTCCCCGTGGGCACTGCCAAAATAATGATGTGCACGGGCACCAGAGGGCATGCAGGAGGATCTGCCCCTCGTGCTCGATCAGCATGCCACCCACGGACCCACCCAGGGCCTGTCGTCACTGGCACAGGGGATTTTGTGTCTCCCAGGAGCTCTGCAAGAAGTTCTAAATGGCATTTACAGTTTAAATCGTTGTGAAACTTGAAGACTGTTTCATGACATGTGACAATGATGTGGAGTTCAAGTCGCAGTGTCCATAAAGAGAGTTCTGTGTGGTGCGGGGGATTGAACCCAGGGGTGCTCTGCCTCTGAGCCTCATCCCCAGCCCTTTTGAACATTTTATTTTGAGTCAGGGTCTCACTGAGTTGCTTGGGGCCTCGCTAAGTTGCTGAGGCTGGCTTTGAACCCGTGATCCTCCTGCCTCAGCCTCCTAAGTTGTTGGGGGTACAGGCGTGGGCTGCCGTGCCCAGCCATCACACCCAGGGGTTCAGCATCGTCCGAGGTTGCTTTTGCATCCTGAAGACAGAACTGAAGAGTCGAGAGAGTGACCTGCGGCCCCCTAAGCATAAAATGGCCACTGTCCGGTCCTTTATAGATAAGCTTGTGAGCCCCACATCCACCCTGGAGCAGGACAGCTAAGCGCTAGATGGTCCCAGGAGCTCTTTAGTTATCAGGGACACTAGCAAAACCCACAGAGCCGCTGTGGGCCTCTGTCCTGTTCTTCACGGGCACGGGTTGGACACCCGAATCTGAAATCAAAATGCTCCAAGATCCAGCACTCTCAGGAGGCTGCAATGGGAGCGTCCACACTGACCTCGAGGGTCACAGTCAAAACACAGGCAGACTGAAAATATTGTATGGGACACCGTCAGGCCACGTGGGTGAGGCGCATTTGAAACATAAGCGGGTTTGCTGTTTAGACCTGGGCCCTCCCCACGAGATCTCAGGAGGCGTCACGCAGATATTCCAACATCGCAAAGTCCTGCCACCCTCACCGCCTCGGGCCAGGCATTCCACACGAAGGCTGCTCACCCTGCAGAGCCAGTGAACCCCAGCGGCTCTAGGACAGGGCGCTATTCCTGATTGCCATCTCTTTTTAGATGGGGAAAGGGGCCCATGACTAGGGTAAAGGTTTCCAGTCAGTAAGTGGTCAGGGCAGGACTTGAACCCAGGAGCTACTGAGAGAGTTTGATTTTAATCAAAAGAACAACTGAGCTTGGTGGCGCACGCCTGTCATCCCAGTGGCTCAGGAGGCTGAGGCAGGAGGATCTCGAAAGCCAGCCTCAGCAAAAGCGAGGCCCTGAGCAACTCAGCGAGACCCTGTCTCTAAATAAAATACAGATAGGGCTGGGGATGGGGCTCAGTGGCCCTGAGTTCCACCCCTGGTACCAAAATAAAATAAAAAAGAGTCCTCTCTCTTTTCTCTCTCTGTCTCATTACTTTTTCTCTTTTTTTTCTTTCTTTCTTTTTTTTTGGGGGGGGGGTCCGTTGGTTGCTCAGGTAACAATCCCTTTCCCTGTAAAAGGGTCTTTTGCTATCGTTTTGCTGTGTGCCGGGGTCTGGACCCCCCAGCAGTACTGATACCTTGTGCCCCATCTGCCTCCTGGTGACCCCAAGACCCTCCCTGAGAAGCCTCAATGCCATGGGCAGAGACTCCACCTTGCAAGAGGGGAGACCGAGTCCCAGAGGGGCCGAGCCAGCGCGTCCCTAGGGCTTCTCCCTCTCCCAAGCCCCGCCCCTCCGCCCCGCACCTGCCACAGGTAGGCGAAGCAGAGGCAGATCCAGAGTAGCGGCAGCCAGGAGCTGTTGAGGTAGAGGACGCTCTCCGTGAGCCGCGGCACGTCCACAGACAGCAGGTTGACCACGTCCCCCACCGCGCTGGCCTTTCTGGCGCTGCTGGACAGGGCCAGGACCTGGGCCGGAGGGACAGAGGGGCTGAGGAGGGGAGGAGCCTGTGAAGTCCCCTGTGCCCACCTCCCGGGGCTGTCCTGGGCATCCAGGCGGAGTCCCTAGAGCTCTGGCGCAGCAAAAATCCACAGCCCCGATAAATACACCAGCTTCCGCAAGGTCACGGAGGTCATGTGCCAAGTGCCAACCCGGCCCCGGGCTCAGCCGTGCCCCACGCAATCCCAAACGCCCAGACAGAGCCCTCTCCGGCTTTGAATCCCCAGGGAAAATATCCCCAGTAAAACTGGGACCCTCGAGATGCGTCCTGACTGCAGAACTGCTAAAGGGTGAAAAGAGACAGCCATCCCGGGTCAGGGAGCCGCACACTTATTACCCCACTGGGCAGCCAAGGGGACCGAGGCCCAGAGGGGTTGAACAACTTGCTCAAAGTTGGGGGGGGGGCTGGTAAATGCTGAGCTGGGATTGGAAACCAGGACCAGCCAGGCGTGATGTGGGCCAGGCGTGATGTGGAACCACGCCCCCACGATTCCACGGCCTCGGACCCCGATCCTGTTTCCCCCGACCCGGGGGTCACAGTGGACCCCTTCTGGCCTGTTGGATGTCGGACTCTACCTGCGATCCTCTCTCTGCTGGTGTGTGAGGGTGAGAGTGAGCTGGGCCGGGGGTGCAGCTCTACAAGGGGACAGCCACCTGTGCCCCTCCCTGAGCAGCCGACCGGCACCAGGGACTGGAGTTCCAAAGGGAAGGACACCCAAGCCTTTCACAATGTGTTCAAGGGCAGCGAGGGGCAGCCCGAGGGGCAGCGGAAGTCCGGCTCATTCATCCGGGGATCAAAGGGCTTCCTCTTTAGCTCAGGAAACAGGTGAACTCGGGAGACTTGAGAGGCCACACCCAACTCCAATGCTGAGTGGACAGGAGCCTGCACAGAGCAGGCTGGCCGGGCAGCATGCCAGGGCCATCCAGGACGGTGCCTTGTCCCCTCTCCTGCGGGTGGCAGCTCAGGGACTGGGAACACCCTCATTCAGTTGCTGCAGACCCCCCGGAGCCAGGATCCGTGGCAGCTTGGTGGGCCTGGCCCCCAGGGTCCCCTGAGGGAGCACAGTCACTGCCCAGATCTGGCTGCCCAGGGGGTGGTCACAGTCGTCACAGAACCTCCAGGCCATGGCACTGGACAGTGGCCCAGAAGTCACTCCACCCTGAGCAGTGCTGCCTGGTGACAGGGGACAGTCCACCACAGCCAGAGGCTGTCATGAGCGGGAGTGGACACTCCCAGAGGAAGAGGAGGTGGATACAGTGACAGTCACCACCCTGCTCAGGAAACTCAGGATAGAGGGACGTCCAAGGTCAGGGCTGTGCGTGTGTGTGCGTGATGTGTGTGCGTGCAAACTTGGGGATCCTCCTGCCTCAGCCTCCAAAGTCACTGGGATCACAGGCATGGGTCCCTGGGCCTGGCTTAATGGCAGAGGGCTCATGAGTGTCTACACCAGGTTTGGAAACCAGGACCACTAAGGCACGACCGAGCTTCGGCAGGACATTGAGCCGACCCGGCAGTAGGAATCCCAAGCGCCAAAGCCCCAAGGTGGGAGCACACCGGGCAGGTTTGAGCAGCATGGCAGGAGGAGGGGGAGCGTGGGAGGGGGGGGAGCTGTGTGACGGGATGAGCTTGGAGGGGTCTCAGGGTCAGATCACACGGGGCCTGACCAGAAGAACCAAGGAGATGAGAGTGCAGGGAGTGAAGACTCAGTGAGTGAAGACTCTGTTCTCAGCCCTGAGGGTATCATCGAGAGCCCAGGGACACCGTCCCCTCCAGCCTGGACGGGAGGGCGTGAGTGCCCCGGGGCTCACCTTCCGGTACACCAGGCCGGTGATGGCGGTGCGCAGCCTCATCTGCAGCACCTTCACCCTGTACATGAAGTGCTGCTCGAACAGCGTCTGCAGGCAGGCTGCGAGGAACATCAGGGTGGCCAGGAGCGGCCCCTTCCAGGCGGGGGCCTCGGGGCTGTCCATGAACTCCAGGAACAGGCTGGGGGAGGGGGAGGGCAGCGGATGAGGCCAGCACCCCGTAGCTGCCCGCCGAGGCCCAGGGGCGCAGACCCCTCCTGCAGAGGGCCGTCCCCATGAGGCCTGGGGCTCCTCCTGCAGAGCTGAGATCCCCCACCAGGAGGCAGCACCCCCCAAAGAGGGCATTGACGTCAACCAGGGCCAACAGGGTCCTCATCCCGTCTGCCTAGTGTCCCCCGGGACCCCGAGGCGGGGCCACGCAAGGACACGGTGAGGAGTGGCCTTGGGAGAAGCCCACCCCGCCGCCGTCTTCACCTTGGGCTTCAGCCTCCAGACGGAGGGACGGTGAGTCCAGTGGTCACCCATTTTGTGGTGCTCTGTTACAGGGGACCTAGGGACTCACACTCGGGCCCTGACATCTGGCTGGAGGGGACGCTGCTAGCTCCCAGCCACGGCCTCAGGAGCACATGCCACTTTGTTCCCTCTCCTGGACCCTTCCAAGTGGCCATGGGAACAGGCCCCAGCTAGCCTTCTGCACGTGCAGGAGAGAGAGCCGAAAGTGTCCCTGGTGAGACGGTCCTAGCAGAGCCACCTCCAGGGTTCCAATGGCGCTGGCGGGAGGCACCTGCCTAGCGCACCCAGGGCCCCGGGCTCCGTGCCCAGCCCAAAGGAATGTAAGGAAATGAAACCGGCAGAGCCAGTGTCCAGCCAAACCAGGAGCCGGAGGAGGACACCCGGGTGGACCCTGGCAGAAGAAGGTCCGCCCAGTGGATCCTAGCCGGGATGCCACCATATTGTCACAGCCCAACAAACACATGCCTGGTGGCTCTGCGTCCCTCACCTTGGGGTGGTTTATAGCCAGAAGCGAGTGACCCAGGCAGGGGAGGGTCACCCCCTGACCTCAGGGACACTTCTCCTCTTCCCGCCTCCATGCCCCGCCCGGGTGCTGAGCACCACGCGTCCAGGAAGAGGCCGCAGGAGAGACCGCAGCCCTGGAAGGACGCCGTGGGGCCGCCACCTTAGCCAGACGCCCCACCTACCTGAGGAGCTTGGGGACAGAGAACCTGAAGACGTCACTGATGACCAGGCTGAGGGTCCCCAGCAGGAAGGTGGAACGGAACACCCGGCAGATGGCCCTGAGCAGCGGTCCCCGCGGGCTCCCCTCCTGCTGCAGGAGGGCCTCCTTCTCCGCAGCCTCCGTCTCTGCGGCCTCCGCGCCGCGGCGTCCCTTGCTCTTGGACACCTTGGTGCGCCTTCGGGGAGAGGAGAGGGTGTCGGGTGCTGCCCACAGGCTGAGCCGCCCGGCAAGTGCCGGCCCCCGGGGTTCTGTTCCCCACGACAGGGGGCGGGCAAGACCTGCTGGCTCCGACACCCAGGGGACTCCATCAGGATGGGCAGCGGCGGGAGCGGGAGGGACGGCAGGCAGCCCGTGGCCTTGGGGCCACCGTGGGAGGCACCTGTGGGGTGCGGGCACTCCTGCGTCCTCCCAGGAACCCTGCAAGCCTGGTGTCCCCTCTTGTGCACAGACGAGGAAACCGAGGCTCAGAGGGGCCCGTGGACGGGCCCAGGGTGCGAGGCTGGGACCAGAAGGACTCGGGCAGAGGTTGGAACCAGGGGCCCCGCCGCCGAGCTGCATCCCAGCCCCCAGTGTGTTCTGAGACAGGGTCTCCCGAAGCTGCTGAGGCTGGACTTGAACTTGGGGGTCCAAGTGACGGGTGGACTTTGCTGACCGAGAACCGGCCTGAGCCCCGGCCCCAGCCCTCACCTCTGGGCCACGCGGCGGCTCCTCCTCCATTCCTGCTCCAGCCGGGAAAGCAGCTCTTCAGAGGACTTTCCTTGCTCGAGTGACCAGAAGTCTTTTGGTCCCAGCGGCTTCCTGTAGCCCCTCCAGAGCAGCCTGTCCAAGAGGGACACCGAGGCCCGTTTCTCCAGCCGCCCACCCCGGGGGGCCCCAGCCGGCAGCCGTGTGACCCTGGGCATGTCACTGTGGCTCTCTGTACCTCTGTTGGGCCCTGGGTCAGGGAAGGCAGCCGACCTCAGCCCACCTGACACCCCTCGGTTACGAAGAGGGTCTCACTTATTCTCAGGGGAGCCCTCCGCTAGATGATCATTGGCCCATTTTACAGATGATGACGGACACAGAGGCTCAGAGGGATGACGAAGTGACTTCGCCAAGGGACAGCTGACATCGCTAGGGCAACAGACCCCTCCCGAGGGTCAGAAGTCCAGGGGCTAAAATGCTCAGAGTGGAGGGGATCTGAACTCCTCCCCCAGCTAAAAATACCTCTCCTCCTCCGCTGGCCCAACCAGCAGCCTCAGGGCCTTTGCAGACGCCTGGCACACTGCTAAAATCCCGTTTCCTGCCACCCCTCCTCTGGCCGTTTCTTACTCATCGTCTGAGCTTACACCTGACTTCTTAGGAAGGTCCCCCTGGACTTCCCAGCCCCGGTGGATTCCATTCTAACTGCCTGGGGTCTCCTGAGCCTCATTTTAAAAGAATGTCAGTTGCCACGATGATCTCCATTTTTTACCTAATTATCTACTTAGTGTCCCCTCCTCCAGCAGATGGCAAGTTCCCTGGGCAGGGGCAGTACTGTCCACCTCCCTGTCTTGTGTTCCCGCATTCTGGCAGGGTTCTGTGACCTTGGGGCACGTCCCTAGGTTTCAATTGTCTCACTTTAAAAGTGAGACATGTCCTGCAGATGGCCTGAGGTGACTGAGGTCGGCACATACAGGAGAAATTAAACTCTACGGGCGTCTGCGGAGGGAGCCTTGCTTTCTTTTCCGGTCTCTTTGATCTTTCTGATGACACCTGGGAGGTCCTCGGGGTGTCACCTCTCTCTCTAGGACTTGCCAAGTGCCCTTTTATTCTAAGACACAGTGATCTTGGGCACCCACCGGCCTGACCGGGACGGGGTTAACCCAGCTTGCCGTGCCCTGAGGAGATTTCTTCCGGAGTTTTCTACAGGGCAGGGGATTTGACTGACTTTCCAAGTCTGGACAGTGACGGTAAGATTCCTTTTTCAAAAGTTCATTGAAGTTTAAAAAAAAAAAAGTGAGTTTTTAAAAAGCGAGCTCACTGGGGAGGGCGGAGGACACCCCCATGTGGCAAACAGCAGGAAAAGCCACCCCTAACTAAGTTAAGGAAGCAGCAGCCAGACCCCCGGTGTGTGTGTGGGGGGGGGCTGCCAAGGAAACTTCTGGGCTCTTCCACCAAGTCCACACATCCAGAGGCCCCCGTTCCTTGTTTGTGTGACGACCCTTTTATGTAACACTCTCTACGCACCAGGCCCCACCTAAGGGCCTCGTCAACTTTGTCTTATTCAACCTTCACAGCCCACGAGGGGGATCCTGTCATCCTTCCTGTTTTGTAGGTATGGGGACTGAGGCACAGAGAGGTAAAGTAGCTTGTCTAGGGCCACACAGCCAGGATCCACGTCCATGTGGTTGGGTGCTACTGAGGTCTGACTGCAGTGCGTTCAGGAGGGGGTCTGGTGGGTGGGCACATCCCCCTTGCCGGGGGGGGGGGGGGGGGGGGCTGGCCCTAGAGGAGCAGCCGGGGCCCCTCGGGCAGTAGAGCGTTGGCCTTTTGCATCTTACTCCTGGTGGTCAGCACAGAGTAGGTGCTTATTAAACGCTGGCAGAATGACTAAACCTGTGCTCAAGCACGAGGCCCTTTCCATTTACAAAGGCAGAGCGGTCCCCAGGTCACAGAGGGCTAATTGGAGACCCCGGGGATCTGTGTCATGGCCCCTAAGAGGCAGAGCCAGGGTCCGAGTCCAGATCACACCCCAGAAAGTGAAGTGGGCCCAGGTATGTGGGTCATTGACCGGAGGCAAGCCACCAGCGGGAAAGCCGGGCCGGCCCTTGTGAGGGGCCCCGGGGGGAGTCAGGCAGCAGCCTGGGTGGCTAGGACCCCCAGCCCCTTCCCGCCACCATGCTTACCCCGAAATCCACCAGAACATGGCTCTGGAGGGGAAGGAAGCCCCAGCCTTTGGACATGGATTCTGCAAAAGATGAAAGATGGGGGAGGGGGAGGCCTCAGCGCACACCCAGGGAGGGTAGGTGACCACGGTCAGGAAGACAGGACGGACCGGCCACGCACTCCGCACTCAGAATGCACACTGAGGGCACTGCCTCCTTGTCACGTCGAGGAGCGTGGTGCTTCCTAGCAGGCAAGGTGAAAATGGACTGAGCTACAGACTGGGAGAGTCCACGCAGTCAGAAATGAGAGCGGCTCAGGAGAACAGCTGTCCACACCAAGACCAAGAAGTTCTCAAAGAAGGACCATGTCCTCAACGATGTCCCTCAGCCAGGGCTGGGAAGAGGGCACTGTCCACTTCACAGAAGAAACACGAATGGTCAAAAAATACATGGGAAAAAATGTTCATCATCTCTAGCAATTAGAGAAATGCAAATCAAAACTACACTAAGATTTCACCTCACTCCAGTCAGAAGGGCAGCTTTTGAGAATACAAACAACAATCAGTGTTGGCGAGGATGTGGGAGAAAGGCGCACTCATAATGCTGGTGGGACTGCAAATTGGTGCAGCCAATCTGGAAAGCAGTATGGAGATTCCTTAGAAAACTTGGAATGGAAACACCACTTGACCCAGCTCTCCCTCTCCTCAGGCTATATCCAAAGGACTTAAAATCAGCACCCTACAGTGATGCAGCCACATCCATGTTTATAGCAGCTCAATTCACAAGAGTCAAACTAGGAACCAACCTAGAGGCCCTTCAACAGATGAATGGATAAAGAGGATGTGGCACATACACACAATGGAATATTGCTTAGCAGTGAAGAAGAGTGAAATTATGGCTTTGCTGGTAAATGGATGGAACTGGAGACTATCATGCTAAGTGAAATAAGCCGATCCCCCCCAAACCAAAGGCCAAATGATTTCTTGGATATGCAGATGCTAATTCACACTAAGTGGGGGCACAGCTAGGAGAGAATAGGGGGACTTTGCATTAGGCAGAGGGGAGTGAAGGGAGGGGAGGGGTATGGGAGTAGAAAGGATAATAGGAAGAATCAGACTTTATTACCCTATGTGCATCCTACTGTCACGTAGAGCTCATTAGAACAAAGTTTTTAACAAAGAGGGCTCTTTCCTGAGATTTCTGTCAGCTGACCCACAAAGTTGTGCAGTCTACCCTTGAAGCCAGATTTAAAGTTAGGTAGTCAGTGTAGTTAGGTAAATCGGGTCTAATGCCGAGTGAAATCTAAAATGGAGGCCATGCTGGCAATGATTCCGGGAAACGCAGGACAACTCAAGGAATGTTAATGAAGTCCGAAAAGGCCCTAGGCCAAAGTCCACCTCAAAGAAATGTTAATGAACAGCCCCCAGCAAAAAGGTGCTGACTGAGAAGTCCTTCCTGACCAGATTACTTCTTTGGCCCACCTGTGTCCCACCCCTCGGGCCTTCCCACCTACATTCCATCACTGAAAGAACTATAAAAAGGGGAGACAACATCCCTTCCACGGATTCCACCTCTTGGGTCCCCTTCTTCCTCCGGGAGAAGTCTTTTCTGCTGTCCTTTAATAAACTTCTAATTTCTACTCTGACCTTGCCTCGGCGTGCTTCTTTGGTGTTATTCTTCAACATTGGGGAAGCAAGAACTCGTCACCAGTCAACAGCGGTAACACCCTCGTCACCAACAAGTCACAAAAGCACCCATGTCACTCCATGGTGGCCATCCCAACTTGTTGTCAATTATTAGGTTTTTCTTTGTTTCCGTCCTGACAGGCACAGAAAAGTCCGACGGCCGTTCTGAACAGCTCACCCGCGTGAGCAGGTCTAGAGCTGGCCGCGGCCCGGCTCTTCCTCAGAAAATTCTCCCCTGATTCCCCAGGTGCCTGCTTCAGTGGCACGTGTCGGGGACTCAGGGGCCTGAAAGTCTCCTGCCGAGCACCTCCCCAGGTGTCACCTCCCCCACGTCTGCGCAGTTATGTGACCGCTAACTGCCTGGTGCTGCTCACCAGATCCTCAGCACCGGGCAGGAGCCCAGGGCCGGGGACAGCGCTGTGGCCTCCAGACCCAACCCAGCCCACCGCCTGCTTCTGCAAGCCATGCTCTTGGCCGCCCGGCCGCGTCCCTCGGCCGACACTTCTCCTGTGCTGGCTTCTGCTCCACCGCGGCAGACCGGCTCCCAGAGCCTCAGATGTTTCCAGAGGGAGCTGGCCACAGGGCCACCGCGAGGAGCTGAGCCATCCCCATGTTGCCAGCGAATGAAAGACCCAGGCCTAAGCTCTAGTTCCACGCTCTCGGGTCCCCCCGGAGGCTGGGACCCAAAGCGGTGCAGGCAGGAAGGAGGCCCGGAGTTGGGGACCTGGGGACTCACCGGCTGCTGGGCGTCTTTAGGGAAGAAGGGGGGCCAGTCCACCAGGCAGGACAGCACAAACTGTGCCACCACCAGGGACAAGCACAGGTAGGTGGACAGGTGGCCGAGGGGGTCGCTCTGGAAGCCCTGCAGGAGAGAGAGCACAAGTCCCCCTGAGTCTGGGGGACAGAGGACAGTGCCTGAGCCCCCAGGGGTGGAGGCAGAGAGGGGCTCCCAAGAGCGGGGAGGCCGGGGCTGAACAGGGTTCCAGGCCAGGAGCAGCGTCCAGGCAGGGGACAGGGCCAGGGTGTTCCCGAGCCAGGCCCCTGCATTCCTGGTTGTCCCAGTTTGCAAAACCTGATGTGCACATATTCTGTCTGAACAAACGCGGGGCCAGGGCTGTGTCTGGGCTTTGCCCTTAGCTGGTGACGACCGGACACAGAGCTGGGATAAGAAGAAGAAGGGATCTTGGAAGTCTTTCTCTATTCCAGCTTTCCCGCCACACCCAGCCTCCCAGCCGGCTCCCTCTGGTTTCTGGTTGACGGAGAGGGAACGGGCTTAACTGAGCATGTACTCTGTCCGGGCACACAGACGTCCTTCCTAAGCACAGTCCGCCCACCTGACCCCAGCTGGGTTTACGGCCTCCTGGTGAAACAGCAGCTGAGCTCAAGGGCACACAGATGGTGCCAAATTATGAGCTGTTCTGCTGAGCCACTGCAGGGCTGGACAAGAGACCAATAAGTACAGTCCCCTGGCTACTGTGATGGGGGTGGGAACGCACACAGGGCTCAGGCGGGGACAGTGACAGCTAGACCCACTGGGGGAGTCACCAGGCTTGTCTTCTGCCGACGGGTCTCACTGACAGGCAGACAGGGTCCCACTGAGTGGCTCAGCGCCTCACAGTGGCTGAGGCTGGTTTTGAACTCAAGATCCTCCTGCCTCGGCCTCCAGAGCTGCTGGGATGACAGCGTGCGCCCTGTGCCTGGCTCTCCTGAGATTTTTCTTCTGGCTTTTATTTTATGTTTTTGCAGACAGTAGACAGTTGTCCTCTGGTTTCACGGGGCCCACCTTCCCATGCCGCTGTGTGGTTTTTTTTTCTTTTAACCACTGTTGCTATGACAAAGCTGGGACAGTGAGGAGACCTGACCTTGGGAGAGGCTCACAGTTGGCCTCTGCACTCCTGACCACGTGGCCTGGGGGAGGGCATTCCCTCCTCGGAGCCTCAGTTTCCTGTCTTTGAAGTGGGACTTTGGGACCCTAGACAGAGCGTTCTGGGAAGACTCCAGTGTGGGGGGGGGGGACATAAGTGCTCCCTGGTGCCTGTCCGTGGCCACTGCTCTGGCGTGCTGAGGACTCCCGGGTCTCTGTTTCTGTCCTGAGTTCCAGAAGCTGACTGTGGGCCCCACCCTCCATGATTTGGGGGTGCAGGTGGGATTTCCTCATTAGGTAAAAACGTTGCTCTTTAAAAATCTGTCCTAGGGTCAGAGATGTCCCTCCACTTTCTCCTCCTAGGAGCAGGACAGAGTGTCCACGTGGCTCAAGAAGCGATGGCCGGCCACCTGCTTCCACCTGGCCATCGGCCCCCAGCCCACAGCCTCGGCAGAACACTCTCCAGAGGCAAATGACTCGCCATGGGTGGGCGGGTTTCCCTCTCAGGGGACCTGGCAGGATCTGGGGGCACTCTGGGTCACCACCATGGAGGGCGGTTGCTGCTGTTAGTGGGTAGAGGCCAGAGATGCCTATCCATATCCCTAGGACCATCCCCTGTCCCCCCACCAATGGAGAAGGGTCCAGTCCGAAGGTGGGCAGAGCCAGGCTGTGAAGCCCCATCCAGGCTGTGTGTCTCTTTGCAGAGAAATCGCTCCATCAGCTCCTAATACAGAAGCCCCGCTCCCCAGACTGGACAGCTGAGTGAGTGTGCAGAAAGTGAGTGTTGGCACAGATGCACAGGGACGCGGGGAGGCCGAGTGTGTCAGGAGGAGGGGGCACGTGCGTGCGTCACCTAGGGGAGAGCATGCGTGTGCGTCCAGGTCAGGCAGTACTCGTGCGAGCTCCTGTGTCCTGGCGGGAGGCGGGCCTGGGGCACTCAGGTGTGTGCCAGCCGGCAAGAGAGTGTGACGTGTGTGAGACCAGGGGATCTGTGCCATTAAAAAAAAGCACAAGTGACAACGTGCAGGGGTCTAGAGATGACTGCGTGAAGTGAAAGGAGCCGGGCTCGAGAGGTCAGGGCTGGCTGGCCTCACCCACAGGCTCTTACAGACCAGGGTCCAGCGGGGTGGCCAGAGGCTGAGAGCGGGTGGGAGAGATTCCTCAGCAGGTACAAATATGGCCGAAGAATGCGGCCTGGCGTTCTGTTGCACGGGCCGGGATTGTAATTAACAATGTTGAATATTTCAAAAGAGCCAGGAGAGGAGTCTGAATGTACCCACCCCAAAGAAACGGCCCCTGGAGGAGGTGATGCATATGTTAAGCACCCTAACTATGGATTCTTACATGGTGTACATATGCACCCAAATACCCCGCTGCACCCCGTAAGTGTGTACGATTAGCATGTGCCAGTCAAAAGTCAGAACATGGACGGAGGGCGGTGACTTAGAAGTGAGGGTACGTTTGTGAGTCTCTAGTGTTTAAGTGACTGGGGTGTGTGCCTGTGTCTCTCTGTGTTGAGATTAAGCCATGTGTGGAAAGGGCAGGGGATGGATGAGACCCAAGGCCGCCATATGGGTTTCCCCAGCTGGCCCAGGTCCCCACTTACCCCTCTGGAGGCCTGCTGGGCGGTGCTTGTAGCTGGCAAGAGGCAGCAAAGTAGCCAGTACCCAAACATCACCCCGGAAGCCCGGACTCCCTTCTTCCTCTCCATGTGAATCAGGAACACGGCGAAGCCCTGGGTGACAAAGTCCAGCTGGGCCCCTTGTGGGGGTGGGAGTGGGGTGGGGTGGGGTGGGAGGGGAGGCGCCTCTCTTCCCCACACTCCCCACCAGGAGCGAGCCAGGTTCCAGCAGAAGAGGTCATTACCATGGTGGTGAGCCACACTGTAGGGTGAATAAGGAATTCTGGGGCCTGGGGTGTTCCCTGTTGGATTTTCCAAAGAGGGAGGGCCACGTTGAAGGCACACAGGAGCATGAGGGCGAACCCGAGCACCTGGGGAAACAGGTGTAAGTAAGGCTGGGGGTGGAATAGAGGTGGGAGGAGACGTGGGGTGGTCCCACATCCTACTGGGCGCTGGTTCTGCAACATCCCGGCTAGGACCCTGAAATAAACCAAGGTCACACGTTACCAGGCTGCTGATGTGCAGGATGCGTGGGTGGGGGGCACTGCAGACCAGCCCTCGAGTGAGTAACACACAACAGGACTTGGACCAAACCCATGTCCCCCAAATGCAGAAGGAGTTCCAACAATGCACTCTGGGTGTGGAGATACCAAGTGACATGAAAATTATTCACAGGCTGAAAAAGTTATGCCCTCTCGCCCTTTGTAATCTCTGCTACCAAGTCTATGGGAAACTCTTCAATGGGCTCCTCTCGCCCTTTGTAATCTCTGCTACCAAGTCTATGGGAAACTCTTCAATGGGCTGGGACGTTTCCAGAATATCTGCCCAAGAAAACGAGAGTGTTCGCACGTGCACACACCACAGAGAAGGCCAGGGCAAGGCTCCCGGAGGAGCTACCCAAACCACCCCGCCAGGCTCCTGCTGGGGTCACGGGCTACCTACCATCTGCAGCTGAGTGGGGCCGGCTGTCCATTTATGTAGCCTGTGAGCTAAGAAATTATTTATTGTTTTACATTTTTCAATCATTGGTTACCAAAAAAATAAAAAATGCAAAAGCAGGTAATATGTCATGACTCGAAAATGAGATGAGATTCATATTTCAGGGAATATAAATAAAGTTTTATCGAAACACGCTCATGTCTCTTTCCTCTCTGCTGCGGATGGCTGCTTTGTGCTGCCCACGGGATGAAACAGCACGGCCCTCAAAACCTCTCGGAGGCAACAGTGGACCTTTCAGTTTGCGATGCCCGGATAGAGGGTGGGCAATACAGCCAGAATTTAATGATCTGGCCATGAATGAACTTGAAAGGACATTCCTATAGCAATGAATGGAAGGTGAATGAATGCAGAGGCCCACACTTGGAATAGCAGCATTTATCTAACACACTATGGTAAACACCTAGTGGGGAAGCAAAGAGGAAAGTTAATTGGGCTGGGTGTGGCTCAGGCATAGAGCTGTGTGCTTAGCATGCCTGGGTCCCTGGGTTCCATCCCCAGCACCCAAGAATCAAATCAAATCAACTGTTCAAGTTTTAAAAAGGTAAAAATCACCATGCGCACCCCAAGTACACATGGCACCAGGAGAAGCCAGGCTCAGATACCTCTGCACTGTGGGGACATGCATGTGTCTGTGTGCGCACGGGGTTTTACAATTACAAAATCTGTTTGGGGGAACTTTGATCCACCAAGTGTACCTCTGTTGCCTTTCTAGTATTGATCTGTTTGGTCAGTGGGCTCCCTTTCATCACTACCCCGTGTGCTCCCTGGTAGGTGTGTTCATTTTGGGGTCCCTGCCAGGTTCCCGGGCCCTCCCCTCCATCATCTCCCAGTGGTGGAAACTACCATTTTCACTTTGAAGAGCGGGGACATCCGGAGGTAGCCCCTGCCGTGGCGGTGGATGTGGAGGAGGTAGATGGGGCCGAGGACCCAGAGGTACATGGGGGGCAGCCAGACCCCCGCTGTTCTCAGGAAGCACAGGCTCAGGGGGCTGTGGGCCGCAGGCTCCGGCTCTGTCTGGTTCCAGACCTGAAGAACACCAGGCGGACCCTCAGGATGGTACAACCCGGGGACCCAGTCTCACCTGCCTGCAGGTCCAGCATTTGGGCCCCTAACATTTACATTAGGATGTTCCACGCCCTCTTTGGGATGCTTCTCACTTCTCAACTCTTCCCGTCCTCAGACCAGCCCTACGGGTAGCTGTAATCACCATAGTGATTTGGCAGAGGAGGACGCTGAGGCCCAGAGAGGTTGAGTCTCGTGGCTGACCATACCCACTGGGAAGTTGGTGGTGCGCGAATCTGAAGCTAGGGAATTGTGTCCTGGAGTCAAGGACAAGTGCGCTCCATAATAAGTGCTAGGCACAGATGCCTCCTCTTCTAAGATCTCCAGATGGTAGATGCTACTGTCCCCATCTTACAGATGAGTAGAGGAGGAGGCACCCGGAGGGGAGCCGTCTCCTTAAGGCCCACACAGGTAGGAAGTGCAGGGCTGACCTCCTCTCAGGTGCCTCCCCTGGAAGCTTGTTCCATGGGACCTCTTTATCTCTGGGGTTCATCTCCATCTTTCTGCTGGCCCTTTCTAACTGGAGAATTTCGAATACAAAGTTTGGAGGACATGGTCCCTTCAGGGCCACTCACCCCCGCCCCCCTCACTTATCTCTACTCTGACTGCCCTGAACTCAACCTCTCTGGGCCTCAGTTTGCTTCCCTGTAGAAGCCGGGAAATGGAATCTCCTAACGATGGGTCCATAGCAGCGAAGCTCGGATGGCGATGAGGGCTCGGGGCAGGCGCTCAGTTAACTTTGCGTCTCTTTGTTGCCCGTCTACCAAGCCCTGAGAGCCTAGGGCTGGCGACCCCCGCCCTTCCCAAGAACTCCGCTCTGGAGAGAGCTGAGGGCCCCATGGCCAAGGGGCCCAGGGAGGCAGGGGGTCTTGCAGACCGGATAGGGCTCTCTGCGGTGGGAAGGGCTTGGGGAGGGTCCCCTAGCTTCATGCAAGTAGAGCTCACAGCCCCCAGTCGCTGGGAGATCCGGAGGCCCCTTAGTCCGCTGTCACCTGGATTGTAACAGGACAGCAGATCTCTTCGCTTCCTGGGGCCAAGAATTTGGCGGGAGTGGGGGGCAGGGGGAGTATTTCCCTTCCTAGTATCGCAGCCCGAGAGAGATCTGGGGCCAAACCCAGCCCGGGGAAAGGAGAGCGGGGCTGGGTGCGCACTCACCCCCAGCCCTGCGCACGGCTCGCCAGGCGCGGCCATCGGGCGCCCTCCTTCCGTCCCTCCGTCGGTCCGAGCGTGGGTCTGCCTGTCTGTCTATCCCTGGGCAGCCTCCTCCACTGCGCTCGGTCGGGCAGGCCAGGGGCGGGGCCGGTCGGGATCGGAGGCCAAGGGCAAGGTCCAGCCGCGCCGCCACGCTGGGACGACTAGGGTGAAAGGAGGCGCGGCGGTGGGGACGCGCAGGGAGGCCCTGGGACCCCACTAGGAGATGGCATCCAGGGATCCCTGAAAAGTGCAGGGACACCCCCATGCTCGTTGCCCGCCCTCTGCAACAAGTATTGTCCCAAACGCTTTGGAACCAGGAATTCCGGGTGTTTATCCCGATGAAAGAACCAACGGTGCGCACGTGTTTGTAGCAGGAGTCTTGGCAGCGGCCACGGACCAACAACCCGGATGGACATCGTCTATATGCAGGGCGCTGCGAAGAGTTTAAGAAGATTCTCAATAAAGAGTTTAGCACAAGCTGGGCAGATGGCCGCAGGACTGGGACCCCAGCCATTATGGAGGCTGAGGCAGGAGGCTTGAGAGTTCCAGGTCAGCCTTGGCACAGCGCTGGGCACACAGTACATGCTAAATAAGCTAGGGATTACCTTAGCTTGGTATGATCACTTAGTGCACGGGTTAATGACCAATGAGTTGTTCATTCTATTTGATTTTTTTTTTTCCCACTTCTGGGAATTGAACCTGGGGGCACCACCACTGAACTACATCTCCAGCCCTTTTTATTTTGTATTTTGAGACAGGGTCTGCTTCCATTGCTCAGGCTGGCTTGGAGCTTGCAATCCTCCTGCCTCAGACTTCCTGGTGGCTGGCATTACAGGCAGGTGCCACTGCACTAGGCAATAACCAATAGTTGCAAAATGCCATTGCAGAAATGTGTGAATGTGGAAAGTCGGTTGCTGAACACTAGGACGAGAGATGACAGTATAGAAAGGATATGATGTTCTTACAGGGGAAAAGAAGAAAAGAGAAAAGAAAGGGCCAGGGGAAAGGGATATGCTTAAATTAGGGAAAGTGGAGAAGGAAGTCTTTTTTTTTTCCCCTGTCCTGAGTCTTAAAGCAAGGTGTGTGGCTTTGTGTCAGAGTCCCCTGCCTCTGGCTGACTTTAGAAATGATGCTGTGTACTTGTGGTATGTGCACAGATGAAAAAACGGAAGCGCACTAAGGCAACGACCACTTTCATTAACATTTATCATTATTTTTCCTCCAAGGAGCCCACACTCCTTTCAAGACTGGAGAGAGAGGGGTGGGATTGTGGCTCAGTGGTAGAGCGCTCACCTCCCCCGTGCAAGGCCCTGGGTTCCATCCTCAGCACCACATAGAAATAAATAAGTGAGGATTGGAGAGAGGAACTCAGTCTTTCAGACACCCACCCAGATTTGCATTTGGGTAAAAAAATCAAAACCCTCTGCACCCTCTCGCTGCTTGGCTGTTTCTGGGGGTCTTATCCTCATCTTTTTCTCTGGCCTCACCTTCTCCTGGGCCTCCACAGTATGGGTTCCCACAGCCTCATTTCCGCCTGTCTCTTTGAGTCTCCCCAATCCAGTCTGGGGTCCAGGAAGTCCCCCGTTCAGGGGTCCTCTTGCTCATGTCCTCTGGAAGACAAGGTCATAATGAACCCAGGGTTTGTTTTGAAGCTGAAGGGGCAGGTCTGCTGTTTGCTTTCACATCTTGTCTGTTTATTTGAGCTGCTTTGTTTGTAGAGTTTGAAGGAAATTAGGGGGAAGCTAAAGCCCGCTTTCCCTGCAGGCTGCTAACCCCCACCCAGCTGGCTTAGCCGCAGTCCTATTTCTTTGTATGTTTGAAGATGAATTTAAGGCATGGTCACGGAGTCAGAAGAACACGGGGGAAATCGGGGGATGAACCAAGAAAATGACGTGGGGAATCCTAATACCTACTCTTCAGCTCTCAGAACCGCCTGTGGCTGCATGCAGAGCAGTCTAGATAAGTCCTTTCCCCCTGGCTTCCCATTCTGTGTAGGAAGAGAAGTTCCCAGGGGCCCACACTTCCTAAATGGTGGTTTTCAAACCCCTGGTGATTTGCTAAGATAAACCAGGGCTTCATGGTAGGGAGGGTAAATACATCAGCCTTATAGTGGTTCTGAATAACAAACCCCACTGAAGAAATTAATTATTTAAACAGTTCCTATGACTGAGTAGTTGAGAATCTCACTGTGTTTTTAGTGGGAATGCAGAGGGGAGAGACGGAATCAGATGCACCCACCATGGCAGGCTGCTGTAAGGCCTCATCCTCTGTAGCCACTGGGAAGGTTTTGATGACCATATAGTCTAATCTCTTAGTTATATATTGTTTAAGTTTTAGCCACAATGGTGATAATGGCAGTGGGAAATCTCTTATTTCATCATTTAGAAACAAAATGTTAAAAACTACCAAAATAAAACACTTTTTTTTCTTAAAGGAGCAAAATGGAAAAACTTCAAATATTAGGTTAGAAAGCAGTGTTTGTCCATTTTGGTGGAAAACTTTGTAGTTAAATTCTGCCTACACATGTTATGTATTCAGTCTTTTGAAAAAATACAACATGCTGATATTTGAACTACTTTTAGACAAAACATTTCATCTTGGAGAATGAATCCAAAGTAAACCACATGTGGACCTCAATCTTTTAAGAGCGCGAGAGAGGGAAAAAAAACCTCTTGAGATCTGTTTCTATGCAGATAATAGAACAGGGAGTAAAATAAATTTCAAGTAATACCTTCTTTAATATTATGCTGAACTTAATATGTTTTGGTTTAAAACTTACTAATCATTTATCATAGAAAATGCACCAACTTGCAGATTTCTAACGGGCTTATTGAGAGTGCGTAACACTTGTGAAATATTGAGTTAATTAGATTTGGGAAAGCTGTTGGATACCTCGATCCACAGTTTCTTTTCTTTTTCCAGCTGTGATATTGAACCGGAGGTAGAATTCAGCTCCTGAACCCAGAGGAGCACCTGCCAGAGGGCGCGCGGGGTCCTCCAGGCCTCCAGGGGGCAGAGGAGGACGCGTTTCCTTGCTGAGCATGCGCCGTGGGTCCGTTCTGTGGGCGTGGTCTCTGAGTGCGCCTGCGCGACGGTGGGGCGGGGTCTGGGCTGTCAGCCGGCGGAGAGGAAGGAGCCGGCAGCGTGCGGAGTGAGGGGCGGGACCGGGCGGCCTGCGGAGGGTCGGCGAGGGCGGCCGGGCCATGTGGGCGGGCCGGGGCGCGGGGCCGCCGGGGCCCGTGGGGGTCGCCGCCGCCGTGCTGCTGCTGCTGCTGCTGTGCGGCGTGGGGCCGGCGTGCGGCTCCGAGGACATCGTGGTGGGCTGCGGGGGCTTCGTCAAGTCGGACGTGGAGATCAACTACTCGCTCATCGAGGTGAGCGCCCGCCCCGCGCGCCGCAGGCCTCGCGCTGTGACCCCGGGCCGGTCGCTCAGCCTCTCTGGGCCGCCACGGCCTGGTGCCCGGCCCCGCGCGGCGTCCGCAAGCCGACGTATGGCTGCGGGTTCGGGCGCGGGGCCGCGGCGCCCCGAATCCAGACCGCAGCCCCTGGAGCCCTGACCCCGTTTCTCCAAAAGCTGGACCGCAGATCTCCCCAGACCTGCAGACCACGATTCTTACCCACAACCCGGAACCCCCCGCCCCGCAAGGTCCAGTCCAGTGCTCCCCAGGTGCTTTTAAAAGAGCACCCCGGAGACCCACCCTCGGTAGAGCCGTGCTGGAAACTCCGCGGGGGGCGGCTGCGTCTTTACCCCCGCCCCCAGCTCCTTTTCCTCTGAAAGGGGAGCGTTGCCAGCTGTCCTGATGGGTGGTCCCGGGTGGTCACCGGAATCACACTAGAGATCCGTGTAGAAGTTTTCTTTAGGAAAAAAAAAATTAAACTGTAAGGGTCTGTGAAGTGATTGTCATCCCAGTGGGATTGTAGCCCAGATAGCTTCTGAAAAGAGGACACGGGAGGGACACGTGGAGGTAGGCTTCCAGGACACCTGTCAAGGTGGGTGAGGAAGAGCCACCGGGAGGGCTGAGCCTCATTTCCAACCGCGGACTGTAAATGGGACAGGGGGATGGAGGGGAGTGGAAGAGGCACACACCAGATGCCTCGGATGAGGTTTGAGAGAAAACAAAGGAAGGGGCGAGGAGATGCCAAAGAGACTGGGAAGGGACAGAGGCTACCCGAAGGCACCTTTGAGCTGCCCCAGAGAAGGCAGAGTGGAACAGCAGGATTGTACAGAACAGGTCGCCAAGGATTGTGGGAGGGGCGGGAAGTGGATTCTCAACACTTTCACCTGGCTTTGCTCTAAGTCCTGTTTCTTACCTGTAGGATGGTGTTGGGAGAGAAGCAGATGCTTCTACAGAGGAGGCTGGGTTGTCAGCCTCAGGGCCCCTCTGTCCGCTGTTCCTCTACCCTTTTAGTCCTAAGGGCTGGCAGGAGCTGCTGGGAACATGTGGGGTCCCCATGCCACCTTCTGGGTTTGCAGGCACATGGCATTTGAGAAGCTGTCTTCAAAGCACCCAGAGCAAAACAGGACACTGTCGCAGGCAGTTTGTAGTTTCCTGGGGCTCTGGGAGGAAGGGAAAGGCTGTTAGGGCACCCCCACCCCCAGTACTAATAGTGGCCTCTGGACAGAGAATTGTATCTCTTGAGCCCTAGGGCTGCCCGTCCCCCGCTTGTTCTTTTGTGTTGGACGCTCCTTCTTTCCTAATTACTGGTGATGAAATCAGACATTTCATATGAGTAACCTCACTGTAGATTAGGTTGCCATTCAACGTCCTCATCTGTACTTTATGAAAGAAGAGTCGGTATTTCATGGTTGTTTCTTGATGGTGCTCTCTGTGTCCCAATCTGGCTACCTTCCCCCTCTCTAGCCTTCTTCCCTCTGGGTGCTTTTGCATCCTGTTCAGTCAACAACAACTTATTGCGCTGCTGCATGTCCTGCAGCGTGGCCCAGGTGGGGAAGTGAACACACCAGAGGAAAGTCCCTACTCAGGGCATTGACGTTTCTGTTCTTTACCTGTGGCCTGAGCTGTTAAAAAGAAGAATCATACTGGTTGCTGACACTTTAACAATTAAGAAATTTCACCTTAGAAACTGAATTCCTGATTTCTCTGGAAATCGCCTTGTCTTTGGGCCGCAGAGGTTGGCTCAGGTTGTGTAGTGCTCCGTGCCCCATTAGAGTAATGCCCCTTGACCTTGCCTCTGTGCCCCTCTAGGCTGCTGGATTTCCAATCCATGCTTTTAATTGTATGCATCTGAATTTCTTTATGGTTGGAATAAATTCATTTTTTATTTATTGAGGACCTAGTACCTAGGACACTGTCCCGGGCTCTGTGGTGTGTAAGCCATGGTTACTGCCTGTGGAGAACTCAGTCTACTTGTTCTTTCACACTGGGCCTTTCCCACTTGCAACACTGTGCAAGTTGCAAGTTTGTTGCCGTATACATCTTCTTAGTTGGTTGACTCTGTCATCTCTGTATCTTGGTCATGGATCATTCACATTTTAGAGGTGAGGCTCCTAGATGCCATCAGTCCCAGCTGCTTCCTTTTACATATGTAAAGACTGAGGTTCAGAGTGGTTCAGCCATTCAGGTAAGTTTAGGCAACTTTCCTAGAACTCAGTCTGTGCCCTGCTGATTACACACGTTGTGTTGTTTTTCAGGTATTAAATAGTAATTCATTTGAGCCTGTGCTTCGTGTCAGATGCTTAATATACAGTGATGTGAATTCATTGTCTCTACCCATGAAGAAACAGCCTCTAGAGGTTAAAGGACTAGCCCAAGGTCACCCAGTATGTGGAAGATGTAGATACTGCTTGTGCCTCTTATTGGGTGAATAGTTTGTGCCTGCTAGTATTGAAGACACAAAGTTTTAGAGTCCTTGAGGAGAGGACATAACAGTAAATGTCTTTGATCTGTTTTTGTTTTGAGAATGAAAGAGAATTAAGCTTATAGGTGAATGTCCCTTTAGTTTATAGAGTCATTTGGACCTAATGATGCTGGTCCCCAGACCTCATCCCAGACCTAGTGGAGGAAATGAGGTGGGGCTCAGGGATCTGTGTTTTAACAAGCAGATTGGTTTCACTAACAGAAAATTTGATTTAGACCCAGAAACTTACATGAATAAAATAGAGACAGCCATTTAAGTCAATGGAAAGGCATTGAAAAGCAAGACTTTGGGGTGGTTTTAGATAGTCTCTAACCTGAGAACCATCAGATCCCACGACTGGGGTGGCTTCATCTTATTTTCTTGTTCCAGAGGCCTGATGTTCATTGCTGGCATGTAGTGGGTCTGCAGCGAGCACATGCTTATTGCCTGATACGTTCAGGCATGATGTGGGCGATTCTCAGAGGCGATATCATGACTTGCATTTCCTTTCCCCTCTTTCCAGATAAAGTTGTACACCAAGCACGGGACTTTGAAATACCAGACAGACTGTGCCCCTAACAACGGCTACTTCATGATTCCCTTGTATGATAAGGTAAGGAGGGTGCCGGCCTTGCCTGCTTGTCTTTTATGATGGGAAGTAATTAGTGTGGCCTTTGGGCTGCGCCAAAAGGAAAGTGGCCTTTCCCACATGAGTAGATGCTCCCTGACTTTGTAAATGATTAGAGGAACATGGCAGTGCTAGTCCAGTTCCAAGGGAGGTAACTTATTTATTCTTTTATGTTTATATTTATTAGTGCAGTGTAGTTGTACATAATAGTGGGGTTCATCCTGACGTATTCATAAGTGCATATAACATAGTTGGTCCAGTACTCCCCCTTTCCCTCCCCTCTTCCCTTCCTGTGGTCCTCTTTCTCTGCTGGTCTTCCTTCTATTTACTTTTTATTTATTTAAATTGGTGCATCATTGTTCTCTATGAAGTTGGGACGCCCTGTGATGCATCTGTACCTGCGCTCAGCATAGCTGCTCAGCTCATTCCCATGAGGGAGATGACTTCTCAGCTGGTCTGATGGCACCCGAGGTCTCCAGGCTCCATGTTCATGTGACTGGAGACCTGGTTACAGCCCTGGAGGGGGCTCTGGTTACTCAGAGAGCAGAAGCTGGGGATGAAACTAACCCTAGCGCAGTGCTGCCCGGGACACCCAGAGTGCCAGTGTGGAAAACTGACTTAATAAAACCCTTAAAGTACTGTTTAAAAAAGATTCCAGAAGTTCCATGCATTTTCATGGGCTTTGTGAAAAAAAAAAAAAAATCAAGATCTTTTGGGCTGTATGAAGTAAATTTGTACCCTTTGCCCCCTAATTCTGTCTCCTCCCCCGTATAGCAGTGACCTTTGACAAAGGTTCTTGTGTGCTTCCTAACAGAGTGCGCTCTCTGCTTACAGTTGGAAGATACACATGCCACCTAGATGTGCCTTTGCACACTTCTTACACAGCCCCAGCCTCCTCCACGTACTTGGAGATATAAATTCACAGGATGTTGTAAAAATAGTCAGCATTCATAGTTTTTTTCGTTTATTTATTTGCTTAAGTACCAAGAATTGAAGTCCTGGGTGCTCTACCACAGAACTACATCCCCAAGTCTTCTTATTTCTTATTTTGAGACAGTTTCACTAAGTTGCTGAGGCTGGCCTTGAACTTATAATCCTCCTTCCTCACCTTCCTGAGTTGTGGGATCACAGGTGTGTGCCACTACACCCAGCTGTATATATATACTTTTAATTTTGCCTTTTTTAATACAGATGGAATTGCACAGTTGGAGTTATTTGGCCATTTGATTTTTTTTCCCCTCAATGTAATGGAAAGCTTTGCCGTGGGGAGGTGGTTTTCCCTGCCTGCTTGAGCAGCAGCATGCATGTGGGCCTGCTGCTGTCTTTTTAAAGGTTGTATCAAATGCCAGTCAGCCCCACACTGTAATCTATTTAACCACGCTCAGTGGATGGGCATGCAGTCTTGTCCCAATTTAAAAATTATTATTAGCAACACAGTAATCAGTAGTCTTGAATTTACATCTATGCACAACATATGAGTTGATTTCTAGAGGTGAATTAGCAGGGTCTTGAAATCTGTTTTTTTTTTTTTTCCTTAACTATTAATGTCAATCTTCAGGGTTGATAGGTAAAATCTAGTGTTAAATAGTGATTTTAGTTCCCAAGGATGCGAGCAAACCTTGTAGCCCTAGGCATGCGAGAAGTTAGTGGAAGACTTGGTTAATATTTGGTATAAAAAGACATGGGAGGTGCAATGTATTGTTTTTAGAATTCACAAATGGGCTCAATGGGACAGCTTCTGATTGCTTCAGTTTGCAGCCTCTGAAAGGAACCTAAGACTCATTCAGAAGAACACTGCTTATGCTCTGGATTTTCACTTCAGATGCACTAGTTTTAGATTACATTACACCAGTGTCATCAATTCTCGTTTCTTTAAATTTCATTTTTTTCGGTAGGGGGATTTCATTCTGAAGATTGAGCCTCCCCTAGGGTGGAGTTTTGGTAAGTTAGCCGAATAACCAGATGTACCTCGTCAGGGCCCCATTATGTGCAGACATTGGTTGGGATTGGCACAGTCAGTGCCTGTTGAAGAGTTAAGCATCCGCTTCTCTCGTGGAAGAGGGCTTTCGTGTTGTCCCCTTTCCCTTTTCCTGTCACTTTAGTTTGGGTCTATCTTCCATCTGCCCTATGGCTGCTGTCACCTTTCTCAAGTCGGGCATCTTCTCGTGGACTGTTCCTCTTTTTGGAAACGGGGCCTTCACGGTTTCACCCCACGTGGTATTGTAACAATATAGAAACCAAGAGTGGGGCTCGGTTCTTGTCCCAGTGCGGTTTCTTTTTCAGCACCTTAGTTTTTTTTTTTTTTAGTTAATTGAACTGTTTAACCATTTAAATTTGACACTAAAGTCCAGATCTGTCTCTCGCTGCTGTGGGGATGGAACCCGGCCTGGCTTGTGCTGAGCTCCACCACTGAGCGCCAAACAGACCTGCTTCTTTAACGGGCAAGATCGGCCGCCTTGGGCCTCAGCAGCCAGGTGACAGCCTTGGCGAGTCACTTCCCTTCCAGCCTCCGCCTCTCCTGTGGAGTCACAGTGGTTGCAGTCCGGCCTTGGGGGGGGCCTGGGCTAAGGGTTTAGAGAGGCCGGCAGGCAGCCAACAAGCGCTCGGCGCCAAGGAGCAGCCTGTCCCCACACACACGCGGGCTCCAGACCCTCCTGCTGTGTCTGTCTGTGTGGAGGAGTCTTTATTTTACCTGAAAACCTCATGGTTTTCTATTTTTTTCTCTACTTATTACTCTACACTCTTTGGAATCTTTCAAAAACTCTTCTTTAGACCCTGTTATAACGAACTCTTCAGTTTCTTCCCCAAAATTGAATGAGTCACCAGTATTGAAAACTCGGGAGGTCACCGTAACATCCGTGTTCTCTGTGTTCCTGGGGTGTCTGGGGGGCTGGGGGCCTGGTGACCTGGGCCACACGGCGGCAGCTGGCTGCCCGCTGTCACTGCTGTGGCCCTCACAGGGCAGATGGCTCATTTCCTTTCCACATGGCTTCTGGGCCCTGAGCTCATGGCCCGGGCTAGCATGGCTGGACTCAAGGGCTCATTGGGACAGGTCTGCAGCCTGCTTTGGGAGATGGGAGCTCTGTCACTCACAAACTCTGTGACCTTGGAGATCCTTTAGTGCTTCTGTGCCTCAGTTTACCCCTCAGGAATGACCCCACTCCTGAGGTAGTTGTGGGGGTAGTGCCCTTGGCTCGGTGCCTGACCACGGCTAACAATGTGAATAAAACTGGGGGTCACAGTTTTCAGTGGGGCCCCAGGATGCCCCTGGGCTGGAAGATTCTTTCTGGGCTCTTTATTCTCTGAACCCTGGTTCCTCTGGGGCAGGAAGGCAGGTGCTGGGGACGGGGGTGGGAAGTTGGCTTTTCCTTGCTAAATTTCTTGCCCCCTTGGGTCTTGAATCATGGAGTGTAGTAAGTGTTCGTAATGTGTGGAGCAGCTGGCCGTGCGGGTGCCTTTCTTAGTCCCACAGTGTCCCAGCACTCACCTTGCCCGTGTGTCTTTGCCCTCCCTCTTCTTCCCTCCCTGATCCCCTCCTCAGAGCCGACCAACGTGGAGCTGTACGTGGATGGCGTCAGCGACATCTGTACCAAGGGCGGAGACATCAACTTCGTGTTCACGGGCTTCTCCGTGAATGGAAAGGTTGAGTGGGCTGTTTCCACCCAGGGCTGGGGGGTCTGGGAGCTCTGCCTCTGTCATGTGTGGAGCAGGGTAGGTCGAGGAGGCAGGTTAGGCTGCTGGCCATGCTGCCCCCACCTAGGACATGTGCCCACGGTCCTTCATAGGGCGTGGAGTTGAAGGGCGCCTTCCTCTGCCTGCCTGCCCAGGTGCTCAGGCCTCCTGGGGCAGGGGTGCACCTGCTTCCGCCCCTTTGGAGCAGTCTCTGGTGGAAGCTGAGCTCTGGAGGTGTTTGCACAGTGGTGTGAATCTGACTGCGTTCCCCTCCTTGGCGAGGTCGCCCCTGCTGCCCAGCTGGTGCATGGTGGAGATGTGCAGGCTCCCGGCTGACTTCATGGCAGGCTCGTTTCTCCCTCAGCCCACTTTATGTATGGGCGTCTTAGTGAAGTGGGACCGTGGGTATTTTTTGCCATCCAGTGGTTTATAAAATCGTGGTGCATCTTTAGCGGTGGTTCAGTGAAACAGGGTCATTTTACTGTCACTATTGGCTCCCCCACCTCATCCTCAGAGAGAGGGTATTCATAGTTAATGTCATCTTTTCAAAGGGGTCCTTGACCCAGAGAAGGTTCTAGTTCCACTTGCGGGGCAGGAGTGGGTGGCAATGACTTGTGGAGAGATCTTTGTTGCCCAGCAGTTCTAACCTCCTTCTGCACACAGGTCCTCAGCAAAGGGCAGCCCCTGGGTCCTGCAGGAGTTCAGGTGTCTCTGAGAAACACTGGAACAGAAGCAAAGATCCAGTCCACGGTCACGCAACCTGGAGGAAAGTGAGTGGCCGTCTTACCTGACCATGTAGCTGGAGCCGGGCCGTGATGGGGGCTGGAGACTTTGCATTCAGGAGACTTGGGTACAGATCTTGATTCAGCCTGCTAACTTCCTGCAAGTTCATGCCCTTTGGAGCCCAAGTTCCTTGTCTGTGAGATGGAAGTCATTTGTCCTGTTGCACCTGATTAAATATCACTTAGCACCCACAGAGCACCTGCTTTAAGCCGGGCACTTAGTAGGCCTTCAGGTAACAGCTGGGGCTGGTCCTAGAGTCTGGTGGCCCAGGTTTGCATCCTGGCTCCTCCATTGCTAGCTGTTTGATCTGGGACAAGTCACTTAACCCCTCTGTGCCTTGGTTTCCTTAATTGTAAATGAAGGTAATTGTGGAACCTGCCTCCCACGGTTCCTGGGAAGAGTGAATTAATATTGTTTCAGACTGGCCAGCCTGGATTATGTGCTTAGTAAATGTTTGCTCAATATAGGTTAGTGTGATTATGATTTAAAAACATTATTTTATCACATCAAAACCATTTTGTAGTGGGAACTGTTGATTACCTAATTAACCTTGCCGAGTGAAATTTGAAGCATTTACTTAATGGATCTATATAGTTGCAAATGTTAATAGATGTGCCAAGATTAATAGTTCAGACTGATAATTTTAGAAGCATTCAAATCATTATTAGCTACTTCAATACACAAGACGGACTGAATGGCAAAATCAAAGATTATAATGGGTTTGCCAGTAAGTTATCCAATTTAAAAATTTTGTTGGAATTATTTTTCATTTTGAAATAAGCTTCCCTCTTCTTGATTGGTGCCTCTTTAGTCCTGGTTTGAGGTGGAATGTGGAGCTATGCCTTGTGTCCTAGGCTGCTACAGGTTGAGTGTTCCTTCTCCAAAGTGCTGGGACCAGAATTGTTGCAGGTTGCAGAACTTTTCAGATTTGGGAATATTTCATACACATTATGCAATATCTTGGGGAGGGGGCCCAGGTCTCAGCCTGAAATTCATTTATGTTTCCTACACCCCTTATGAAGGTGATCTTACACACATTTCTAAACAACACGGAACGTGAAACAAAGTGTCGAATGTGGGACTTTTGACTTGGCATCAGGTTGGCACTCAAAGCCTTCCAGATGTTGGAGCGTTTGGGTTGGTTTCCCGGTTAGGGATGACCTCACACAACAAGTGAGTCTCGAGAGTCCCTTTCATCTGCACCAGCTGAAGAGTGATAGTGGCAGGCGGCCCTGGGACGCTGTTCCCTGGAATCAGCCCTCTGATCGCCTTGGGACCAGAAGGGTGAAGTGCGACAGAGTCCCAGCTCAGCTGGCTGTGACCTCAGTTGCAGGAGCCAGTGGAGTCACCTCCCTGGCTAGGGTTCCATCATGGTTGCTTTGCACAAGAGCCCACGATGCTTGTGTTCATTTCACGCAGCAGATCTGAGCTCAGCTGTGCAGGATGCCAAGCCTGTCACGGTTGGCCACAGTGTTAGTGGGGTTCCGTCGGCGTCCTTCCCCAGCCTGGCATCCTCGCTCCCACTCCTCTTCCCGCTTCCTTGCCTTCGCTTCCCTCCCCTTCTCTCTGCCGAGCTGAGTGTCCTGCGGCTGGTCCCTGCTGTCCGACAGTGACAGTTTGGTGGCAGGAGTCCTGGAATTTAGACAAACAGAAGCCCTCGTCCTTCCTGTTGGCACATGGGACAGCCTTGCTTTGCTCTGTGGGCCTCGCCAGCACCCTTTGTGGATTTGCAGAGTGACCAATTGACTCCACTCGCTTGACTAGCCAGAGGGAGTTTGGGATAAGGCGAGCACTAGTCAGATAATGAGAAGTCCTCGGCTTGTTTGGAGAAAGCTAAGTGTGTCTTGTGTTCCCTAGGTTTGCATTTTTTAAAGTTCTTCCTGGAGATTATGAAATCCTTGCAACTCATCCCACCTGGCCATTGAAAGAGGTGAGCGTTTCAGCCTGTGATAGCTGTGCCAATAACGAGCTAGTCTGCAGATGCCTTCAGTTTAGGATGAGAAATGAATTTATGGGTTTTCCAGATGTTGATGTAGAAGTAGCCGTGCTGAGGGAGGAGGTGCTGACGAGGGAGGAGGTGTTGACGAGGTGAAACTCCGCTGCCACAGCGGGTGCCACTGGTTTCGGTTGTAGGTGACAGGGTTGCTCTCTTATTAACTGATGCTATTTTAAGCTAAAGCAACACCAGAAATGCCTGATGATATAGATTTTTTGTTCTTTTTCAACCTGAGACAGATATTTATGAATATACTGAACAGTCTAGAAACTGTTGTGCACATGCCCAGAGAGAATGTATAAAATATTTGTTTTCTCCTGGTGTGGTAGCACACTCAAATAATCCTAGCAGTTTGGGAGGCTGGGGCAGGAGGATCACAAGTTCAAGGCCAGCCTCAGCAACTTAGTGAGACCCCATCTCAAAAAATAAAAAGGGCTGGGGATGTGGCTCACTGGTAGAGCACCCCTGGGTTCAATTCCCAGTGCCAAAAAACAACAACAACAACAACAACAAAGAATGCTTATTGCAGTTTGTTTATAATAGCAAAATGGGGTAAGCAACGCCAATGCCATTAAGAGTGGATCGTGGGTCCCCCACAGGGAGACATGCTGGGCATCAGTAATGAGTGCCCCAGAGCTGTGTGCAGAGAGCGAAGGATGTGAGGTCACAGGCTCTCGTGGTGATGCCAGTGCAGAGCCAGGTGGGTGTAGATCTAGGGTGCGGTTGTGCTGGGCACCAGCAGCATCCGGTGACCTGGTGGTGTAGAGGAGGGAGGAAGGGGGAGGGGATGTGGGGTCTTGAGCTGTGTTCTTATTTCTTTACCTGGCACGAGGACATGCAGGTGTCCTCCAGAGTTTTTTTTTTTTTTTCTTTTTGTCTTCTCTTTGGCTGAAATAGTTTTCACCAAAGACCTATGTCCTGTTATGACTTTTGGGTTTCAGGATTTTTTTTTTTTTCCTTCTTGAAACAACATTTAAAAATGTTTTATTTAAGCCAGGGGCAGTACTTAAAATGCCTGTAACCAGTGACTTAGGAGGCTGGGGCAGGAGAATGGCAAGTTCAAGGCTGATCTTGGCAATTTATCAAGAGCTGTGTCTCAAAATTAAAACTAAACATAAAAATTATGAGCTGGGATATAGCTAAGTGCTTAAGTCCCTCGAGTTCTGTCCCCAGTACCACCACCACCACACACACACACACACACACACATACATACATAACAAAGGCTTATTAAAACTCAAGCCCTACACACTACACATAGGATGTAGAATACATTTTCAGGTTTACGTGGCTTATTAGGTGTAGGTGTAAAGGAACTTGAGTCTGTGAGTATAAAATTTGATGGTAAAGCAAAGCCTGTGATTAGAAGTCAGGATCCTGTTGGCCTATCGTGGGTGGGAGTCAGGGCTGGGAAGTAGGCGAGGGGCTTCTGGGTGCTGGTCATCGGTGGTGCGTTCAGTTTATGCCAGTCACCACCCACGTGCCCAGCATATCTGTTGTAAATTGTACGTTAATAAGAAAAGTTGAAGAAGTATGCATTTCACTAGACATGGAAAAGTACAACATGCTCATTTAAAAGTTGGAACCTTGATGACTGTTAGGACTGGGAGCAGCGGGGGGTTTTGGAGGGTGGAGAGTGTGGAGAAGGGAGGGACCTCCACAGACAGACTGCGTGGCCTTGCCATGTTTCCTTTCATTTCCTTTGGCCTCACTTTGGGCGCCGACCAGGGCTTGCAGTCACGCAGTGCAGTCAGCCTCCAAGTCTGTGGCTTCTGCACCTGGGTTCAACCAGTTCATTCAGGTCCACTGGTTGTGGGCTGAAGATATATAGGAACAACATTGCCCGCATAGGCCTTCTTTCCTGTCATCGTTCCTTAAGCAGAAGAACATCTATTCACAAGGCATTGTGTTAGGGATTATGCATGCTCGAGGGATGATTCAAGGTTCTGGGAGGGTGTGTAGGTTCTGGGCAGGTACTCTGCCCTCTTGCATGAAGGACTTAGCATCTGCGGGTTAGGGTGTCTGGGGGGTCCTGGAGCCAGCCCCAGGGATGCTGGGGACAACTGTCGATGCAGCTTTATGTGTTGCTTTTTCCAGTGGATATTTTCGTGTCCTCACAGTGTTAGGCACTTTGCAAGTGCTCACGTTTGGGGAGTTCACACCTCTTCCCTTGGTAGGCGAGCACCACGGTGCGCGTGACCAACTCCAACGCCAATGCTGCAGGCCCGCTCATTGTTGCCGGCTATAACGTATCTGGCTCTGTTCGGAGTGATGGGGAACCCATGAAAGGGGTGAAGTTTCTTCTCTTTTCTTCCTTCGTCACCAAAGAGGTAAGCACAAGAAAGCAAAGAACAAGAGCTGGTGTGTGTGTGGCGGGCGGGGACATGGCAGCTGGGGTCTGTTGGTGGAGATGCTGCTTCAGGTTATTTGAGAACAATTTCACAAGAAATTGGTTGTGTGCACCGGGAGGTGTGGAGTTCAGTGGAAAATGCACAGGCTTTGACATCAGACGGACCTGGGTTTGCTGACGCCTCTTAGCAGCCAGGGGACCTTGGGCTGTTGCCTGGCCTTGCTGAGACTTTCCTTATCTGGAGGGCAGAGACCCATTGTTGGGAAGGACAGCTGCGTCCCTTTCCCAAGAACATCATGGCAACTTTCATCTTGTGACTTTGAGTGTGGAGATTTTGTTTCTTTTATCTATATAAATGTGCCCTAGATTTCAGGGAAAAAAATACATCTATGTAGAGATGAAACTTATGCAGTTGTCCTCTCCCTGGTGTGGGTCCTGGGTGTGACTGGAGCATGTAAACAGTAAAAGAAGTCTCTCTCCCCTGGCACAGGACGTCCTGGGCTGCAACGTCTCCCCAGTGCCTGGGTTCCAGCCCCAGGACGAGAGCCTGGTGTACTTGTGCCACACGGTCTCCAAGGAAGACGGCTCCTTCTCCTTCTACTCCTTGCCGAGTGGGGGCTACACTGTGGTGAGTGGGGCAGCTTACTGCTCTGTTTTTGTTGGGGAGGCCAACAGTCCCATGAGAACTGGTGCTGTCGGTGTCCAGGGAGCAAGTGGTGGCCTGGTGTCCCATGGGCGCTGTTCAGCAGCTGCAGATCATGCATTCCTAGCCTGAAACTCCAAAGTCTGAAGTGCTCCAAAATCCAAAACTTTTTTTTGGGTGAGGGGGTGAGTACCAGGGATTGAACTCAGGAATACTCGGCCACTGAGCCACAATCCCCAGTCCTATTTTGTATTTTATTTAGAGACGGGGTCTCACTGAGTTGCTTAGGACCTCACTCAGTTGCTGAGGCTGGCTTTGAACTCTCCATCCTCCTGTCTCAGCCTCCCAAGCTGCTGGGATTACAGGCGTGCACCACCACGCCTGGCCCCAAAATCCACAACTTTTTTTTTTTTAAATTTTTTAAAAAATATTTTTTAGTTGTAACGGACACAATACCTTTATTTTATTTATCTATTTATATGCGGTGCTAAGGATTGAACCCAGGGCCTCACACGTGCTAGGTGAGCACTCTACTGCTGAGCCACAACCTTAGTCCCCAAAATCCACAACTTTTTGAGCACTGACTTGATGCTACAAGTGGAAAATTCTACACCTCAAAGCTTTGTTGCGTGCACAAAATTATTTAAAAATATTTTATGTAAGTTGCCTCATATGTTCTTTATGTGGTGTAGGTGAAACATAAAGGTAAAGGCATTTCCTGTTTAGGCTTGGGTCCCATCCCCAATTTATCTTGTTATGTATGTGCAAATATTACAGCATCCGAAAAATTCTGCAGTATGAAACAGGCATTTGGATGAGGGAGACTCAAGCTGTGCTCATGGTGGGACATGGGCCCCTCAGTGGCAGCTGCAGTAGAGAAACAGGGCTGCCTCTTAAAAGCAGCAACAGTACAGTTAAGGATCTTGGCTTGTCTTGCCCCTGGTCATTTGTGGGCCGCTGGATCGGTGGTTGGTATTGACGGTGGATTGTGTGACTGGCTCGTGGTGATCAGCAGACTCTTCCTGCAGGTCCCCTTCTATAGAGGGGAGAGGATCACCTTTGACGTCGCACCTTCCAGGCTGGACTTCACAGTGGAACACGACAGCCTGAAGATTGAGGTGAGACCTCCCCATGCTCCGGGAGACAGGGGCTGGAGTTCCCATCCCTGGGCACAGGTGTTGCAAATATGTTTAAAAAAATCAATAGTTTATCGAGAAGGATCACTTTTCCCTCCCCGTCTTGCATGAGATCTTGGTCCTCGAGGATTGAACTCCTTGCTAGAGCTGCTTCACTCAGGGAAATTTCTTGAATGCCAGTGGCATGTTTTAGGTCCTCTTCCTGGGCTGGGACTATGGCAGTGACCAAAACAGGCCAAAATTCCTGACCCATGGAACTCCCATTTGGATGATGGAAAGAGTCAGTTCAGGCATAGATGAGAAAGTTAGAAAATGGACCAGAGGGTGACACGTGAATATAAAGCAAGAATATGGTGGACATGAGGGTGTACCTTATGTAGGGTTTTCTCAGAAGTTCTTACGGTGAAGGTGACACTTGGGCATCAACTTGAAGGGGACAAATGTGAGAACTGCACTTTTATTTGAGGGGAGACTGTTGAAGGCTGAGGGAACAAGTGCAAAGGTCCTGAGGCAGGAGCGTGCCTGAGGACTTGGGGCACCTGAGGAGGCCGGTGTGGCTGCAGGGGTAGTGAAGGCCGAGGAGGAGAAGAGGGGTCAGATTGTGCAGGTCCTGGGGGCCCATGTGGCCTGTTACTCTGGAGCTTCAGTAGCACCCGAGGGGTCCGAGCAGAGGAGGTGCGATTTCCTGGCTGCTATGTTGGGAAAGGTCCGCCGGGCGCAGGTGGAAACTGGGCTCTTCCGGGGGCAGTGCAGGGGCTAGGTGCGACGGGCAGAGCTTAGGCCCTGGGGGTGGCCGTAGACCGTGCGCTAGGTGACCCAGTCAGCTCCCTGCAGCCCTAAAGTAGACGGTGATTGTGGTTTTCATCGTATTTATGTTGACTTTAATTACAGAAATGGAAAATAGTTACTGTGGAAAATTTGCTAGATAGAGCAAATCCCCAAAGACGGTAGTAGTCTTTCCTAATGGACCACCCAGGGCTAGAGTTATTGAAAAGATGATGTTTTAGCTGTTTTCTCCTCATGTTACGTCTGGAAGTGCTGCGTGGCAACGGCTCGGCTTGCGGAGCTCCCTCTGGGGTCACACGCACCTGGGAGCTGCCTCTGCTGTTTAAGATTCAGTGACGCTTCTCTTCTGCTGGCTGCTGGGGGGAGTGGGGGGAGCCTCCGCTCACTTCAGAGGGCTTGCGGGGAGGGATGGGCAGGTGGGGGGACATTCCCAGATGGCGCTCAAATGCAGTCTAGGCAGTGGGTGCCATTTCAAGAAGGCCTGCAGGTTCTGCGTGCTCAGCCCATTCGTGTCTTGCTCCTTGCTGTCTTCCTGACGTTGCTTTAGTGCCCGGCACACAGTAGGTGCCAATAAGTAGAACGTCTGTTGGGTGTGGGTAGAAGTCAGTGGGTGGGCAGGCGGATGGGGGGACTGCGTGGTTTTGGAAGGGTTGAGAAGGGCTGTGTGCATGGAAAGGAAGGTGCCTGTCAAACGCTGTGCCCGTGTGCGTGTGTGGGTGTGCTCGTTCACTCAGGGGTCATTTATTGGTGCCTACTGTGAACCAGGTGACCAAGACAGGTAAGGTCCCTGTCCTCAGGGAGCTCATATTCTCGTGGGCAGGAGGCAAGCTCTGAGAAGTCGAGCCAGGGTGTCTCAGGTATTGCTAAGCCTGACGACAGTGAGTCAGTGAGTAGTGGTGAAGCTGAGGAGCCAAGATCAGGGTGGCTGGGCTTCGTGGCTCCAGAGTGTGCCCAGGGGTGTTCACAGCGGGCGGAGTGCAGACGTGGTCGCACAGGGCACGGGGTCCCGAGTGGTGAGTGTGCCCAGGGCTGGCAGGTGGCTGGCTAGGGCTCAGGCCTGCGCACCAGCTGTGGGGAGTCAGGAGGGGCTCTGGGACCTTGCAGAGGGGAGCCACAGCACAGGTTGGTGCTGGAGGGCCGGCGGGGCTCCAGGGTGATGCTGGGATCCGCTCTTGGGAGCCTGGAGGAAGGGAAGGGGGATTGGGCAGGGGGAGGCAGGGTGGGGAAGCTGCCCCTGGCCGAGGCAGTGAGTGGCCTCTAAATTGGAAAGTGAGTCTGTGGGTCTTTTCATTCAACTGTTGGACACCCATCAGCGTGGACATCAGTGTGCCAGGGAGCCTGGCCGGACTGCGCTGGGAGAGGCCGTGGAAGCGGTGGGCGGGGGCCGGGCAGGGCGGGTTTGTGGCCCAGGTCCTGAGCACCGTCCTCCGTTCTTCTTTTCCAGCCCATGTTCCACGTCATGGGATTCTCTGTCACCGGGAGGGTCCTAAATGGACCCGAAGGGGAAGGTGTCCCAGACGCAGTGGTCACTCTGAACAACCAGATCAAAGGTGAGCAGCCGTGTGGCCCTGGGCTCGCGTGACGGGAGAGAGGGAAGGAGCCAGCCCTGAGGCCTGCGTGACGGCGAGGCGGCTCCGCCTCAGCTCCCGGGGTGCATGTGCTGACGGTGTTCCTGCTTCACAGTCAGGACGAAGGCCGACGGCTCCTTCCGCCTGGAGAACATCACGACGGGCACCTACACCATCCACGCCCACAAGGAGCACCTCTACTTCCAGACTCTCACCATCAAGATCGCCCCCAACACGCCGCAGCTGGCCGACATCGTCGCCACCAGGTGAGCTGCTCTCAGTGGCTGGCAGGGACCCCTTGGGCCCACTGTGTGTTCGTGCCAGGTCCTCAGGGTTACAGGGGTCTGTCAGAGTAGGACGCGTCCTCCACGTCTGCCTCCACACCTGTCCTGTGGGGGCCTTCTCGCCTAAGCCTTGAGGACTTTGGAGGGCGGCATAGTTGGTGGCTGAGGGGTTTGTTGGGAGGTGTCCTGGGTCGCTGCATGGTTCTTCCCTCTGCGTAGGGAGTGATCCTGTGTCCAGGGGGGATCTGCTGTGCTTGGATTCGTGTCTTTGATCATCTGAAGCAAGATGGTGTGGCAGCAGACCCCGGCCTTGCAGTCAGACCTGGGGTGCTTGTGACCCTGCCTGGAGCCTGCAGGATGGAGAAGCACCAGCCTTCTTTTGACATCGAGGGGCTCTGGGTCTGTGGCTTAGAAGGAGAGGTGCAGGGGTTGATGGGGCGGGGACGGCCTGAGCAGAGGCCTGCAGTCTCAAAGGGGCAGGTCCGGGCTGGAGCACAAAGTACCGAGCAGGTGAAGGGAGGGGAGCAGGCTGGAGGGCAGATCTCAGGTCCGTCTACCCCAGTGGACGACAGGGGCTGACTCCTGGCTGAGGGCAGGAACCGTGTTGAGTCGAGGTAGCATTGTTTGATTTTTGCTTTCGGTAGGCATATCATTCTGTTTCCACTGCCAATGACATAATGTCACAGACTGGGTGACCTGCACCACAGAGTAGTGCGAGGTGGGGGGCCCTGGCCTGTGATGGCCCTGCTGGCCGAGTCCAGAGCCAGTGCAGGAGACAGGGTGTGGGAGGCCAGAACAGCTGACCAGGGAAGTCAGGGTGGGGAGCATAGTCAGGGTCCCAGCTTGAAAGGCGGGGGCTGTGGGTGCCGTGCTGTGCACAGGGAGAAGCCAGCGAGCCTCGAGGGTCCGGGTTGGCCACCTGGGTCTGGAGGACTGCTAGGTGGCGCTCCCTAGCTGCTGCTGGGTTGATGGAAAACCCTGAGGGCGGGCCGCACGCAGCAGCCGGAGCCTGAGCTTGATGGGAGCAGGCAGAGCCAGGACACAGTGCACCAGGGTGGCGGGCGCCGGGTGGGCAGGGAGCGGGAGTCAGGAAGGAGGAAGTGCCTGTCAGCAAGGCCAGGGAGCGGAGCCCTAGAAATCATGGTCACTGGCTTGGTCACTGAGGAGGCCGCCGTGACCGTTTTCTACACAGGTAGAAGTCAAGGTCAGGGAGTCGATTTAGGGGTGATTGGGAGGTGAAGAAGCAGATCTCCGTCTGATAATACTCCCTGGGTTTAGGCCCCCCGAACCCCCCATGGACATTTCTAGCAGCCCCTATGCTAGGTGGTACGTGACGAGGAACAAAGTGGTGTGAAGAGAGGGCGTTCGCCTCCCTGGGGTGGCAGGCTGAAGGCAGACCTGTGGTGATGGTCACTTGTGACAGGTGTCATATAGCAGGAGACCAGGTGCTCTGAGGAGCCCAGGAAGATGGGAGCCCTGGAAGGTTCTGGGTTCCTGAGAACTTAGAGGAGACTAAGGTCAGTCCTGGGGCTTCCCAGGCCAGGAGAGCAGGGAATAGCCAGCTGTGGGGAGGCTGGGGGCGAGGCAGTGGGCTCTGTGGGGACAGCTGGCCTCCCTGTGCAAGGGGCCTTGGAGGGTCGTCGGCAAGGCAGTGATGTGGACGGCGGCCCTGGCTGTTAGTTTTTCTTGTTGGCTGCGTGGAGAAGCCAGGGTGTGAGTGGCGGGGCCAGGCAGGGGCTGTGGCAGTCATCCCAGGAAGCTGTGGTGATGGTGGGACCTGATGCCAGCAGGGGAGGGGCGAGGAGCCCAGACTCCTCACTGGAGCAACGGGGTGTACCAGGAGATGGGGAACACATGTACGTATCTTCTTCTTTAAAGTAGAGTATTTGGACAAAGGAAAGAACAATCCCCTTTCTGACATCTGGGAAGTGCATCGTCTTGTGGGGTGGGGGGGGCACGTTGGCCTGTGTGAGCGATTGGCTCACCTTTGCTGGTGTCGGTTTCTTTTCTTTTCTTTCTTTCTTTCTTTCTTTTTAATTCATTCTCGGTTTATTGAGAAACAAACTCTCTTGACGTCTGTCCAAGTGATCATAAGCATAGCGCTATCTCGTTATGTACCAAGATCACACCTTTAGCTTGTAAAGTTACTAAACCCTGTTAGTTTATGGGATAGACCAACCTTTAAGGCCTTGCACCAGCTTTTCAGTGTATTTTTCCAAATGCATTTGAGGTGTAGGGAACCGGGGCGTTTCTCTTTAGTGGAGGGTATGAGCTAAATACAGATCCTATAGTTGCAATATTTACAATGCAGGGAGGCAGAGAGCGTCACTTGGGACCAGACAAGGTGACGTTTCCTTTGGCAGGTAGATAAGACAGTGTCCAAGACCTGTAGGAATAGTCCCCTCCACGTTCCCTTCCCGTCCCCTCATTCTGAGGTGCTCTTGAGGGTAAGGTGAGGACCAGTGTGCATTCCTTGGACTCCATCAGGGATTGGCAGATTTTTTCTGCAAACATCCAGAGAGTAAGCATTTTAGGTTTCCTGGACCGTGTGGTCTCTGAGGAAGACCATGCGACAGTCTGGAAGTGAATGGGAATGGCTGTGTTCCACCAATGCCTCACCCTTGGGCACTGACGCTGGCATTTCAAGCGACTTTTTTCTGTCATGAAATATTATCCTCCTTTTGATTTTAATTTTTTTTGTTTTGTCTTACAACCTCTGAAGAGTGTGGACGCTGGCTTGTGGTCTGTACAGAAACGGCGCTGACCTGCCTTCTCGAGGCCACGGCTCCACCCCTGCGGTGGGCGGCCAGCTGAGCGGCAGCCGTGCCTCTGCTCACCCGGGGTCTCGCTGCCCTGCCCTCTGCCCTGCCTCCCACGGTCTTGCTTCTGAAGCAGCGTGGCTATTCACGTAGTTAGTGTGTCCTGTGGTTGTTGGAGCCAGTCTTCTTTATTATCTTTCTGTCAAAAGGAACAACTGATTTTTCTCTAAAATGGTAGTTCAGGATTCGAACACACAGCCCCGCAAGTGGAAGAGGCCTGGTGGGCTCTAGCTGCGCCGGGCCCTTCCTCGCCCATCAGCTCGGACCGAGGGCATCCCCCGGGATGAAGGTCTTATCAGGACGGATGTGTCTTCCGCGTGTCTGTTGAAGGGTGCTCTGGAGCTCTGCGGCTATAGTCCCAAATCCCAGGCATCACCCTCTGACAACAGGGCGTTTCAGTTGCTGTCGGGCCTGCAGCTCCTGGGGAGTTCTGTATCCGTCTGTGCAGTCTCTCTGCTTGCTTTCCTCCATGTCTTGTGTCTAGTCACAAGCAAGGCCTGCGCCTCACCCTGCCTGTTGCGTGGCCTGGCTCAGGCCCCGTGTTCCAGCAGCTCGCAGCTCTTGCTTCTATAAGTGCTGGCCCACGGCCTCAGTCCCAGCCCGTTCCACTGTCCGTGATCCATTTACCTGAAACATTTTTATTATCTGCAGATTTTCTGAAATTTGCCTCTGCAGTGGGGGTCTGCCACATGTCACCCAGAACACACAGACGGCCCCTGCGTGGTCTGCTCTTCCTTCTGCGGGTTGCTTGTTAAAGTGGAAACCACCTGGGCTGCGTTCTGTCTGTTTGCTCAGAGTAAACTGGTCTCGGCACAAGGGCTGGAAGAGGGCTCGTTTGGGGTTGTTGAGAGTCTCTTCTGCTGTGATTGAGTCCTCAAGCTGGATGAATGGTCTTCTTGCAGGTTCAGTGTCTGTGGGCAGATATCAATCATCCGCTTCCCTGACGCCAGCAAGCAGATGGGTAAATACAAAGTGGTCCTGTCGTCTCAAGACAAGGACAAGTCTTTGGTCACCGTGGAGACGGATGCTCATGGATCATTTTGCTTCAAAGCAAAACCAGGGACCTACAAAGTTCAGGTATGAAGAGTTTTTGTTTTATTTGAAAACAAGAAAAACATGATTTTCAAGAGTTATGAGCTAAAACGGGGTTTGAGAAGGAGCATTTCAGGTCCCAACTTCTTATTTCTAAGTCTTTGTCGGCCTGCTTGTCATGGTTGGGGGGCAGCAGCACAGTAGGCCTCTGTCTTCCTCAGTTATCACATTTGTTGGGGGCTGGGTCAGGCGCCACCCCTCTGGAACACTGCGAGTTCAGGAGGACCTCAGAGCTCCCACACGCCCGGCTTCTGGGACCTCAGGCTAAAACGCAGCTTCTCATTTCCTGCCGTGCCCTGAATTGAGGACAGCTGGACGGGAGCCATGTGATTGGTCCCCAGGCAGGCAGAGAAGTTGGGGAGCCCTGGCCTGTGGTCTCACCTCCATGGGGAAGGTCTGAGCATGGCTGGGCCCAGCGAGTGAGTGACAGGACAGCCAGAGGGAGAGAGACCTTGTCCCTTGGCCACAGACTTTTGCAGGCAGGCATTGGGCAGGCTGAGTGACCTTGCAGGCCATGGGGCAGGAATCCCCCCAAGACTGTTTGCCAGGGCAGAGCAGGGTCCCTCTGGGAAGGGGCCGGAGCAGGCTGGCGTCCAGCAGTTCGTCGGTGGAGGTCAGCCTTGGGTGCCCTCTGGGGAGTCACCTTTGTGCCTGCCCCCGGGCTGCTGCAGGCTGGCTTTTACCTTTGAGTGGAAGGAAATGTGTGCCCTTCACACAGATGGGTGTGTCGGCTTATAAAATTGGGCCCGGAAGTGACCGCTGTCCTTCAAAATCTGCTTAGCCTGGGGCCCAGGTGGGTGTTCCAGGGCCCCAGAGGCCCAGGGGCCGAGAACCCACGGCAGCCCAGGTGCCAGTCCTGTCTTTCCGCAGGTGGTGGTTCCCGAGGCGGAGACCAGGGCAGGGCTGATGTTGAAACCCCACACGTTTCCTCTCACGGTGACCGATAGCCCTGTGATGGATGTGGCTTTTGTGCAGTTTCTGGCCTCCGTGTCTGGGAAGGTCTCTTGTCTGGGTAAGAGGTCAGGTGGCAGCAGGAGCAGGGGGTTTTGAAGAAGCCGGCAGGTGGGTGGGGCTGGGCCCGCCCTCCCTCGGGTGGTGTGGGAGGGGGCCCTGCCTGCTGAGCAGGTGTGGGACTGCATCCTGCACGTAGTTCTTTCTGAATCATTGCCGTGGGGAGTCACCAGGAGCATTCTAGAATACTCTGCTTTGGCTCTGGAAGGAAACCCTAGGTTTCTTTTTCTCTCTTGACTAAGGGAGGGGGCCAGGTTTCAACGCTGGCTCGTGTCCTTGCAGCTCTGAGATTGTCGGCTTCTGTGTTTTGTCTGTAAAATGGTCATACTGCTCCCTGGAGGTCTTCAAGGGGCTTGGATGTGATCCTGTCACATGGCAGTGTGACATAATGGTGACGAGCTGAGCCTCTGGCACCAGACTCCAGGGTTGGGCCCTGTTGTCTACCTAGGGCACGCTGCTTAGCCTCCCTGTGCCTCCGCATCCCTCCCCCGTGGTGTGGAGCTAGCTGCACACACCTCCCAGAGCCCTGAGGGTCCGTGTGTCAGCCTGTGCTGGCCTTGGGCACAGTGCCCAAACGCGGGAGGCCAGTCCATCTTTCCTGTTGGTGACGTTGTGTGAAGGCTCAGTTCCTGCTGGTATGGAAGGCACATCCTGTAGCTGTTCATCCATCACCTCTGATTCTGGCTCCTGTTGGTGCGGCATGATGTCACCTGCATGCCATCTTGTCTCCATAGGTGCTCTATATAATGTCACATTCCTTCCTTCTTTCTCCCCTGGCTCAGACTGGAGCATGCAGAAATCCATGGGTCCTCTCGGCCCTCATGCCCTTGTCGTGTGCTGCTGACCCACGGCCCGGGGGACTTCTTGCAATCAGTCGATGCGCAGAGCCCTGAGCCCTGCTGGTGTGCTCGGAGGAGCCTGCCGAGCAGGAGAGCGTGCTTCCTGTCCCTGGCGGCAGTCACGTGAGGCCTCCTGTCTTTCCTCTGCAGATACCTGTGGCGACCTGCTGGTGACCCTGCAGTCCCTGAGCCGCCAGGGTGAGAAGCGGAGCCTGCAGCTCTCCGGCAAGGTCAACTCCATGACTTTCACGTTTGACAACGTGCTCCCTGGAAAATATAAAAGTAACGCTTCCTGCCTTCGTAACTTTCCGAGTCGCGGTTCTCAAGCTGTGTCTCGGCTGTGTTCTCTTGTTGTGAGCTCTTCCTTGCCCGGGACCTCGGCTGCAGGTTGTGGCATTAGGCATTGATGCTGGAGTCACGCTCTGTGACTAACTTGTACCTCACCAAAACAGCCCACCCACTGTGTGTTTTGGGAGGGTGACCAACTCGTGCCACTCGAGTTCTAGATGCCAGCGGTGAGTGGACGTAGTTCGGCTTGTTGTCTACCCTTATACCTTGGCAAATTGTCCCCCACCCACGTCTCAGGTATTCTGAGCCCCACTGAGACTCAGTTTCCTCACTGTAGGATGGGCACATTGCAGCCTTCTTAGGGAACATAAGAGCAGTTGAAGTAAAGCTGGCAAAGCCCCTTGCAGGGTGCCTGGTCTTCACCAGGTGCTGCCAGTGGTAGTCCCCTCCTCCTGCCCCCTCAGGAAGCCACCTCTTGCCTGTACTTCTGCTTTTTCAAAGATCAGCTTGGAGCTTCTGCTGTGAATACTTATAGAATAGATTTCTTTTTCTGGGAATTATCTTTTCTGTCCCATTGGGGTTGGCAAACTGTGGTTCGAGTCTGCCTGCTGGCATTCATAAAAAAGTTTCCCTAGGACACAGCCACACCCATTTGTTCCCAAGCTCATGAGCTGCGGTGGTGGCCGGGTAGTTCAGACCTGCAGAGCTGACACTGAGACGGGTCCCACGTCGTGCACCTGGAAGCCCAGCCACGTGGGAGGCTGAGACAGGAGGATCCCTGGATCCTAGAAATTTGAGGCCAGCTTGGGCAACAGAGTGAGACCCCTTCTCAAAAAAGTTGAAAAGATTTACAGAAAAAGTCTGCTGGTCCCTGAATGTCCTCCTTAAAGCCAGTCTCTGTGGCCCATTTGCAGTTCTTTTTTTTTTTTTTTTTAAGAGAGAGAGAGAATTTTTAATATTTATTTTTTAGTTTTCGGCGGACACAACATCTTCATTTGTATGTGGTGCTGAGGATCGAACCTGGGCCGCACGCATGCCAGGCGAGTGCGCTACCGCTTGAGCCTCATCCCCAGCCCCATATTTGGAGTTCTTTATTGTCATGTTACTGGCCACTGGTTTCAGTTTTTTCTCTGGTACTGGGATTGACCCCAGGGTGCTGAACCGCTAAGTGGCATCCCCAGCTCTTTTGTTGTGTTTTATTTAGAGACAGGTCTCACTGAGTTGCTTAGGGCCTCACTAAATTGCTGAGGCTGGCTTTGAACTCGCGATCTTCCCACCTCAGCCTCACACCGAGCTGCTGGGGTTACAGGTGTGCGCCACGGTGCCTGGCTGGGTTTCAGTTTTACCTGAGCAGGAGCCTGTTCCGTGTGCTGCTAGCCGTGGGAGTGTTCCTGTGCACACATGTGAAGCCTGCGCAGGCCCGTGTCCCCCGGGGCGTACCTGATGGGGCTCTGGCCCACGCTGTCCCCCGTGCTTGCCTTGCAGTCAGCATCGTGCACGAGGACTGGTGCTGGAGGAACAAGAGCCTGGAGGTGGAGGTCCTGGAGGAGGACGTGTCGGCTGTGGAGTTCAGGCAGACGGGCTACATGCTGCGCTGCGCCCTGTCCCACGCCATCACTCTGGTATGCGGGGTGGGGGAGGGGCTCCGGGTGGGAGATGCTGGGCTGCATGACGTGAGAACCACAGTCCATTGAGCTGCCCGTGCCCCTTGGTGCGCCCACCTGTCAGGGAAAGCACGGTCGGGCAGCACTGACGTCCCTTAGTGGAAAGAGCCCTTATTGGGGATCGCCTTGCCGTCCCCCACACAATCTGACGGACACTTAGGGAGCCTGTTGCTGGGGTGCACGGTGTGCTGAAATGCCCCTGCTCAGGTCCAGGGGAACCTCTTGGTATTTAAGGTTTCCTTGGTGTGCTTAGGCGGGCAGTGGGCTTTCTCCAGTGTTGACTCCAGGGCAGGGGCAGGGGCCAGAGCTGCTCTTCCCCAAGGTCTGCGCCGGCCTGAGGGCAGGCTGCCAAGCGGCTCAGAGGACAAGGAGCGTCTGTGTGGTTCACTCAGAGTTCTACGTGTTGATATCAAACAGCGACAGATGTCATTGTCAGGTCTCAGTAGAGAGACTGGGCCAACTGGCCTTCAGTGACTTTTTGTGATAGACCCTGGTGTTTCCAGTGCGCGTCTTGCTCCAGCTGCTGCAGACCCCAGCAGATGCTGTGCTGCAGGAGAAGGGCTGATTCACACCCACCGAGGATGGGTGACAGGCAGGCCTTGCCTTTCCCCTGCAGGGGACCCGGGTCCTGTAGGTCAGGCTCCGTGGTGCCTAGTGGCGACCCGTGGGCCCTAGCTCAGCCCCCACTCCCCGCTTTGTGTGTTCTCAGCCCGCCTGCCCTGGCTTCGCAGCCCTGCCCTCTCACTCCCTCCTTGGGCCACTGTCCCTGCGGGTCCCTGTCTGGAGGGAGCTTCTTCCCAGAGTGCAGGCATGTGTTTCCTTCCCATCACTGAGGCTGTGTGCAGCCCAGTGTCACCTACCAGGAGAGGGTGGTCCAGGAGCCCTCCCCGCGGTCAACGTGTATCCTGCTCCCTGTTGATTTTCTTAGCTTTATTGCTTCTCACAGAAGTCACTAATTTATTGTTGACCTGCTGGTTTTCTGGTTTCCTAAATTAGAAGGTAAGCCCCCTGAGAACGGGAGCCACACCAGTGCCTCCCAGGGCCCAGCCTGGTGCCTGTCACATAGCAGGTGCTCAATAAATATTAGTTGATTGAATGAAAAGAGCACATTTTTGTTGGAAGATCTTGAAGGTTTTTAATTTTCCTGTGGCACCCAACCGCTCAAATGATTAATGGGCAAAACAGATGACTGGTTCGGAAACAGAAATAGTATTAATCATGGTGGTGTCTCCATCTCCCCGGTAAGTCATCGCACTGGCTCTGGTCCCACAGGAGTTCTATCAGGATGGAAATGGACCTGAGAACGTGGGGATTTACAACCTCTCCAAAGGAGTCAACCGCTTCTGCCTGTCCAAGCCTGGTAAGTTTGGCAGGATTGATGTGCTGTGGGTTATAAAAACGGGGAGGCGCTGAGAGTGGCTTTGAAGGCCTTCTCCCCTTAGCCTGGATCCCTGTGCAGCAGGCTGTCGGGTTCAGTCCAGTTCAGTGCTGTCTTGTTTTTCTGTCTCTTCCCTGTAGAGGGCGCCGTGTTGGAAAACGTGCCTGGTCTCAGGTTAGAGTTGGGTAGGGACCACCTTTAGAAATAAACAGCGTACCCTTCACCCGCCAATGACCTTTCCTCATGGTGACCTTTTTAAAGTTGAATCATCTCCCCCTTGCTTAAAATCTTTGGTGGCTTCCTGCTCTCTTAACTCTCTTGATACAGTTTGCATGCCACACAGTCAATTCATTTTGGGGCTGAGGGTGTGGCTCAGTGGCAGAATGTGGGCCTAACATGCACGAGGCCCTGGGGGAAGGCCAAGGAAAGAAAAAGTAGTTCTCCCGTCCCAGCTGTGTAATATGCCAGGTGTGGGGGTACATGCCTGCAATCCCAGCTACTGGGGAGGCTGAGGCAGGAGGACCTCAAGTTTGAGCCAGCCTGGACAACTTAGTGAGACTGTCTAAAAATTAAAAAATGAAAAGGGTGGCGCTATAGCTCAGGAGCAGAGCACCCCTGGGTTCAACCTCCAGCACCTTAAAGAAAAAAAGACATACCATGCAGGGATTGTTAGTGAATTTACCAAGTCGTACAGTCAGAACCGCAGCCCAGTTTGGGGCGTTTTCCTTGTCCCCAGTAAGGTGGTTGGTTGTCCCCATCCCCAGCCTAGGCAGCCCCTCATTTCCTCTCCCAGGGATCTGCCTTTTCTGGATCTTTCACACGAAGGGTGTCGCAGGCTGCAGGTGTTCTGGTTCTTTTGATTTAACACAGCCTGGTCTCCGCGCCTGGTTCCTTCACACTGCCTGACAGCGCTCCATTGTGTGCACGTTCACTGCCTTCTGTGTGGTACGCGAGGATTTCCATTTCTTGGCAGTTCTGAGCCACACTGGCATGAACATTCTTGTACTGGTTTTTGTGCCCATGTCCACATCTCGATCTTCTTGTCGAGACACCTAGGAGCAGAGTTGCTGGATCGCACTGTGCATTCTGTTTAATTTTGGGAGCAGCCACGTGTTGGTGACTGTGGCAGCGGCCCGTGTGCTGGTCGCCCCACAGTGCCCACGTGTTCCTGTGTCTCCATGTTCCTGCCGACGTGTATTAGTGTCTTTCGGTTCACAGCTGTCCTAGTGGACAGGAAGCATTTCTTATTGTGGGTGTCAGTTCATTCTCCTAGTGAATAATTCAGCGGCTCTTCTTGGCTCTCAAGTAGAACACGGAACCCTTAACTTGACCTTGAGCTGCTGGGTCACCTCCCCTGAGTGCCACTTTCCACTCCAGCCACTCTTTCTGTGTGTGTCATTTGGGCTGCCTTTGGCTGCAAGTGACAATTCATACTGCAGTGTGTCAACAAGTGGGGTTCATTTGCCTCAGTGAGAAGCCTGGCAGTACGGGTTGCTGGCAGGGGTCAGCTCTGGTGGAAGTTGGCGCTGGTGTCTTGGTGTCTGTGGGCCACGTCCTGGGACCTGTGGCCACAGCTGCCTCAACCCCCTGTTAGAAGCAGGAAGACGGGCTGTGTGGCGCCGGCCTTCCCCATGGGAAGCTCTCCTCCAGGAAGCTTGCTTACGTCTCATGCCAGAACTGTCTGCTGGCTGCAAGGGAGGCTGGGAACTCTGCCTCCCTCCAGGTGACCGGGGTCTGTTACTGAGGGAGAAGGATGACAGAGGACAGGTGGCTTCCTGATCGTCAGAGGCAGCGCATAGCACACCAGCCTGAGCTCCCGCCCACCTGCTCTGCACCCCCTGTCCGCCTGGGTTCAGCTGCTTCCCCAGGGGAGGGTGGGCCTCCAGGTCCTGCAGCCTCCCTCTCGCCCTCCTGACCGCACACTCGCTTCTGTTCCTTCAGGCGTGGACCACCATTGGTATATTAGTGGCGATCCTGTGCCCTGCTCTGCCGACGGTCTGCCCATGGGGGGACCAGGCCTCTCTGTTCTCCACTGTGTACGGCCCCAGCAGGGAGCCTGGGGGGGCAGGCACTCAGTCACTGCTTGTTGAATGAAAGAACCAAACGGTGGACAGAGCGGGTCGTCTTTTCTTCCTGGTGACCTCACTGGGCTTTCTGAGTGCCATGAGGACAGCAGGGGTGGCTTAAACTGATTCATGTTTTTGTAGGAAGTGTGTTCAAAATATTGGTTAATGATTATTTGGAGGAGCAAATAGTTACACTTTGCTTCTTCCTGGAACGACTGTCCCTCTGGCAAAGGATGAATATGCACCAATCCGAGGGTTCCTCTGCATGGGCTCGTAGAGTAGGGATGTTCCCGACTGCTGGTGGGTTTCTGGGCCTTCCCTACGCCCTGCTCCTTTTTAGGGATATTTGTAGGAGCGTGCTTATCTGTGGGGTCTTTAATAGGATCTGAAGTGGGAGAGTGTTCTCGGCCTCGTTTGCAGCGGAAGTGTGCTTCTGTCCTTCCTGGGCGCGTGTGCCTCAGCGTGACCCGTGCAGGTCACTACCGGGAGTTGTTAAGTCATGGACACTGGGAAACCAGAGCCTCTGAGTGGCTGTGCGGTGGGCTGGGTGCTTGGCAGCCAGCCGTGATTGGCAGCAGGAAGGTGCCTGCTTGGGTTCTGGATTCGAGGCCGGCCTGCGGGTCTCGGGCGTTGGAGCTGCTTGCCGTAATAGACACTGTTCTCTGAAAACGACTTCTGATTTCCTGTCCGCAGGTGTGTACAAGGTGACGCCTCGCTCCTGCCACCGGTTCGAGCAAGCCTTCTACACCTACGACACGTAAGCACAGCCCACGGGCCTGGTGGGCCTTCTGGGGGGAGAGCGACCCTGAGTGTGGCCTCCTGTAGTTCCGAGAACAAAAGGAAATTTTCTGTTTTTTTCCTGGAAGAGGCAAAGTTAGGCATTAAGTATCGTCTAGATGAGACACTGGACGCTGCTGTGTGTGGACGGGGAGTCTCCTTCCCAGGAACTCCCTGGACTCCCTTGGGAGGCCATGTTTGTGAAGGCGAGCTGCGTCCAGGCTCCGGCCCTTGCCCGTGGGCGTCCTCCGCCCCGGTCCGCCATGTTTTTGCGGCTGGGCGTGGAGCCCGCTGGGAGCCGGAAGGGTGAGGTTTTGGAGCGCAGGGTTCGTCCACTCTTGACGGGCCTGGGTGGCTTCCCAGAGCTGTTGGGTCCCAGGGAAGAGCCCCTTGGCACCGCGTGTTTTGTCCTTTGAGCACCAGGTAGTGCTGCTAGTGGACGCTTCCGCTTCTCTGATTTATAGGTCTTCACCCAGCATCTTGACGTTGACAGCCATTCGCCACCATGTCCTTGGAACTATCACCACTGACAAAATGATGGATGTCACCGTGACTATCAAGTAAGACTTGTGTTCCTTGCTGGGCGGAGCGGGAGGTGCTGGGGCCTGGGTTCTCTAATAGACGCAAAGCTGCTCTTGACTTCCTATCTTTGGGTGGACATACAAATGGCCGACCCTCTCCTGTAGGACAGTCATAAATACCCAGCAGCCGATCCCTTTCTTTTATGATTCAGGAATTAGCTGTGGGTGAGGAGGAGCCTCTGACAGCAGATTCCCCGTCTTACGTTTCTCGTTGAACTTCTTTCTAAGGGAAAAAAATCTCCAGGTCACGTTCATTGTGTTTCAAGTGTTTTCGCAAATTCAAAAAAAATGCCAGGTTTTCTTCAGATCTTTTCTTGGAGGCTTAGGAAATAGAGATGGCCCCTGATACGAGGCGGGTCATGAGAGAGGAGGTGCTGGAAAGGCCGTCCCTCACCGAGGGTCGTGTCCGTGTGACTGTCACCTAAGTTGAATTTCTGCAGTATGACGCGGTTTGGGATACTAATCTTCTCAAGGAAAGAGAGCCTGGGCAGCTGACCGTCTTTGTCACATAGGATGGGCTGTGACGCCGTCCTTCTGGCCCACCTGTGCCAGCCATCACTGCTAACAGTGGGCGTCTTCATGGCCTCAGCCCCAGACTTCCTGCCCCCAGGGAGGCCGACTGGGACCTGCAGACTCCAGTGCCATGAGTGCTTTGGGGTGGCCCTGGGCTGGGGGCACAGGAGGATGGCAGGTGGGGGCCAGGCCGTGTTGGGTCTTGGTCCTCGTCCCATGGACATCACTGCCCTGTTACAGTAGAGGGTGGCCTTGTTTGAAAGAGGAGCCCTGGTTTCTGAGTGAGGAAACCAAGTGGCCCGAGGGCGGGGCCAGCGGAACAGGGTCCACGTGCGGGCCCGAGGGCAGGGGACGGCCAGGGTGAGGTTGAGCTGACGTGACCTGGCCACGGACTGCAGGGTCAGGGAGGGACGAGAGCTGGGGAGCCCGTGGTTTCTAGTGAGGGGACTGAAGGACGAGCCAGGCAGTAGGGAGGGTTGGTGTGTCCCTCATGGCCCAGCGGCCAGCGCTGCCCTGGTGCTGGACTCGCCTGGATTTCCTGCCTGGAGGGTGGTAACAGGTGAGCAGCCCCCTGCCCTGCCCAGCGGGGACTCCCTTCCCCGCCTGCCCTTCCCAGGCCACTCTGGTTCCCTCAGGAGGGCTTGGTGTTGTGGGCGTGTCCTCAGCTGGACCTGCCTCCGGACCCTTCTGATTACGGGGTTCAGAGCTAGATCGCGGGGGTTCCCCCCGAGGCCGCCGAGCAGCCTCCCCACGCGCAGGGCCGGCTTCCTGGCCGTTCCTCTTTCCCTCGCACCCCACCCGCACACCTTCCACAGACCCTGGTGTTTCATGAGATCAGGACATTCCCGCGGTCTGGTCCCGCTTGCTGTCACAGTCCAGTGGTTGTCTCGCGTGCCTGGTCACCACGGCAGGTCTCTGCCTGGCCTCCCCGTTCCAGCTGCTGCGTGGGGCAGTATGTTGTTCCTGCGGTAGCCAGAGTGACTTCTCAGTGCAGGTCACGCCTCCTCGTCTCCGAACCCCAGTGGCTTCCCGTCCCACCCAGAGGAAACCCATGGTGGCTCCTGTGGGGCAACGTGACCCCTGCGGCCCTCTGGCCTCTCCCAGTGGCCTGGGGCTTCCGTGGGTCCCCTGCCCCAGCTTCACTGGCCTCCTTGCTGTCTGTGGGACTTCCGAGGGGACTTGTCCTCCTGGGCCTTGGCATCTGCTGTGCTCTCACCTGAGAGCCGTGGGACTTGCACTCTCCTGTCCCTTGGTCCTTGGCTCAACGCCACCTGATCAGAAAGACCGGGCCTGGCCCTCCTGGCACCCTGCCCTCCTTTGCTGCTGGCTCTGTCCCTCCTGTGCACACCTGGTGGTCCCTGTCATCGTCTGCCCTCCTGTTGGGACATGGATTCTGCAGGGCCGGGGGACCTGCCTGCTCACCAGCGCACGCGTTCTCGGTCACAGTGTTCTGATGTAGGGGACAGAGGTGTGGAGAGAGCTCCCTGTCCCACGTGGAGACTGACGGCCCTTCACCTGGCAGTGCCAGGTCAGGGGTATTAGTCTAGCCCAGCACCTGCTCCCCATCTGGAAGTTCAGTTCGGTTTCTTTGAATTTTCTGTGTTTTAAATCCCGAGGTGTCACTGTGATTGGGCCGAGGTGCTCAGTTTTCACTGGGTCCCGGCGGCAGAAGGGCAGGTTCCCACCAGCTGCCCGTCTTGCAGGTCCTCCATCGACAGCGAGCCGGCCCTGGTCTTGGGCCCTCTCAAGTCTGCGCAGGAGCTGCGGAGGGAGCAGCAGCTGGCGGAGATCGAGACCCGCCGGCAGGAGCGGGAGAAGAACGGCAAGGCCGAGGGCGGCGAGGGCAGGGCCCGGCCTCCGGGGCAGGAGCTGGTGGACGAGTTGCAGGGCCCCTTCCACTACGACTTCTCCTACTGGGCCAGGTGAGCGCTCGCGCGCTTCTCCGAAGCGTCCTGGGTCCTGGAGGGACAGAGCCCGACTCCAGTGTCGCCCCGTAGGTCTGGGGAGAAGATCACTGTCACGCCCTCGTCCAAGGAGCTGCTCTTCTATCCCCCTGCCATGGAAGCCCTCGTCAGCGGAGGTACTTTTGCCACTCGCCAGCCAGCACCGCGCCCTGGCCTTCGCTGAGAAGTGGCTTGTGGTGGTGTGGTACCGCTGTGTCCCTAGCCCCGGGGGCCCGCTGGGCACTGGGTGTTCCTGTCGGGTGGGTGGCTGACGGACGGCCTGGGGGTGGGTTTGTTCTGCGGTCGTGGCCTCCCTTGACGTTACTGGTTGACGGGGGTCGGGGGGTGAAAAGCAAAACCATCTGTTGCAGAGGTACAGGGATCGTCTTCCTGCTTTTGGGAACAAGTGACAGCAGTGATTGTGACTGCCGAGTTTCTCTGGCCTTTGGGCTGGCTACGTGGTGGCCATCTGTGGGGGTTGGGAGCCCAGGTCCCTAGGGGAGCCGCCCTGCCCCTTCTGCAGGAGGCTTCTCCCTGTCCCGTGGCCCTGCGGGAAGCTGGCAGGGAGTAGTGACACATCACCCGCAAGGGCTGCTCCACACGCCCTGGCAGCTGCGCGTGGTCTCTCTGGGCTGCCGCTGGGCGTGGACCTCCTTCGTAGCGAGCGCCTGTCTGAGACCCCTCTTTTGTGGGGGCCCTGACTGAGCAGCTGCCTCCCTCTGCCACTCATTCCCCTCCTGGGCTGCCTCCTCCATCTAGAGAGCTGCCCGGGGAAGCTGATCGAGATCCACGGGAAGGCGGGCCTCTTCCTGGAGGGCCAGATCCACCCCGAGCTGGAGGGAGTCGAGATCGTCATCAGTGAGAAGGGGGCGAGTTCGCCCCTCATCACCGTCTTCACCGATGACAAAGGAGCCTACAGGTGGGCCACAGCGAGACGCCCTGGGAGCCTGAGCGCCTGGGGGGAGGGCCCAGAGCTGCCTCAGCATCTCGCTTTCTTCTGTCCAGCGTTGGCCCCCTGCACAGTGACCTGGAGTACACCGTGACCTCTCAGAAGGAAGGCTACGTGTTGACCGCGGTGGAAGGAACTATAGGAGACTTCAAGGCCTACGCCCTGGCCGGAGTGAGCTTCGAGGTATCCTGCCCCGGGTGTGCCACACAATCAACAGTGGGCACAGGAAGTGCCGCCTCGGGCAGTGTCACATGGGGCTGTACCATGCTGGGCAGTGGGCAGGAGGCAGCCAGGCTGGGTGTCAGCACATGTGAGGTGGTGAGACCCCTGGGAGCCGGAGGGGCTCTCAGGGCTCTGAGGTGACGTGGCCACCCTTCCTGCTAGTCACCCTGGGGGAGAGCAGATCCTGCCCCTGTGAGTGGCGGGGGAACACATGGTGGCCACCAACCCCTCCTGGGAGGAAAGTCGTCTTTTCGGCTGAGGGGCCTTGACCTTGTGTGCTTCCTCATCCCCAGATCAGGGCCGAGGATGACCAGCCCCTCCCGGGGGTCCTCCTGTCACTCAGCGGGGGCGTGTTTCGTTCCAACCTCTTGACTCAGGACAACGGCGTCCTCACCTTCTCCAGCCTGGTAGGTGTCCTGCAGCTCGTCCCTGCTGTCTCCCCAGGACAGCCGGCCCATGCCTGGCTCAGCTGGTGCTCAACGGTGTGGGGACGGGGCCACGTGCAGTGGCCTGTCTTAGGGGACCACATCTCACTAGGGAGCTGCTCTTCCTGGAGCTTGGTGCTGCTGGTCTCCGTCCTTCCTCCTCCTTGTTTTCTGGTCACCCACTTGTCACCAGGCTGTGTGGATAACTGCCCTGGCCCTGGCGGCCTCTCTCAGGCGCCCTTTGCTGTACCCCAGGGTCCTGCTGCTCCATACCGCGTCTTGTTTGGTGGTAGCTTGTCATTCTGTAGGAAGCCCCTTTCCTGGGGGAGGGTAGCCCAGGTTTCCTTTGAGATGGATCCGAGGTCCCGGTGGTAGGGACTCAAGAGGTATCTGTTAAGTGGCATCTTCTGCCAGTCACGGGAACGAAATGACTCGTGGGGAGTGCAGGCAAGTAGTGTGGCATCTGGAAGGTCCCGGGCCTGCAGCCGTGCCCCCGGCCTTGAGTCCTGCCTCTGCAGCGAGTCTGCTACCTACTCGCTGCGGTGCATGGAGCCAGTTGTTGGGTCTCTTGGGATCTACCTTCCTCACAGAGTGCTGGGGCTCCTGAACAGAGCCCCGCTGTCAGGGTTGTGCTTGCCCCTGGGCCTTGGCACCGTTCATGAGGAGAGGTCTCCACCTCTGCCTCCTGCCTGGGAGGCCAGGGCTGCTCGGTATCATGCAGGTCCCTGTGGCCGTGACTGTGTGCCCTTCCGTGTGGCAGCTGGCAGTGTGTGTTGTCCCTGCAGAGCCCCGGCCAGTACTACTTCAAGCCCATGATGAAGGAGTTCCGCTTTGAGCCGTCCTCGCAGATGATCGAGGTCCAGGAAGGGCAGAACCTGAAGATCACCATCACCGGGTACCGCACGGCCTACAGGTAGTGCCTCCCGCCAGCCCCCAGGCCTGTTGCTCACTCAGGGCTGTGCCCCTGGAGCCTCGCACCCCACAGCTGGTTTGATCCAGAAGGTTTGGTGACACACTCAGTGTCACCAGAATGAGGAGGAACAGGTGAGCGAGTGCACACCTGCTCAGGGCTCAGCAGTGGTCTGTGACCCCCTCGCCTGCTCTGAGAGGCCCGAGAAAGCATATCGGTCGGTTGCTGGAAAATTTAATCTTTTAAGTTTGGACTTGATTAAACGTTCAGAAAGGGAAAGGCTTAAGTTACTTGCGTGCACTTCAGATGCTGGAGAGCATGCAGTGTGGAGGTCCCCCTTACTAGCCTGTGTCCAGCCACCACAACCCCTTCTGGCGCCCACCATTTCCTATTTTTCTGAAGACCAGCTCCAGGTAGATGGACACGCACTACGTGCAGCCGGACAGGCAGGCGCGTGCAGAGCCATGTGCTCACACTGTACATGTGCGTGTTCACACACATGCCCGGGCCCTGGGGGGTGAAGATGGTCAGGATGATCCGGCTCAGAAAAATGAACCGTGTTCCCTGAATGCGTGGAGTGGCGTTCTCGAGTTATTTTCCCACCGTCAAGTGCTTCAGTGTTTAAGTAAAGATCAGCAAGGGTCCACAAAACCTCAGCCTTTTGTGTTCCAATATTCCGGAGCGTCCCTTGGGGTGGACGAGGAGAGAAGTTGATGGCAGCGTGTCCTGGGGCGGGGGCGGCCCAGGTACAGCTGACCTGGGGGTCGTGGGCAGTTCCCCTCGCAGCCTTGTGCCGTGATTGTGGGTGAGCGCAGAATGCTGCCCGTGACCCTGCGGGTGTTCAGACACGTTGTGTTTTTCCTTGTCACACAGTTGCTATGGCACAGTGACATCTCTGAATGGAGAACCAGAGCAGGGGGTGGCCGTGGAAGCCGTGGGGCAGAAGGACTGCAGCATGTACGGGGAGGACACCGTGACCGACGAGGAGGGGAAGTTCAGGCTGCGTGGCCTGCTGGTGAGCTCTGGGCGCGCCGTGCCTGGGTCCTGGGTCCTCCAGACCGCAGGAGGACCACGGGGAGGCTCTGGGTCCTCCTGGTCCTTGTCTCAATTGGCCACTTGCTTTTCATCTGGCCAGCACTGGGTTGGGCTCCGTGGCAGAGTGAGATTGAGAACCCGGGTTTGGTGGGAACTTGGCCTGGCATCGAGTGGCCATGGCTGCGTCGGGCTCTCAGACCAGGGGCTTATGGGGCCGGGAGAAAAGTGTGAGTGGCCCAGGATGGCCGGGTGCCCAGCAGGGCGCCGTGAGGACCGGGGAGGGCCTAGCCCGTGTGAAGGGGACAGCCCTGACACAGCTCAGCTCCCACAGCCACGGCTGCAGTGTTTGAAAGAGAAGTCAGGACTCAGGTTCTCTGTGAGCCTGGTTTTTGATGTTAGCGGTGAATGAAGGAAAACCCTCCACTTCCCTTGGGCGCCAGTGAGCCGCTCCTTGGTCCTTCCCCTCTGAGCGGCAGCCTTGGGCTGGGCGTGCAGCTCGTCCTCCCTGTGCACTTGCTCACCTGTTCCTCCTCACCTGGCAGACAGCCTGTAGGAAGTCCCCCAGGGGCTTCCTGATGGGGCGCGTGTTGGGGGAGGGCGTGAACAGAGCAGAGCCCTTCCTCACTTGGGAGTGGCGCCCTGGCCAAGCCGAGCCTCCTGCTCACCTCACCCCTGGTGGCAGGAGAGCTGTGCGGCCTCCTTGTCCTCCCAGCGGGGCCTCCTTGTCCTCCAGTGCGGCCTCCTCCTCTCAGCTGACTCGGCGCTGGGCCACGGCTCCTCTCCACTGCGGTGGGTTCCACTGTAACGTCCCCGCCTCCTCCCTGAAGGGGTCAGTCATTAGGGTCTTCCTGTATTTCTGGGGTGCTCCCTGGTGGCAGCACACACCTTCCAAGTGCCAGGCCACACGTCCCGAAGGGATGTCCTTTGACCTGTGTCCTTGTGGGTGTCCAGAGGGTGGCGAGCTGGGGATGCCGAGGGCTTGACCCGGGTAGGAGGAGCACCTGGCCCTTGGTTGATGTGCTCAGGGACTCGTCAGGACCTGGGGGAGAAGCTGACGCTAGATGTTGTTGCCAAAGGCCACGTGAGTCCCCAGGACGACTGGCCATGTGGCCAGGAGTGGACCAGTCCGGGCCATGTGGCCGCCTGTTGGGACTGGGCAGGCCGGGCGCCACAATGAGGAGTGGCCTTCCGACAGCCTCCGCAGCAGTGTCTCCTTTTCTCCCACAGTGCCACCAGCCCCCACTGAGCACGGTCTGTTGGTGACCGTGTGCTGCATTGTCCCCTTGGTGGTTTGTCAGTGCTGGTGGGATTGTCTTTGCAGGGTGCACGTGCTCCTTCTAGGATTCAGGCGACATGAGGAACAGAGCAAGACCCCAGGAGGGGGATTGCCCAGAGCTACCCCAGAAGGGGTGGCCCTGGCTGGCACGCTGAGAGCGCCAGCCTGCACCTCTCTGCTGCATGCAGAGGGTGGGGGCCTGAGTGTAGGTGGCTGGCACCCTGTTGTCCCCTCTCCGTGCTAGTTGAGCACTGACGGCTCCTTCTCAGGGTTTCTCCCCGAGGTGCATCCAGGTGCCTGTGACCATGACCCTGGCTTTAGATGAGGCGCTGGGTCTGACCACTGTGGTGGTCAGAAATGAGCGTTTTTAGTTTTTTAGCAGAACGCTTTTGTGGCAGATTGTGGCCTATAAATCTGAGCCACATGACAGGCAGCATAAACAAGGAGATCTGAGAGGGGCAAGCCTCAGCCCTCTTTCTAGCACCCCATCTGCCCCGAGCCTCGGGGGCCTGGAGGTGCGGGGTGCTGGGCAGCGCGAGGCCAGCGTGGCTCCAGGAGCGTCGGGCGTGGACGCTCGAGGTGTGAGAGAGCAGCCGGGTCCCACCTCCTGGGCTAGAGAAGGGCGAGCCGGGTTGGGACCAGGGAACCAGGGGTGGCGGTGTGATGGGGGTGGGGGCGGTGCTCAAGGAAGTCTGGGAAGGTGGCCAGGCAGAGGTTGGGACGTGAGGGATCAGGGTGCTCTGGAGGGACATGGAGCTCGGGTGGGGTGCCGGCAGGCCCTCCTAGAGCAGTGACCGTGGTGTCCTTGCAGCCGGGGTGTGTGTTCCACGTGCAGCTCAAGGCCGAAGGCAACGACCACATCGAGCGGGCGCTGCCCCACCATCGGGTCATCCAGGTGAGGACGCACACTGCCCCACGACCCACTGGTCACCCTCCTGACCCAGAGTTCCTCGTGTCTTCCGTCTGTGGTGGGGTGTTAAGACCCGACCCAGGTCCTCTCAGTGTGTCCTGCTCCCGAGCAGCAGGGACGTGGGGTCTCCACTGGGCAGTGCTGCTGTCCCACGTCCAGGGGCGACGCCAGCCCTCGCCCTCCCTCCCCGCTGCCCCAGCAGGGGCTGATTGTGGCGGCACGGGGAGGGTCTCGGGGCAGAGGCAGCATCTCGACTTAGGGGGATGGGGGCTTAACTGGCAGCCTGTCCCCAGGCCTCTCAGGTTTCGGAGGCCTCTCCCTGCCACTCTGCGGGCCGAGTCATTGATACTCAAGATCACGACTCTAAGTCTGTCCCCAAGGCAGCCACTCAGGTCACCAGGCGTGGCCCTGGCCTCCTTGGAGGCAGTGCCTTCGTGGAGCAGCCCTCCTGGCCGGGTTGGAGGGCTGGGCTGGGACGAGGAACTGCTCCCTGGTGGCTTTGTTTAGGTGGTGGTTAGGCATGAGGATCGCGAGGGAGGGCAGTGGGCCACCTAGGAGCCCCCTGCCCCTCAGCACTGGGGGCCTGGCCTCACACGGGACGGGCCAGCGCTCCACCCCGAGCGTCATCCCCAGCCCTCTCAGAAAGTTCCTTTTGAGACGGAGTCTCACTGTGGGCCCTGGCTGGCCTTGGGCCTGTGACCCTCCTGCCCCAGCCTCAGAGCAGCTGGACTCCAGCAGTGCACCATGGCACCTGTCATTTAGGGCTTTTTGGGGAAGGGGCTGTTTTGTGCCTGGCGTTCTTGACGGTCAGGTGGCTGCCTCTCACCCCAAGGTGCCTGGCACCGCTTCCTGCTCTGGGGGCTTGAGCAGGGCCACAACGTGGTGTGGACTGTGGCTGACCAGGTGGGAGCCTCTCCCGGCTCCTCCTGCCCCCCTCGCCTGGTCTTTCTTTAGAGAGCATGGAACTCGGCCTTCTTGTAAGAGGTTTCTTTCTTCTAAAGATGACGGCAGGGGATTAGAAGCCAGAGGGTGAACACTGCCCATCAGACACTCTGCTTCTGTGGGCCAGGGGTCGCCCTTGGCCGGTGTGTGGCCTTGCATGTGTTCTACTGCATTGGACCACGCGCCTCCTCTGGGAAGTGCTGCTGGCCGGGGGAGCTCCTGGCCACTGTGTGGGGCACAGCAGCCACTCAGCTCGGCCTTCTCCCCCCCAGGTTGGGAATAACGACATCGATGATGTGAACATCATAGTTTTCCGGCAGATTAACCAGTTTGATTTGAGTGGAAATGTGATCACTTCCTCGGAGTACCTTCCTACATTATGGGTAAGGCCAGCGTCTCCAGGGCACCAGACGGGCGGGAGCAGGCTGTGGAGGGCAGAGGGAGGCGCCCTGCTGAGGGTCCAGGTGAGCACCCAGGACCCTCCCTCACAGGTATGCTTGGGAGTGACCCAGTTTCAGGCAGCTGCAGCCCCTGCTCTCTGGGAGGTGGGTGACGGCGAGGCTGATGAGTGCTTGGAACAGTCAGTCCGCGGTGGGGCCCACGTCAGGGCACAGTGCTGTGATTCTAAGCTCTGTGCACTGGGCAGTGGCTGCAGGCCAGGCACCCGGGGCTGTTCTGTCACTGGTGGTTGTGAGTGGTCTTGAATGTGACCCACAGACCTAGCTGTGACTTCTATCCCTGGAAGCCCCTGTGACTTGTGGGTGCAGAGAAGTGTCATTGTGGCCCTCAGGGGTGGTTTCTGGTGTCCTTGGGGCAGGCGTGGGGGCCGGGCACTCAGCCTTTGAAGGCAGCCTGGACTGGACCTTTCTCCTCCTCGTGTCCACTGTGTGAGGTGGTGGGGAGGCGACAGATCTGGGGAGACGGCCTGGAGAACCGTTCAGTGGAGACCGTCTTGTGGACTCAGGTCACTTGACATGATGTGGCAGGCAGGATCTGGGCTCGTCCACATTGAGTGACCTCAGGTGATGGGCTTTGAGCCTTCATGAGGCAGTGCCTTGTCTCAGGATCGCCGAGTCGTTTGGAGGGTGCCTGTGGGTGCCGTGCATTGAGGTGGTCCCCGGATGTGAGCAGCAGTTCCTTTGAACACCGTCATGACGACCGTGGTTGCTGTTTTGAGCAATTCTTGGGTGGTCAGGGCCTGTTCCAGAGTCAGCTTTCTGTGGTGGCACTGGCACGTGCCTGGAGCCTCCGACTGGGACAGGCGCTTTGCCTGTCGGGGGAGGAGGGCCTGTTTCCCCCCACAGAGGCCTGTCCGAGGACGTCTGTGTGACACATTTATTGTGTTCAATCTCTGAAGCTCAGCCGCCTGCTCTGTCCCCAGGTGAAGCTTTATAAGAGTGAAAACCTCGACAACCCGATCCAGACGGTGTCCCTGGGCCAGTCCCTGTTCTTCCACTTCCCGCCCCTGCTCAGAGACGGCGAGGTAAGGTCCACACTCTGCCTGCTCTGCCTCTGGGTCGGGAGACCTCCTGCTCCCCACGCGGCTGCGCAGCGCCCCATCAGGAGGCCGGGCTCTGCGGGGACTACTGCTCCTTAATGAGCTGCTTTTCTCTTTACAAAAATGATGCATATTCATAGCAGGAGATTTCAAAAAATAGAAAAAAGAATCAGACAAAGTCCCATCATCCAGAAATAACCACTGTTGACGTGTTGATTGGTGTCCTCTGGGTTCCTTTTCAGTGCACGTGTGCATGTGTGTAGCAGTAAAAACGCACTGACTGTGATAGCTCAGACCTGGAGCGTTCGTACGTTGCTCCGTAATGAAGAATAGAATGTACATCTGTCCCCCACCATCGAGTCCTCCACTGCCTGGTTTTCCCTGACCACGCAGTGGTCCATCACGTGGGGACTCCCCTCAGTTAGCTTAACCAGGCCCTGAAGTGGGGCACCCTTTACTCCTTGTGCTCCCATTTTTCCTTGGCCGCCAGGTTTACTGAGAGCCACTGATGGAGGAGCTTCTCCGGCGATTTTCAGAAGTCTGTTTTGTTTGCAGTGCGGGGAGTGGAACTGGGGCTCGTGCAGGCTGGGCAGGCGCTCTACCACCACCACGGCCCCAGTCCTCATAGTTCTTTGTGTTGGACGGTTTGATGACCAGGCACCTCCTGTAGTCTCACGTAGACCTCCTGCGGTCCCACCTCTGTGGTGTCCCTTGGTTTAGTGCACCTGGATGACCATCTCCCACCCCAGCACTGAGCAGCTTCTGGCTGTCATTTTGGACGTCCCTTACTGATTCTAAACCTGTTTCTCATCAACTCTAATTGTCAGGCTGATGTCGTAGCTGGGTAGTGGTGGTAGGCCAAGGGTGTCCTTTGTGCACCTGTGGTGGGAGGGCGCCTCTCTTGACTCCGCCTCTTTCTCTGTTTGAAATAACAGAGCAGGTTGCCGTGTCCCCAGGTGGTGTTGCCTTTGACACAGTGGCCTTACACAGCAGGTGGAAGCACCTGGGCCCTGGGGTCCGAGCCTGCGGGGCTGCTGACCCCATGTGGGCTCCCCCATGCAGGGGATGGGGTGCGGGTCCTGGCCTTCCGTGGCTGAGTGCAGATCGGGCCTGTCGGGCACAGGGCCTGGCTCCTGGTCGGGCTTGGCACACAGGGCTGTGGTGTCACTGCACGGTCCCAGAGCCGTATTTCTAGAACGTGAGCTGATAAGCCATCTCGTGCCTCCCTGGGAGTCGGCCTCAGTATGGGCTGGCCCCCCCCCTTCCTTTGGTCACTTTCCTTCCCTCCTCAGAACTGGCTCCTGAGGTCACATTCTCAAAGGACCCTTAATTGTCGAGGCTGAATAGGCTCCTAAAATGTGCTGCAGGGCCTGGCAGCCTTATCAGAAGACCCCGGGAATGCAGGACCGTCCCCAGTGGGGTAGCCCGCCGAGGCCCTGGCTGTGTGCCAGCAGCCTGGGTTTGGAAGCGCAGACTTGGGTTTCTTTGAAGGCCTGAGCTCGTGTCACCACGGCCACACGACGGGCGTTAGTCTCCATTGGCTTTGCCAGACAGGTTGCTTACCCGAGCGATTCTTGTGTGGTCACAGAATTACGTGGTGCTGCTGGACTCCACGCTGCCCAGGTCCCAGCACGACTACGTCCTGCCTCAGGTCTCCTTCTCCGCAGTGGGCTACCACAAGCACATCACCCTGATCTTCAGCCCCACCGTGAGTAGCAGGGGACTTGGAAAGCAGCCCGTGGGTGGCAGGAGGGGGACAGACATCCAGCCTGCGCTCCTGGCTCTGAGTCGCTGTCCCGCTCTGGGTTCTGCATTCAAATTTCCCCAGATGCCCTTCTGCTGTTCTGAGCCACTGGGGACTCGTGGTGGCGGAGTGTGCCTGTGTGTGTGTGTGTATGTGTGTGTGTGTGTTGGGATCACCTCATGGGCTCAGGAGGGCTGGGGGGAGAGGCGGCCTTGTGCTCCTCCTCTATCAGGAGGCCCCTGACACCTGGCCAACTCCAAACTCTAGAACTAGCAGCCATTTGCAGGAAATAGAGGACACAGAGGCACAGAAGTGCCACCAGGGATGCGGGACAACAGAGTGGAATGTGGCGTACTTGACAGATGAAGTGCAAGGGGAAACCAGCCCAGCAGGGGGCGCAGTGCCTGTAGCTGAGAAGGCGCCTGCTCAGCTGAGTGGCCTTTGCAGCTCGGGCCTCCTCAGACCCCAGGCCCTGCAGACTGAGCAGCCATGCCGTGGGGGGCCGGGACGGGGGGGCACAGGCCGTGGTGTGTCGTGAGGAGGACTCGAGCCCTCCTCCTTGTGCTCTGGCTCGTGGGCCTGTCCTCGTCGGTGTGTGCAGGTTCTCCTGTGACTCACTTGTGTCCTGTGGAGAGGGAGTTCCCTGGGTGTCCTGGGACCGGGAACGCAGGCCTGGGGGTCAGAGGTTTCTGCCTCTGACAGTGTCCTGCCCAGCAGCGCGGGGGTCAGGTCGCCCCTGGCGTCGGGACGTTCTAGCTCGTGACTTCTCCAGATGGTCCACTGGGCAGTGCCTCCAGCCAGCCGGGGAGGCACGCCGCTGTCTTCAGGGCCAAGCGGGCCTAGCGGGCGTGGCTCCGGTCCCTCTGTGTGCTGCTGGCCAGAGTTTCGTTCCAGGGCTGCACCTCGCTAGAGGAGGCTGGGAAATGGGGCCTGTTCTGAAGTCTGGGGCGAAGGAGGGGGAGGGGAGAGCGGCCCTGGTAGAGGTCACAGTCTCCACTTTGCCTTCCCCTTGGGAGTGGTCTCTGGGACCAGCTTGCCCATCACATGTGCCCCGGCTCTGGAACAGAGCTCCCCGTATGTCCTGTGAGACAGGGTCCCCACGCATAGCTGGGACTCCATCAGCGAGGCCCATTTGCTCTCAGCCACCGAGACTCCTGCTCCCTGCGCCTCCTCCCCTCGGTGTGGCCAGTGAGCACCAGGGGAAGGTGCTGCGCTGCCCGGCCTCCGGGGCCCCGTAACGAGAATCTGGGGAGCAGGGGGGTGAGTTTGAGAACCGACTCTGTCCCTCAGTTTCCTCCTGGGTGGCGAGTGTGGAGACTCTGGGGTCCTTGGTGGCCAGTCTGGAGGGCGGGGGCGTCGTGGCTGTGGCTGGTGGGTGACTGTGACGGCGCCCTGTGTTTGCAGAGGAAGCTGCCTGAGCAGGACATCGCACAGGGGTCCTACATCGCCCTGCCGCTGGCGCTGCTGGTCCTGTTGGCCGGGTACCACCACGACAAGGTAGGACGGGTGGGACCTGGGGACAGGAAGGTGGCAGGGAGTGGGCCTCGCCACTAAGGAGCGGCCGTGGAGGAGTGGCCGCTGTGACAGCAGTTCAGGGTTGGACCGTGAAGGCCTGAAGCCAGCCCCAGGGTCCCCGTTCAAGGGCATGAACCTGAGTGACCCTCCTAGTCCTTGCCCCTGGAGAGGCAGCCCCCCTGGCGGCCCTCGGGCCTGGGGCCTGCCATGCACTGACATCCAGCCGTCAGCACGCGGGGGTGCTGACCACCCGAGTGGAGAAGGGTGAGGACGAGGCCCTGTGACCGGCAGGAGCCCCCGCATCTCCCTGTCCCTCTCTCCCCAGCTCATCCCCTTGCTGTGGCAGCTGACCAGCCGGCTGCAGGGAGTCCGGGCGCTGGGCCAAGCAGCCTCAGACAACAGCGGCCCCGAGGACGTGAAGCGACAGGCCAAGAAGCAGAAGATGAGGCGGACGTGAGGAGGAGGAGGAGGCCGCCGGCCGACACTGCCCACAGAGCCCAGCATGCGCCTGCCACCTCCACCGCACCATGGCCCGGGCCCGTCACTGTGGTCCCCTCCTCCCCTCGTGTGGCCTCTTGGCGCAGCGCAGTGAAGAGACCCTCCTGTCACTCTGCTGAGCCCAACGCGTTTTCTGAGCTGAAGATAATTTATTGTTTTTATTTTGTCAGAGGAGTATTTAAGCAGGGCTGGGGGCTGGCAGCGGCTTCTTAGTCTTGCACGTCATTCGCAGGAAGCGTCCCAGCAAGCATGGCATCTGGGCGCAGGGCGAAGGTGCCTTCTGGACTGTCCTATGCCTGGACGCCCCTTTGCACTGAGACCCTGCTGAAGCCATGGCCACCTGCGCCACCACCAGGAGCGTCCTTTAGGAGGTGAAAATCAATAAACCTGCCCGTTCATCTGTGTTGTCGCTCGTCCCAGCCGCGTTTCTTGGTGACGCTGGCCAAATGCTGGGGTCACAGACTGGAGCATGTGGGGAGCAGGTCAGAGTCCTGGTGAAGTGGGAGAGGAGAGGCGTGGTGCGTCACGGTGACGTCGCATGGCAGCCATCAGGGGAACAGTGGGGTGCGGCCCGGGAAGGCCCGCCCCACCTGCTCAGGTGGCACTCCGGGAGCCCACTGTCCTCAGGGATGCACATTCCTTTTCTAGAGAAGCCAGAGAGAAAGCTTTGTGCAAAGTCTTCCAAGTTTAGTGACAGATTTGGTTTAAAGAAGTACGCTTTGGGCCTCCTACAGACGCACACGTGAGCAGGGGGCTCAAGGGCGCCAGTGTGTGTGTGCGCGACAGACCCGCTGTCTGGCTCTCAGCACTGCCAGAGTGCGTGGTCACTTACTTTATAGGGAGGAGGTGACAGTGCGGAGGTCACCCCGTCCATCGGGTGCCGACTGCGTGCTGCCCGGGGAGTGCAGGGGCAGGGCTGTGCCTGGTGTGCTGGAGCCCTGGATTCAGCCAGGGCAGAGGTGCGCCAGGGGCAGGGGCTGTGGAGAGCCCAGGGCTCAGAGCAGAGGTGAAGCACCTGCGGGTCCGGTGACACTGCCGGTGGGCACTGGAGCCAGGTCTGCCATGGCCGAGGCACAGATGAAAAGCAGGATAGTATCCTGGGTGCCACCGCAGGTGCAGAGGCTCAGCTCAGAGGGTCCCCGGCTCTGGGGGGGCACCCATGGGCTCTGCTTCTGCCTCGGGCTGGGCACCTGGGTTTTTGTGGTGGTTCTGCCACCAGGGAGGTGAGCTGGGGCATCTGGGACCAAGGTGACCAGAACCGGTTCTCGGAGTGTTTCTAACTCTCACTCCAGTGTTGATGGGCTCTCTATCTGGGCACGAGGGGAGGCTGTGGGAGACAAGGAACCCCCTGTGGTGGCCATAGCTTCCAGGCCACCACACGGTGGCAGCCTTTTCCACTGCTGGCTGGGTCACCTCAGTGCCCAAGTCTACCTGTGGCATTTCTCAGGCCATTGGAAAGCCTGGCTTCTGCCTGTCACCCGCTGCCTGTCACCCGCTGCTTTCCTGGGACAGCTCTGACCTGGTGGACAGTCAGCACCGTCTATTGGAGGGCCTGAGCAGGGTGGCAATGGCGGGAGACAGACGTGGCCGGGGTGAGTGGTGACGGGTGACCTCTCAGGCCAGGCCATGGAGGAATTGTTCTCCAGGGAAAGCCACGGCCCTCCTAGGACACCGGGACCCTGGCCAGAAGCCAGCACACCTTCTCGGCCTTGGGAGTCAGCCACCGTGGGAGCAGATCCTGTAGCTCAGTCGGGTCTCCAGATGTCAACGGCTGTGGCCCCCATCTGACGGCCACCACGTGGAAGACCCCGAGTGTCACTGCTCAGCCAGGCTCCTCCCAAGTTCTCTACCACAGAATCCACAAACGTGGCATGTGACTGTATCGTGGCATGTGACTCATGCCTCCTGGGTTCAGGGGTAGCAATGCCACAGTAAGTGACCAGTGCTCAGCAGACATCTGTGGCCTGAGTGGACAGCGGGGAAAAGGTTCCTAAGAAACAGACATGTCTCTAGTGCATAGAAGTCGTGGCTCTTTCGGTTTCAAGTAACAGACCCCCAACTCCACTGGCTTGAGCAAATTGGGGCCCTCCCTAACAGCCTGGCTGGGAACCCCAGGAGCGTTTGGCTTCATGTGCACTTGGATCCTGGGCCGTGAAGCTTGGTCCTGGTGGCTCAGCTGGGGGCGTCCTGCAGCCCGATGGGAGATGCTTTGCGGCCCGACCATCCGTCTTGGAAGAGTCTCCGCTTCCCTGAGTGGCTTTGACCAAAGGGGTCATTGCTTCAGTTGCTCTGGGCCCAGGCAGTTCATCTGGCCCCAGGTGGGATCCGGGAGCTGGCCACCCTTCAGTTGGCTCTAGGAGCAGGGACCAGCAGTCTCCACTGCTTCTGACCTTGTTACTGTCTTTCCACCAAGGAAGGTTCTAGACTGGTTCTCTGAGAGACGGCCTCGCTAGAGACTGCCCGGCTCATCCTTCAGCCCAGGCCCAGGCTTGTTTGTTCATCCGCTTCTCTCAGGGGCAGGGCAGGGGAGACATGGGGCGTAGACGCAGAGGTGACGAGCTCTGGCCCTGCGGAGGGTGCCCCTCCAGGGGAAGCCCAGTGTCTGCCCCGGGGAGGGTGCAGGGCTGACGCAGGCTGCAGGATCGCTGGGGCTGGCACCCAGGAACTTCGCCACACCCCTGTGGGGTGTCCGTACCTCATGGCACATGTGCCTCGGGTGGGTGACAGCAGTGTAGAGCCACCTCTGCAGCTGTGCCCTCCACCTGGGCGGGTTCAGGGGCCGCTGTCACATAGCCTTTGGGATGAGTGAATATTTCACTAGTTTGCTGGTCAGGATTTGAAGATTTTGTATCGTTGGACAAACGCATTGGAACAAGTGGTCCCCAAACCTGTGCTGAATCCCTGCTCTCTGTGGGGGTCTTGCAGAGAAGCACCTGGCAGGGGGAAGAGGGGTGATGGCTGCTGCATTATCCAGCCCCTGCTCCGGACCTGAGGGGAAGGGGCTGCTCACCACTGCCCCGCCCTCAGACCTGGGGTCCTTCTCTTCCTTTTCATGGCGTTGGTGGGCAGGAGTATGGAGGACAGTTTGCTTCCTACTTAAAATGCTCCCTGGGCCTTGCCTGCCCACAGGTGCAGCTCCCCTAGGTGATGCTCAGTGCTCCCCTAGGTGATGCTGGGTGCTCCCCTAGTGATGCTGGGTGCTCACCATGCTTTGTGGGATGAGAGGTTAGATGGCAGAGATCTGTTCACACAGAAGCCGTTGACGTCAAAGGCCTGGGCTGGGCTGGTGCCAGGCTCAGCAAGCCATGGCCTGGGGCCACACCCCTGTCTCTGTAAGTGCAGCGTCAGGAGCAGCCACGCCGTCCGTGCCCACCCCCTCCACCACTGTGTGGGCCCCACCGTGTCAGGGGCGAGTTGGGGCAAACCTGGCCTGTACAGAATCTGTGAGCTCCAGGCCAGCGGGAGCCCTGCAGAGTTGAGCGGGAGTTGGCACACGCTCCCTGGGCCTCCACACACTGTCTGGTAAACAGGGTCCACTCTCAAGGCCTCGTGCTCCTGGACGGAAGGACAGGGATCTCAAATTAGAACTTCTTGGATAATGACCAGTGCTAGGAAAAAAGAGAACAGGCACTGTGGCTGGTGTCAGGGAAGGTCTCTCAGGAAACGGAGAGGAAAAGGGGGCAGTTATGCAGAGATCTGCAGGAGGAGCTGCCCAGGCTGAGGGGACACCCGCCTCCCCCTCCCCCTCCTCTTCCCCCTCCCCCCCCCGTCTCCCGCCCCGCCCCCTCCCCCCTCCCCTCCCCCTCTTCCTCCCCCCTCCCCCCTCCTCCTCTCCCCTCCCCCCTCCTCCTCTCCCCCTCCCCCTTCCTCCTCTCCCCCTCCCCCTCCCCTTCCCCCTCCCCTCCCCCTCCCCCCTCCCCTCCCCCTTCCTCCTCTCCCCTTCCCCCTCCTCCTCTCCCCCTCCCCCTTCCTCCTCTCCCCCTCCCCCTCCTCCTCTCCCCCCCCCCCCTCCTCCTCTCCCCCTCCTCCTCTCCCCCTCCCCCCTCCTCCCCTCCCCCTCCCCCCTCCTCCCCTCCCCCTCCCCCTCCCCCCTCCTCCTCTCCCCCTGCCCCCTCCTCCACGAGAAACCCAGGAAAGAAGTTGGGACTCATCCTAATTGCAATGGAAGCGGCTGGCAGTTTAGGTGGAGCGGCAGCCATCTGGTTTATGTTTCTACATGGTTACTTTAAACACTGGGGGGTTGGGGCCATTGGGGAGCAAGGGCAGATGCAGGAGGCCAGTAAGGGGGAGCATGCGATCCTCCTGCCTCCTCCCCCGTCTCTGGGGTTACAGGGTGCACCACCATGGCCGGCACTGAGCTCCTATGAGAGGACCCGGCTCCCCGGGGACATCTCTGTTCTGGGACTGACATAGGAAACAGATGAGATGAGCCTGGAGCTCTGGAGCATCTTGTCCTTCCAGAATGTGGAGGGTCACCCAGAGCAAAACACGGCCCTGGTGGGGACTCTCCCAGAGCGGCTCAGTGGTCGGGCCTGGAATGATGGTTCCCTGTGGACCTAAGGATCGGGTAGTGGAGAGGAGCCTCCTCTGTGTAGAGGAATTCCCGCCACCTGTGCCACGCCATCCCCGAGCCGGGGAGGTCATCCCCCATCTGAGGTGTGGGCTGTGGTCCAGAGAGCGCGGGTGAAGGAAGGGGGAGGAGCGACTCTGCAGGGGGAAGCTGACCACTGCCCACTCATGCAGATGGCCAAGGGGAGTGTTGGCAGTGACTGGCATCTCCAGAGAAGTGGGCGGGCAGGAAGGGGAAACAACAGGGCCTCGCCTCTGCAGCACCCTCCTGTGGACACACACCCCGGTCTAATTATAGAAAGAACACCTGAGACATCCCCGGTGAGGACAGTCCACACCCTGGCCAGCACCCTCAAATTCTCAGTGTGGCATCCTGGCTGGTCTGGAGCAGAAAGAGGGTATTCAGTAAAAACAAAGAAAATCTGCATCGAGTGTGGACTTCCGCCAATGATAACATGAATATACGGAGCCAGCGGGAACTCCGTGTTATCTGCCATTTTTAAGAAACTATTCTAAAATAAGAGGTTTAGATGTTTATTTTAAGTAAATGGTGAAATACCAGCTGCACTGCCTGCTCAACTTGGCGCGTCTCACCTGGTCCACTCTCAGGCCTGCACCTATACTGCATCTGACCTTGGCCTTGGCTGCTCGACCTTCTCCTGGCCAGTGGCCAAAGTTAGCAGGTGAAGAGTCCAAGTCAGAGTCATGCCCTGTGGCCGTGGAACAGCTCAGCACTGGCTCTGCTCACGGGCCCACCTGAAAATGCCCAGAGGTGGGGTAAGCAGGGGTCAGCAAACCCTAGCCGTAGGTCAGATCCAGCTGGTGGCCTGCTTTTG